CGCCTGCACCCACACCGGCGCCCACGACGCCTGTTCCGACTCCGGCGCCAACGACACCGGCCCCCACGACGTCGACGTCTGCGCCTACCACTTCGACGCCGACGCCGGCTCCCACGACGCCTGCGCCGACGCCTGCGACTAGCACACCCATGCCGACCCCCGAAGCGAGTACGCCGTGCCCTGCTACAACGACTCCGGCCCCGACGACCCAAACTCCTTGCCCAACCTCGGTGACGCCCAGTTCGAGCACTCCGAGCCCAACGCCCGCTGGTAGCACGCCGAGCCCGACAGCCGCCGGGAGCGCACCTAGTCCGACGCCCGCTGGAAGCACTCCTAGCCCGACGCCGGCTGGAAGCACGCCGTACCCGACCACGACCACTGTGACGCCGGCGCCTTCAACGTCTCCGGTCGCGTCGACCGAAACTCCTTGCCCAACTTCGGTGACGCCCGCTGGAAGCACGCCTAGCCCGACGCCTGCTGGGAGCACGCCGTGCCCGAACACGACCACTGTGACGCCGGCGCCTTCGACGAGTGCCAATCGCCGCATGTAAGATGATGGCTTGTGTCTACCTAATATATTTTTCATGCCTTCGTAATTTCCGTCCTACGCTTCGGCGTGTATGAATACCCATGCGAGGCGACTTGACGTCTGTCTGCCCACCGCACAAACCGCTACAGGACAGTGAAATTTGGTGTTGACATTGGCGCTTCCAGTCGTAGTACTACTACGCAGCACACTACTTGGCGAGCGCCGCCAAGACGGCGCTGACATCGCCGTGGGCGTTCATGACCACGGAGCGGCCGTCCTTGGTGATGACGTCGCCGGCCGCGTTCAAGAAGACGAGCGTCGGGATGCCACGGACGTCAAACGTCTTGGCGAGCACGTCCTTCTGCGCGCGGTTCGCATACGGGAGCGCGAGGAAGGGCATGTCGTTGTAGTACTCGTTGAAGCCGCTTTCGTCGCGGTCGGACGAGACAAAGATGAGCTCAAACTCCTTGTGGTCGTCGCCGACGATCTCGGCGTAGGTTTCCGAGAGCACGGGCGTGAAGCCGCGGCAGGGCGGGCACCAGTGCGCCGAGAAGTAGATGCCCACGATGGTCTTGCCGGCAAAGGCCTCGGCCGTCGGCTTGAGCCCTGTCTTGGTCTGGACCTCAGCGCCAAAGAGGGCTTCGAACGGCGAGCTCATGCTGCTGCTATTGACGGCGAAAATTCGAAAGTGCACTCGTGGCCGCACACGGTATATTTCTATCCTTCGAATCAAATCGACATGGTTAAATCGAGTAAAACGATACAATTTGTATTAAATGATGGGACGAGGGGCACGGGTATTTCGGGTTTTTTCGCGTCATTTACGCCACCGTCAGGCGCGTGCCGGGAAAGACATGCATATCGTGGAGAGCGGCGAGGTCGCATGGAATGGCCGCGCGAGGCAAGTGGTCGATGAGTGTCCAAGCGTCCCGTCGGGCGTCGTGCCATGACAAGCTGACTGCAATATGGACGGAATTGCTCAACTGCAACTTACCGTATCTTGCCGTCGGATGACGTGGCAGCGCGAGAGAGCGCCACATCCACCTCAACCGTTCGCCGGAAGGAAACACCCGCCTCGCACCGACGACCGTCCAAGCGTATCGTCCTCTGCATTGATCGAATCCACGTCTGTGCCTCAACTTATTTTATCTTCTAGTGCTCCTCCTTCTTTGTAATGATTGTACAAGTTCATTTGAATCTGCTTTTACGACGGCCGCTGGGTTTGGAGGCGGAGCAGCTTCATGCGATGGACCAACGACATGGGCAGGCCCGATGCTCCCGTGTCGGGCACCGTCGTGTAGTGCGCGACGCTCGTGCCACCGCCTTGGGAGAGGATGCGTCGCGGCCCGCCCGACGACGGCGTCGGCAGTAGCGCTTGCAGCCCACGGCTCGTGGCAAAGAAGGACGTGCGAAGGTGCGTCTTGCGCTTCTGGAGCTTGTACGCGTGGGTTTTGGTAAAGTTGATGGCGTCCGAGGTCGCTTCCAGCGCGCCAATGTGCGAATAATAGTGGTTGGGGTCCACGATTTGGTCGATTACGTCATCGAGCAGCATGAGGGTTGGCTACATCAGCAAACAAACCATATTGGACATTGGGGCTTGTATGACAATCGACGACATGATGATGATAAACCATACCTCGACGCGTAAGGCCGTGTCGTCAAACCAACGCGGATACGAGAGGCGAAAAATGGTTGCGAGCGAGACGCGGAGCGACAGCAGTAGCAGCTGTAGCATCGGCGTCGTGCTTCGCGTCGTCGTCTTTGGTCGGACGCGCTCGTGGACGCTGCGCTTGAGGTGCTCGAACGCATCGAGTACGGACACGAGGAGGCCTTCGACTTCATTGTGCGACAAGAAAGGCGTCGACGGCAGGCGCTCGTACTCGTCGTCTTCTCGTGCCGCCGTACTGGTTCGGCGCAGGATGGAGCGGCAGAGGTCGCCAAGTGGGCGAAAGGCGGTCCAGTAGACGTAGTGGGCGAAGTACCCGATGAGCTCGAGCGTCGTGGACGACGTGAGAAAGCTGCGGACGACTGCATGCTCGGTGCGGTCGTTAATGTCGAGCATATCGAATGGAATGACGTTGTAAAAGGCTTCTTGCATTTCTATGGTGCCACGTCATGACACCTGATAAATCGAAAAATCATGAAAAAACCTGCGATCGTCTCAAAGGTAAGCGAATGGAGCGGTGTGTCAATCTCGGCCAGCGCGGCCGGCGACGGCTTGTAGACGCGGCGTTCGGGCACGACCGAAAACGTCACGCGCTTCGTGCACGGAAAGCCGTCTTGGTCGTACTCGATCGGCACCTAAAACAAACCACAGATAATAGATGCAAGGTAGAACGCGCTGGGATAACCTTGTACAGCTGGTTGAAGGGGAAGAGGTACCGATGCTTCATCTCGTGGAACGAGAGCACGACGTGGCCGACGCGGTAGTTTTTCGCCAGGTCGGTGCCAAACACGCTGACCGGGTCGTCGGCCGGAAGTGTCCTATTGTCCATTCTGTACCGTGGACAGGATATTGTCCTCAAGTGTAGTACTCTGGCTTGGACAGCGGCGCAAGCTCGGGCGAGGCGGCGCGGACCGCGACCGGGCTCGTATCGATGACGAGCACGTCGTCGATGCAGCCACGCGAGCGCCACCCGGGCGCGACGCGGCACTTGTCCAGTGGCACGTTGGCCAGCACGAGCGCCAGGTTGTCGGCCGTCGGGTTGGCGCCGAGCTGCTCGAGGTACTTGGTCGCATACTCCTTGAGAACGACATGGTAAAAGTCGTCGGGAAAGGCCGTCGGACGCTCTTGCGGCCGCAGCGGAATCGACAGATGCATCGAAACCGGCCCCGCCTTGGCATTCTCGACGCGCGGCTCGCTACGAAGGAGCCGGTATGGTGAGCGCCAGAGGTGTCGGCGTCGCACCGGAGCTTGCGCCTGGCCTTGTTCATCGCACACTATTTTTAGAGTGCTCCATTAGACGATGTAGGAGATGAAGACATGTTGTGCATCGTGCCGCCTGGTACACGTTCGCACAACGGCGCTGGCGAACGATTCCACTATGGAATGAACGGTGTGGAAGGACGCGGCTGTCAATGGCCGTCAACCTGATGGAGCCGATATATATATATATTGACTACACGGAGGTCGCCCCATTCATTCTACTGTCGTTGGAGCTGCTCTGGGACTGTCTCGGAAGCATGCGCCTCCACTGAAAGCCCTCCACTGGAGCTTGACAGGACGTTGACACGGCCGAAATGGCAGCTCCGTGCAGCGACAGAGGCCAGACCACAACTAGCGGTATACATCGGAGGCGTTCTTGACATTAACAGCAAGACAGCTGTGGCATATTGCTGCAGGACTACTAGTACAGGCAATTGAGCTTGCAGTGAGTCCGAGTTTTCCCGCGTCGATCTTGCCACCTGGTGCAGCGCTCTGTGATTGGCCGAAATGCGCAAGGGAGAAATCGCGTCGCTGCATCTGATTGGCCAAAAGTCGTTGCCGCCGCCAACGTCGAACTTTCCAGCCGCCGCCGATGGAGCGCAGCCCGACCCGCGTGCCATTGGCGACCAACATGGGCGCGTTCGAGACGCCGCTGCCCAAGCGCCACCACATCCACCGCAGTGGATCGCCGGTCCGCAGCAAGCTCCGCTTCGATGACCTCTCGCCCGTCCCGATGCTACCGCTGAGCCCGACCGCGAGCCCGGCCTGGGCCACGCCCGGCTCGCCGCGTGTACGCGCATCGCCGTCCATGAAGAGCGAGGGCGGCGTGTGCATGAACCTCTCGTCGCAGTTTGACGACATCTCGGACGACAGCGAGGCCGAGACGACGGTCGCGGACCATAGCCGCCTCAATTTGGACACGAGCGCTCTTGCCCATGAGGTGCTCTCCGACGACGCTAGCAGCAGCGCCCAGCCACGCAAGTCGCTGCGCCGGGCGTTGCACCGGTCGAGTCGATGTCCACCGACACCGATGCGGACGCCGCCATGGGCCAAGAAGCTCACGCCGATCCGAGGCAGTTTGCATCGACAGAGCTCGCTCGCGTCGACCAAGGTGCTCGTGACGCTTGGCGGCACCGTCGACCATGTGCCTGTCCAGACGTCGTACTTTGAATCGTTCCAGTCGGCCACGTGGATTGGCGCCGGCGCCTTCTCGGACGTCTACCACGTGCGTTCCCATCTCTCTCCATCTGCCCTCACGCTCTGTGCAGGTCACGACGTTGGCGGGCGATGCATTTGCCGTCAAAAAGTCCAAGCTGCCACTGCGAAGCAAGCGCGACCGGTTTGCCTGTCGTCGTCGACCAATCGATTACCTACGATGCGCTTATGTGTAGCGAGCGGATGCTGCAAGAGATTCAGGTGTACGAGAAGCTAACGACCTCCGCGCCAACGAGTCCGTACCTCGTGCAGTACTACCAAGCGTGGCAAGAGCGCGGTGCGTCCATCATCTCGCTTGCTCGCTCGTGAGCTCATTGCGCTTGCAGGCTTTTTCTACATGCAGCTGGAGCTCTGCGCCGCGGGCACGCTCCAAGACTATATCGATCATCTTCGAGGCGAGGCCACCAAGGTGCCCGAGGCTGTGCTGTGGCACATTCTCCACGACGTGGCGTCGGTACGCAGCATATTGCGGGCGGCTGCTGTCTCACGCCAACGCGTTACTGCAGGGACTCGCCGTCATTCATGCGCATAAGATCGTGCACCTCGACATCAAGCCCGCGAATTTATTTGTGACGACGGCAGGCAGCATCAAGATTGGTGATTTTGGCGTCGCGACGGCCGTCGACGGGGCGAGCGACGGCGAAGGCGACCAGCGCTACATGGCACCCGAGCTCTTAGCGAACGCTGCGACGCGCGCCGCGTCGGCCGACATCTTTTCTCTTGGTTGGAGTCCACGCTGTGTGTCGCTCGATAGTTGCTGACGCGAGGGACACTAGGGATGACGCTACTGGAGCTCAGTCACTTGGTGCATCCGTTGCCGCAAGACGGACCCGCGTGGCATGCGCTCCGCGAAGAAACGCTGCCGACACTCCCGTACTCGGCTGCGTGGACGCAGCTTCTATACCAGGTAATAGTCGATGCAAAACCAGTCTCGCAGCGAGGACCTGAGATGTGGGTAGATGCTGCGCACGGACCCAGATGGGCGCATTTCCGCCGCCCAGATCACAGAACGCCCCGAGCTTTCCCAGCTGGCGCGCTCCGACGACTTGGCTTCGGTACGATGCATTCGATGAGCATCTGGATCTGAGCATGGTCGGCCTAGTTCGGTGCCCGCGTTCGGTGCACGTCGTTGTCGCCACCGACGAGCCCGCCCGCGTCGCCGCCACCCAGCCCGCCGGCGGCGCGTAGCATGTTACCACACGCAGCCGGTAGTCGTCGTCATGCCTAAGTCCAATACACAGCGAGGTGTGTCTCTCTGGGTGCTGCTGGTACGCCAGCTATCGATCGCATCGCGCGGCCTTGCATCGGCCCTTTTCGCAGGGCTTTTCGCAGGATTTAAATTGTGAGCCAATCACCGAGCTGGATTTTATCGAAGCGGGTCTGCTGGCCAATCACAAGCGGCGAATTTATAGAAACGCGCGCTACAAAAACCGTGGGCTCGTTGCATTCGCAAGGCAAGAAGAAAATGATGGAGACCACGGCCCACGCTCGATCGCTACGCTCATTTTCAAATTGTCATCCTCCTCTCCACCAACATGCAAGCGCGCTTCATCGCTCCGATCCTCGGCACGGTCTCGCTTCTCGCCGGCAGCTGCACGACGCTCGCGGTCAACAGCAGCCGCGCGCCCCAAGTCAACGCCCAAGTCCGTCGTCTCTCCAAGCGCGTCATGCCCCGTGACGTCGGCAAGAGCTCAACGACGGCGAATCCGACGGTCGCCAAGAAGCACGACGTCATGGAAGACTTCCCCATCTACATGTTCACCGCCGAGTAGATGACGACGATGACACCGTTTGCGTCCTTGCGTCGTCCTGTACACTAGATCCCCTCCCGTAAAATGAAATACACGCCCGCTTTGTCTACCACCGTGTGGCTGATCGGTTGGTCACGTCACGGCGTGTGCTGCTGCGACACGCGCCTCCTTGACACCGTGTAAAAACCGCGTAAGCTCAAGGGCATAACAGTTAGGGTAAGCTCTAGGTCTAATGTTGGCAGGGGAACATAAAAGATAGGGTGTAGGGTATTAATACATGATAGCTGTTAGTCACCCCTGAACGTTGGCGGTCGAAGCTACAAGGGACACGTTAGAGTTGCTGCAAATTGCCAGAGCGCGCTTGATGAAGAGTCCGCGACAGACAAATGGGGAGAAAGGTGACGATGACGACCGCGCCAGCTCGAGCCACGTTGGATGTTCTGGTCTTGGACATAACAAACAAACGGCCGCCGCGCCCGCCAAGGGTATCGCAGTCACCCCACGGAGGTTGCCCTTGGGTCCTCATCGAGGAAACAAGTCTGACATCGCTCTTGATCAATTAGTTCTCTGGCCTGACACGAAGCTCGTGCAACGCTGATACCAGTGTCGTTCACATTGCACAAGAGGGGGAAACGGTGATCGGACGTCTCGACTGCTACTCTAGTTGCACAGGCGTATAGAGCTGATATGCATAACGCACATTCCTTGGATCCGATGCAATAATATCCAGGGGCCCGGCTGTGACGGCGACCGCCGTGTTGTTGCGTGCGTCTAGCCGCGCCGACGTTGAAGCAGTGGGCTTTCTGTCGCGTCCGATTGGCCAAAATGTGCTGCGCCGTGATTGGCTAAAAATCCGCAAATCCGACCCTTTGTGGGCTGCGTCAAGCAATAAGAAGCGTCGACGCAAAGACGCCGTGACCATGATGGACCTCTTCAAGTCGCTCCTCGGCTTCGACGACTGGACGGGCAAGCCCCACAAGTTCTGCTCCGCGCACGTGCGTGGCCTCTGCCGGCGACCTCGCGATGGCTCATGATGACGCTAGACGGTCGTCGTCCTCGGCGGCCTCGGTGTGCTCATCCTCGCCGAGGTGACCGAGCGCTTTACGTTCAAGCTCATGCTCGACCGCATGGAGTCGTACCGGTACGATCGCCTCGTTCGATCAGGCATGCGCATGCACCTAGGTACTTTCTCATGCAAATGAGCACGTTCCTGTACATCCCGCCATGTTCTGCATCGTCGGCTACAAGGCGACGCAATCGGTGCGTCCACACCGCCGCCGCCGTCGTCGTCGTCGCCTGAGCGAATCGGAGTAGGATTTCATTGACGAAGAGGTCACGGAGTTTCCAAAGTCCAAATTTTCGTCATGGGCATGCTCGACCTCGCCCAGGTACACGGCTCCAGTGCCTGGAACGATCGGCGAAGATCACGATGCAAATGGCCATTCTAGTCGATGCTGCTCTTCTTACCCGGCGGCAAAACGCCGGCGACGCTCACTGTGGTCTTTCTGCAAGCGTCGGTGCCCGCGACCATGCTCTTTGCCCAGATCTTACTCAAGGACGAGTACGCCAAGAATCACATTCTTGGCGGCAGCATCATGATGGCTGGCATCCTCGTCGGCCTTCTCCCCGTCTTTTCCATGTCGGCATGATGGCATGTCTCTCGCGTCTTCTTAGCATCCATCGTCGACGTAGGGTGCTCAGCGACGTCTACGAAGAGCAAGAGATGGCGTGGAATTCGCTGTGCTACCTCTTGGCAGCCATTCCCGGCGCTCTCTCGGTGCTCTACAAGGAAAGGCGCTCGCGACGCAGCCCATGGACGTCTACTACCTCAACGCGTGGGTCGCCGTGTATCAATTTATCGGCGGGCTGCTGTTGGCGCCCTTGGCCTTCGACATCCCGGTGCGTCGTCGTCGTCGTTTTGTAGCATTTTACGCAATGTTGGCCTAGGTGCTGCACCTCGACCAGCGCATTAGCGGTCTCGAGTGCTTGGTCAACGGCGTCTCCGAGATCCGCACGGACAAGTGCCACGTACTCCACACTGCGCTCCATCGGGATGATGTATATACCTATCCCTTTCCTTGTGTAGCTCGGGCTCGGTCTCTTGCTTCTTTTTCTCGTCTGCAAAGTGGTGGCCTTCTTCGGTGTCGGCTTTGTACTGCAACACACGAGCGTCTCGGTGCTCTACGGCGGGTACACGGCCGCCTTCCCAATTGCTTTTGCCCTCCTTGGGTGGTACCAATCGTCCGGCCAAGCCGACCAAGACGTACGACTTGTCTCTTCTCTGGAAAGTTTGCGACAGGTATGTATAGGGCGCGCTCTCGTCGGTGTGGTGTGACGTGTTTTCGTGCTCGGTCGTGCTCCTTGGCCTCATCTTATACCGACTCAGCCCCGTACGAATGAATCATGCATCATTCTCGATGCGATGTAGCGGTGGCTGAGATGCGGCGTGTGTGTAGGAGCCCGGTATGGAGGCGACGACCATGTCGGCGGCCGAGAAGGAAGCGCAGTCACTCTTGCTGGACGATGCGTCCGACCATGGCTTGCGATACACTTAGACAAACACAACATGCGACGCGTTTCCGTACTCTACCTACCCCCATTTTGTTGTTGTTGATGTTCTGGAATGCTACTTGGCAAAGACGACGAGGACGGCGCTGACGTTGTCGGTGGACCCCGCTGCAATCGCATGCGCGATGAGCGCGTCACACACTTGGGCCGGGCCCATCCGGTCGTGTTGCAGATGCGCGCGCACAAAGCTCGCGGCCGACGCCGGCGTCATCACTTCAAAGAGGCCGTCGCACGCGAGCAAGAGAAACTCGTCGTGTGGCGACCGTGCCCGCACGACCACGTCGGGTTGGCTAATGACAATGGGCCGTGCCAAGTCTTCTTTGAGCATGCGGTCGCCAAAGGCGCGCGAGACGCCGAGGTAGCCGAAGATGTACCTAGTATCAACATATCAAGCGTCGTTGCCGCTGTCTCCAACATAGTAGTACCGTCCGTTGTTGAGGACACGGCCGTTCGCAGCTTCAATGCGCCGCTTCTCTGTCGGGTCGTTGGGTGCATGCACCGCGCACAAGTCGATCGCATCGCCGTTGTGTCCGAGCACGAGCTGCGAGTCCCCAATGTTGCCCTACCCCCGTAGCACGCGAGAAGTGAGATGCTATTCGAGTGACGCGTCGTCGTCGTACCACGGCAAAAGTCTCTCGGCCAATGAGAGCAAAGGCCGCGCAGGAACCGCTGTCGTCGGCGACGTGCGACCGCAGAAAGCTGTCGTCGGCCAGCGCACACGCTTGCGTGAGGAGCGGCCCAAGCATGGCATGCGGCAACGCGCCAAAGCTCAGCGTCGTGGCCGACAGGCTCTGTTGCACTTGGCGCACGAGCGCCGTCTCCAAGAACGACGCGCAGTGCGTCCCGGCATGCCCATCGTACACGGCGACGAACGCGACGGGGTCGTCGCCGGGTGTCGAAAACGTCACGGCGCACGACCGGTCTTCCATGGCCTGGCGGAGGCCGATGCTGCTGCTCGCGCCAATGTCCACGCACAGCTTCTGTAGCAGCGTTGGATCCAGCGTTGACTCGGTCGCGACCGTTGGGCGGCGAGGCGCGGCGACGTGCTGGGACTTGCGCGCGGTCTCGGCCCGCAGCCGGTTGGCGTGGGCCCGCGCCGCGATACGGTCCCGCGCCGCTTGCACGTCGATGGCATTCTAGACGCGCGATGGTCGAAGCCTGCATGCGCTGGGATCCGAAGGCGCACCTGCGACGGTTCGAGGCTCACGGCGGTCGACGCGACGAGTGGGACGAGCAAGATCAAGGTCGCCAGCCGCTACAGGCGGGCGTGTGGAGGCGCCTGGAGGGATGGCGGGTACCTGCCACGGACGTGGGTGCTGGTCGTCAAGCAGCTTTGGTAGCGCCCGCTTGAGCCATCCTCGGACCATCGTAATCGTCGTCGTCCAGGTCGATGGGAATTCCGAAGATGCACCGCGACTCCGGGTTTGCTCCGGATGTTGCCCAACAGCAAGGTGGGCCATCTGGCAACGTGGCAAACCGAGGCGACATCGTTCGGTCCAAAGCCACACAACTGCCATGTCGACTGACGCGCAGTGCGTCACGAGGTCGACGCGCTTCATACATACCGTTCAACGTTGTCTTTAGGTCGTGTGCGAGCTCGCATTCTTGCGATCGCCACCACTTCGTGTTTAGCCCACGCTTCAAGACGAGCGCGCTATGAGGCGAGTCGCCTTTAACTTGAATGCTTCAAGGCTTTAAGCATCGTTAATCGCATTGGCGGAGCCGGGGCCCAAGGATGCGTCGTGACGTGCCCCCGTTGATGCGTGTTGTATGCTCGTCATCGCGACAATCATGCATGCAATCTAGTATGGCACAGGACACCAGTTGGGCGTACTAGCGAGATTGCAAGCGACGCTTGGGCGAGGCAATAGACATCAACATGGCGCGACCACAAACAAGCGAGGCGGGCTCGCCACTACAGGCGGCGACGACAGAGATGGCAGCCACGGCGCCGTCCGGGGCATCTCAATGATGTGCACATCGAGGCCATCGGATGCATGTTCCTGGACGAAAATGGACATGTGTGTGCTGGTTGCGCCGCTCATGCCCAGCGACGACGTGCCACTGCGACGGTTGGTGGGCGCGTAGAAAGCCTGCCGCTGAAACGGTTTGTAGAAAAGCCGGTTCGCAACCGTTGCAGCTCGGTTTTGCCTCTGCAACGCCATGGGCCGACCGATGGCCGAGGTGGTGCGGCGCAGCTGCTTGCAGTTGCAGCGCTATGTGATCAAGCAGCTCCGGAAGCTCGTCAAGACGCGCATGCGGGGCGAGACATTCCGCAAGTGGGTCGGGCGCAACATTGACAACTCGCTCCTGGCATCGTTCATTGACGTCGTCCAAGTGATCCTCGGGTATCTTCTCGCGCCTTGTACGAATAAGCGTCCACGTGTCTTGCCTAGACTTGTCGTCACGATCATTTACTTTAACGAAAACTGGCTCGTCCTCAACGCGTCGACAACGACCGACATCAGCATCGACACGCTGCAGCTCAGCATTAGCGTCTTCTTCACGTTCGACTATTGCCTTCGGTACACATCCAACGAATGGACAACTTGTCTTATCGTACGTTGTTCTAGGCTCTACGCGTCCGACAACCGCCGGTCGTTCTTTCTCAGCCCCATATCGATGGTGGACCTCGTGACGATCTTGCCGCAGTGGATCGAGATCATCCTCGACAAGCTCAACGTCAAGACGGTCAAGAGCATGTCGAGTGCGCTCAAGACGCTCCGGTCGCTCCGGTTTCTTCGCGCCTTTCGACTCTTGGCATTTGCCAAGACGGCCAAGAAGCGCCAAACTGGCGTCCTGGTCTTGACGGTCATGGCCATCATCATTTGCAGCGCCGGTATCATTCAGGTACTTGATTCTCTTTGTTGCAGCAGGATGAAGGCCGGGTGCAGGCGATCGAGGCGTGCCCAGACACGATCCTCGTGACCATCGACGGCTCGACCGCGTATACGTCCAACAGCACCAACTGCCAGGACATGGAGATCTACAACGCGTGCTACTTTGTTGTGATTACAATCGCAACACTCGGGTACGGTCGACGAAAGACGATGACCTGCCTTTCATTGGATTCGCATTAGGTATGGCGACATTGCTCCGAAATCCCAGAACGGCAAAGTCGCCGTGATTGGGCTCATCATTTGGACGGGTATTCTGCTGCCGCTGCAGATTAGCAAGCTCAGCGATGTCTTGAGCCGTGAGGTATACATCGCTGAGACGAGAGCCTGCACCGAATACATATGTCAATGGGGGTGTAGACCGAGTACGACAAGGCGTTCAAGGAGCGAAAGGAGCAAAGTCCGCACATTTTGATTTGCGGCGAAGTCAACTCGGGCGCACTCGACTTCTTTTGCGGCAATTTCTGCACCCAAACAACATGAACTGGAAGGACAAGGTCGTCATTTTATGTCCGTCGCTGCCATCCCACAACCTCAAGCGCATTTTACTGAACGGCGCGTACGAGCAGCGGGTCGTGTACCTCCAGGGCTCGGCCATGCTCGACTCGGACCTCAAGCGTGCCAGTGCGTCGACCGCGCGGCTCTGCTTTGTCATGATCAACAAACTCTCGACTGACGGCGACCAGAGCGACACGGCGTCGAATCTGCTCACCATTTCGCTTCGCCACTACACGCGACGAGGTACAACGCGTTGCATCCATCTCCATCTCAATCTCAATCCACGTCTAGTGCCACTCTTTGTCCAAGTTCTTAAGACGGACAACATCCGCCACGTTCACCTCTCGGGCGCCAACAATATTGTGTGCGTCGACCAGCTCAAGCTCGGGATTCTCGCGAAATCGTGCTTGATCCCGGGCCTCTGTGCCTTTCTGTGCAACATTCTCTTTACCTTTCGGCCGTTCTATACCCAGAGGTATCCTCTTCAATCTTCTTTTTGATATTGGACATGGTTTGTCCAATATATATCTATATATTAGATACACTAATACGGTGTGGGTAGCTCGATCTGGGCCGCGGAATTCCTCGAAGGGTGCGGCAACGACGTGTACGAGGCCCGGCCGCCGTCGTTTCTCCACAGCGCGATCTCGTACCGCGTGTTGGCGTACATTTTGTTTCAAGAATTCCAAGCCGTGCCGCTCGCGGTCTGTGACAATGCGTATTTCGAGCTCTCGCTCTTTCCCGCGCGCATGCTGGTGGGAAAAACGCACACCATGTTTGTGCTCTCGAAACACTCGGACTGCGTCCGGCGCATCGAATCCCTCTCGTACACGTCGCTTCAAAAGTACAATTTCTCTTCTTTTTTGTCGCATTTCTCTCATTTTCCAACTAGGTACCACACGATCATTCCCAACTTTGATGCGATCACGAACGCGTTCAACTCGAGCGGCGGCAGCATCAAGACGCGCCTCCGCTCGATGGCGCAGCGGGCGTCGATCTCGCGGACTGCCTCGGTCATCATGTCCCACATGTCCGCCGAACCATCGCAGCTGTCGTCCAAAAACTCGCGCTTGGGAAGCGGACACATGGGCAACGAGTCGCGCGTGCTACCGTGTGGGCCCGAGCTATACGAGGCCAAACCAACACCGATGGACGACGACGTCGACGACGACTCGGCCGACGAGCAGTCTAGTGCCCCGGTCGCTGCGTTAGACAACCCTCCATCTAATCATGTCGTTGCCGATGCAGCACCGCCACAAACGGCAACCATGAGCGTTGTGCTTCCTCTGCAAGTGCCGCAGCATACACCGGGGCACGCGGACTTGCCGCCGATCAAGGCGCACCACGACAGCAACATCAACGCCGACGATCCGCTTTTGAAAGCAACGGCCTCGGGACACACGCTGCCACAGCCATCCGAGTCGCCCGACCGACCGGAAGGTGTCGAGAACGCGCTGCGAGCGACCGTGGAGCGACTTGTGCTGACGACCGAGACGCCGCCAACCAAACTCGTATCCGAGCACCGTCGATCGACACTATTCCGAGAGACCTCGTCCCCCGACTTGCGCGGTCAAGGCATCCACGAGCGCACCTCGGTGACCTCGTTTCAACCGTCGACCAAGGCGAAGGACGGGCCTCGACCGAGCCTCGTGCGCAGCTACGAGACGTTCCTCATGTCGCGCATTCCGCATGACGTCAAGGACCATATCGTGCTCTGTGGAATGCCCAACATGCTCCACGACTTTGTCGGGCCGCTGCGCACACTCAAGATGCAGCACACGGCGTCCTCGATGCCGAATGAATTGCTCGCGTCGTCGCATTTAAGCAATGCGATTCCGATCGTGATCATTTCGCCGCTGCCGATTTCCGAAAAGCAATATGCGAGCATTGCCACGTACGACCATGTGTACTACCTCCAAGCGTCGCCGCTGCACGAAATTACACTGCGCGAGGCCCAAGTGTACGCAGCGGCGACCATTGTCATCTTGGGGTCGTGCACGCGGACGTCCCATGACGACGACCAAGAGCAGTCGATGGACTTTATCGACCAAAACATGATCGACACGGATGCGATCACGTTACATCGGTTCATCACCGAAGCGTGTGAGAACAACTGTGCCCCCAACGAGCCCATGCCCAAAATTACCATCGAATTGGTGCGCAATTGTCATCTTTTTCATCTTTTTCATCTTTTTCATCTTTTTTTTCTAGAGCCGCCCGAGCAGCCTGCGCTTTCTCAAGGACGAACACACCAAGCTGGACTCGGACGACGACGCGCGCGTCATCAAACAATTGACGCGCCAAGTCATCTCCCGCGCCGACGACCCGCTGGACAATATTTGCAGCCCCCTCTACGCTGCGGGTATCTCATATCTACATGTCGAACGAGGCGATCAGCGCTGGGATCGTAGGCAAGGCCTTTATCTCCAACTCGCTCGACGCGCTCCTTGGGAGCTGCAACTCATACGGCAGCATCATTGACCTCTTCCACTTACTCGTGCTCGGTGAGCCGCCGGGGCCAGACGGCAGCACGCGCCGACTGCGCTGTTTGGACCAGATTGCGGTCCCTACGCAGTATTGGAGCAAGCCGTATGGCCTCTGCTACCAAGATATGCTTCTCAAGCACGTACGTTGAAGGTGCAATGTGCGCTGGATCAAGATCTGTCGCGTAGGAAATTTTGTGTGTTGGTGTCTACCGAGCGCGCAGCACGAATACGAGCTTCGTGTCGATGAACCCGGCGGAAGAAATTCTGCTCAGTCCACAGGACAAGTTGTTTGTCATTCATTAGCATAGGTATCCCGATAGAAATTTAGAGTGTTGATGTATATTGTCGTCTGGCGGGTGGTGGCATGGATGGGACACAAGATATATTACCTACTCTACCTGCGCCGCACGCAGAGGTTAGGGTCCTTGAATGGTCCTACACGTTGCACATGTAATGCGGTTCTCAACAGACTATCGAATATGACGAGAACCGCAGAGCGCTCAACTTGAAAGGGACCACTGACGGCCGACAGCGACGACAGATGAGCAAAACTTCGGGCCGCCACTGTAGCCGTCACAGCGAGGGCATATGGACGATCGGTACCAAATTACGTTTATATCTTGAAATATGTAGGCGTCGACTCTACTCGAGCCCCATCGCCAAGCACTCCTTACCAACCGAAGTTTCCGTGTCAAATCGACGCGGAATGTTGGTCGATTCTGTGGCCGCATGAATGATGGTTGTTTGACCAGTCACAAGCGGTCACACCGCCATGGCTTGTCTGCTGCGCACGACGGCCGAGACGGCCGCGTGGCTCCGTGAGCTCTACGCATTGACCAAGACGAACGCCTTTGGCGCGTGCAAGGCAGCGCTGGCAGCGGCCATGACGGACGTGCCACCAATGACGGCAGCGTCCCGCCTCGTGGCGCTGCTTGTGGTGCTGTGGCACGAGAGTAGTGGCGACCTGCCGCTCGCGTACCTCGCGCTCATGGCAATGGACGAGACCCGGTGCTGGGAAGAGCACGTCGACGACACCGTTGTCGAGACACTCGTCGCCCACGTGCTTGAGGCCATCGCACGTGCCAGCATCGAGGTACGAACTGTCTTGGCAGCCAACATGCATTGCCGCGATGGAATGCGTAGGAAGCCAAAGTCGTCGTCAAGGCTATCGAGGTGTTTTCACTCATGTCACGCATCGTCGATGCAAGCGTCTGTGTCGACGACTACGTGACGTCGCTCCTGGCGGTCCCCGCGGGCCAAACGAGCGCGATCAAGCTCATTGCGCTTCGTCCAACGTACACATGGCCCTACGCAGCGGTTCTAACGACGCTCGTGGAGACGAAAAGCTGGCCCTTGGCCGACCAGCTCCTCAAGCAAACGCAATTCTCTCTCGCACCAGAGACGCACCATGGTACCTCGTCCATAGAAGAAAAGGATTGTATTGGGATGTCTTAGACCTCTGCGCGACGGCAATTGCACTGGCGGTGGCTGCAAGCGATATGAAAAGAGTAAGAACAACGACGGCGATGCGGATGACAATATTGTGTACAATTAGGCCCACCGACTCGTCCACGCGTACGGTCTCGTCGATCGGTTCCCGGACGTTGGTGCGTTCTTGGCGCATGAAGCCAGTGTCTTTGACGTGGCGAATAGAGGTGGCCTTCCGGTCCGAGTCGCTGCAAAAGCTGTGCACGCAGCGCAAGTGGGCCGCCGCCGCGTCCTTTGTCGGACGCAACACCAGCCTGCAGGTCGTGTCGCCTCCATGATCTTGGTTGTTGATGAAGCTATAGATGATGCTGTTGAAAAAAGCGGTTGCCGCTGGCAATGTGGAGCTGGCGCGGGAGTGGCACCAGCGGTTGACAATAGGCGTGCAGCAGCCAATGTCATGCGATCGGATGGTAGGTTCAACTTGCCGGCTGAGGCGTTTCCAGTTGCAGCCCCCACAACGGTATGTAGCCTTGAATGCGAGTCGAATCGCTTCGCAACCCACGACGTAGACGGCAATCAGCTACGTGGCGCTGCCCGGCACTGTGGCCATCGAGATCTGCGATGCGCAAGACGACCTGCAGGCGCTTCAGGCCTGTCTCCGCGAGGGTACATGACGGCGAAGACAGTTGGGATATGTGGCGACGCATGCGTCTGATAGCGCTCCAGACGACGACGCAGCCTGTGCTGGTCGGCGTGGATCTGGAATGGAAGCCCGTTTACTCAAAAGGAGAGAGCTCCCTCGCGAGCCTCCTCCAGGTCGCACTCGTAGACCGCGTCTTCCTCATCGACTTGGTCCACATTGAGGTACGCACGTGAGTTGATGTTGTATCGTTTTCGGATGGCTTTTAGGGTCATTTGAACGCTATCGACGTTGTCCATTGGATGCTGGCCGAACCGCGGTTTCTCAAGCTCGGCTTTGGCTTCGAGACCGACGTGCGCGGTACACCCGATGTACACTAGTCGATCGCATGATTAGAACGATGGTTGTCTAGTTCTTGCCGACACGTTCCCCGAGGTGCTGCCCATCGTGACCGTACAGTCGCTGCTCGAGGTAGACGCTGAACCCAAGCCCTGTGCGACATGTCATTTCGTCCATGCAGATCGACACGGTTTTGCACCACTTTTGCCCGACCGCGACCGCCAAGAGTTTGTCTGACGTGGTGGAAACCGTGCTGGGACTGCCGCTGGACAAGGTAGTTCCTCGGCGACAACGGTGCGGGTCGTTTACAAGGTGCGCTTTCTAGACCCAGCAAGTCTCGAATTGGGATGCACGACCCTTGTCGCTGGACCAGCAAATGTAAATTGCCATCTGTCCATCCAGGTGGTCCGATATGTTCTTGCAGGTATGCTGCGCTGGACGCGTGGTGTCTCGTCCACGTGACTGAGCGCTTGGCGGTCGGCGCCGCGGCCGACTGGTTCGAGCCGCTCACGACGACACTGCGCGTCACTTCGTCCTTGTCTGCCGACGTGGCGACTCGTCGACGGGCCCGGTACGAGCTCCAGCATCGACTGCCAACGTCGCTGGCGAGGCCTGGTGCCGCCGTTGCCGCGCTCTTGGCGTCGACGCCAGACGCCCACGTCGTCGTGTCGCAGCTCTCGGAGGTCGATCTGACGGCGAACCACGTTGTCGCCGCCAACACGCTCTGTGTTTTTGCCAACCGTAGCTTCCTCCTCTTTCTGGTGTACTAGTAGCATTGAAGCGCTACTTTTTGCAGAGCAACCGATGGTGGCGCTGCTGCCGCAAACGACGAAGCTCGATTTGGGCGCCTTGGCGACTGCGACGGGTGCCTCCCGCCGGTTCGTGCGGCTCGCCAAAGCTACCGAGTGTATCGATATCTTTGGCTACGCACCGGGTTGTGTCCCGCCCATCGCGCATCGTCAGGCCATGCCGTTGCTTGTTGACAGGCATGTCGTCTCTGTACTTGAATGGAAGAGGGTCATGAAGACCGATGCCATGTAGCTCGCTGGACGCAGAAACGACACTTGTCGTGGGCAGTGGAAAACACCATGTGGTGCTGCAGCTGTCGCTGGCGACGCTTCGGACTCTCGTCGACGTCCGTATCGTACCGTTGTCCAAGGCGTCGGCTGCCGACATGGAGGCGACGAACGCCAAGTTCCTCGTGGATGCGCACTTGGGCAAGCTCGCCCGCTGGTTGCGCATGCGCGGTATCGACAGCGTTCAGTTCACGCAAGGCGAGAACAATCGCGACGCCCTACTGGACCAAGTACGTCCATTTTAGCGACGTCAAGGTGCCAATGAGGTGAACGTTCTAGGCGGCAGCGGAGGCGCGCATGGTGCTCACGACCGACCGTCGCCTTGCGGCGCGCCGAAGCGCCGCGCCATGCTTTCTACTGACGACGACGGATCCGCGCGACCAGCTTCGCCAAGTGCTCCAGCACTTTGGCTTGGGCCAGCAGAGCTCGGTGGCACCGAGGTACGTTTGCATAGCACTTGCTTGCAACCAACTAGAATGGACTAGTTTTGTCCATCCGCGCTGCACCCAGTGCAACAACGATACGTTCACGCTGGTCGACGCCGCCGCCGCGCAGACCAAGCAGGTGCTTTCCGCCACCACCCTTGCGTCGGTAACCGAGTTTTGGGTCTGCAACACGTGCAACAAGGTGTTTGGTCGGCGTGGAAGCGCTTTCAAGACGTTCGCTTCCAGGGCGTGACGAAGTAACCACGATTGCTTTTTGAGAATCTCAGTATATTGACATGGACATGTATCTATCACGTCTAGATACGACATGGATCACGTCGCTGCGTCTATCCTGGGACTCGCATTGCGATGGCGGCGCCAGTGCTGCACGTGCATGGCGAGCTGCGCACGGACGAGCCCCGCACTGGCTTCGAGCTGAGCCGATGGATCTCTGTTAGTCAAGCGTACATAGACCACGAATCGTACCTCGGCGCAGCGGCTGGAGACACGATCCCGTTCGCTTGCCGCACTCGCCACCAGCTGCGCGGTCTCGGTGTGCCACTGTCGCTGATCGGCAGCATACCGCGCTTGCAGCTCTTCCAGCGCTTGCTGGCTCACATGAGCGGCGTCGTCCGTAGAGGTTTTGGTCGATGCCGCCTCCAGTGACACGGACGCGTGGTGGAGCTCGGCTTGGAGGTCGGCGATGGTCGCCTCTTGGTTTGATGCGGCGGTGCAGAGTTGGATCACTTGCGTTTGCGCCTCGGCGAACGCCGCCTCGAGCCGCGCAGCGTCCTCTTGGAAGTGCACACAGTTGGCGCGAAGGTGCTGGTACTCTGCATGTCCCTGCACCGCTGTCAACAACTACGTAATTATTGTGTGAGCTCGAAAGGGCCTCCAACCATGGTGCTTCACCAATGCGTCGTCCGTGTTGCTACACATAAGGTTGAGATGAAGGAGACGACGATGAAGGCGGTGCGTACGTTGCTATTTGGATCGTCGTGCTCGGCGGGATGCATTGCACAGCCGCATCAACACCCCGAGGTGTGGCAGCTGCTGTCGTTGGTACTACGTCGGAAGGCTCCACTTCCGTTTGTATGGCCAAGTCGGCCTTTTCGAGATCGAGTGTTTGCGAAGTGGCGTCCTTCCCGATGGTCTCGAGTGTCGACTGGTATCCGACAGTTGAGACGAGGAGGAAGACACTACACAATGTACCAGAGGTGGAATGGGGTCGTGGGTGGTCCCGTTGTGCGCTTGATGCTCGTAGTGCAGTCGCTGAGCGCGCTCGCCTTGCCACGCTTCCTGGAGCCACTCGACGGTCTTTGTGAGTTCGCGAATCTCGGCTTCGTGCTCGTGCAATTGCTTCGATTGAATGTAAAATTCTTGCCCGAGCTCCGTGTTGGTCTTTGTGAGCTCGTCCAGCTCTTTCGACGCCTTGCGCTCCATCTCCCAGTGCAGCTGGAGATTCATCGACTGCTCGTGCTCCAAGCGATGCTCCAAAACGCGTACTTGATCGCGCAGCGCCTCGATGCGCGTCTCGTATGCGCGCGCTTGGTGCGCCCACTGCGCCGACGTCGTCGTCACCTGAGCTTCGAGCGCGCGCACGCGGGCCTCGGTGCTTTTGAGCTGGTTCAGCACGGACTAGAGCAATCATCTTCATCCTGCTATATGCGACAGCAAGGAGGTACCAATGTCGCGTCAGATGCACGCGCCGTCTGCTGCTCGTGCTCGAGTTGCTGGAAGAGGATGCCAATTTTCTCTTCAAACGCCTGCAGCTAAGTCCGCCATCATCACATCGGCACGTCGCTTCCTACAGCAGGTGTACCTGGAGCTCGTAGCTGGTTTTTGTCTGAGTCAAAAGATCGGATTGATACTCGTGGAGCTGCTTGAACCGGGTGCACGAGCCACAGGACGAGAGCTGCGTTGAAAGCACTTGGAGGTTGGCGTGGAGCTGAGCATGGGATGCGTCAAGCGCCGCCACCATGGATGCTTCGCTGCGTTCAACGAGCATTTGCATTTCGCGCTTGACGTCTGTCGCAAGACTCGAAGCATCGTCCATGGGTTCCCGCACCTATACCACCGCATCTCCGCACTTCTGTGCTCGTCATAGAAGCTTGTACACTGGAAATAGGTCTGGCAGCCAGTGTTGACGGTCCGAGGTGGTCCAAAAGCACTTGGTACAGCTGAGCTTTGGAGTAATTTGCGCCGTGGATCTTGTGGACAACGGACCATAGTTTATTGAGCAGCTGCTGGTTCCTACAAAGTAGAATATATCGATCGAGAATGTCTCTAAAGCAATGACATCCTACGGTGCAGCAGGTTGGCCTTTCTGAAGCCTTGCCAACTCCTCTTTCAAGACACGACACTCCTCCTTGGTCGCATGAACTTGAACGAGCGCCGCCGCGGCCTCCTCGATCGCAACGTCGCGCTCCGTGGTCGCGAGCTTGGCGGCCTGCTCCATGGTCGTGGCTGCGCCCGAAGGGTACCTGCCTTTGCCAACGGGCTGCGCCGGTCGAACCTGCGCCATGCCCGTTGGGATTTGAGCCCACAACGAAAATATCTTATCCGTTTCAGACGCGACACAATCTTGTAGCAAGGCGGCATGTGTCTCATCTCATGTACTTCAGCGGGTAGACTGCTCGCTTCGCGTCCGAGTTCGACAACGTGTCGGAGAATGTATTGGACGAGATCCGTCGCATCGTAGCTCGCTGGACACGATTCAAATTGACTCTGCCGCACAAGCATGCTGCTATCTATGTGCGAGCGCTTTAAAGGCTTGATCTTGCATACAACGTTACTGTTCACCGACATCGAGAGCATTTCGACGCAGCAGGCCTCGTTCGCGGATGCCTCGTGGGGCAAAGCAACGACACTATGGCATCGCGCAACCGGTCGTTTTTGTTGATACATTCCGATCGAGAGTCTTGGAGCCATCTCATGGGCGTGCCTTGTGCCAACGCTATCAAGCTTCCACCAACGTGCCATCCCCGTCAAGCAGCAGCTCAATTGTCTGAAGCGTCCTCCGCCCATGTGACGTGGCAGGTTGTGCATGGGAAGCCCCAAACATAGGATTTAGGCAGCTTTGGACAAGCGACTCAATGGAAGGACCCTTACAAAACAAAATCAACTTTTGAACTTTAACTCTTCGATCTTGCCGCGCTTCTTTGTATACGTAGACCGATGCTAATGCATGAGGGGAGGTAGCGCACACCGTATACTCTCCACGAACCTCCATTCTACTCTAAGAGGGCTTCCAACCTGCTACAGTTAGGCTTGATCTCGCGCAGCTCCGATTCTGACCCTGTTGTCCTTGTCCATCATCTCGTTTCTGGCATCGCCATTTATTGTACTGCACCAGAAAGTTCGAAGAAATAGAAAGACGGAAGATTTGGACCGTGCGTGCATCGCGTGGGTGCGACGGGTCGTGGCAGCCTCACGTGGTTGCGTGACGCTGGTTTGTATGGAACCGCGATCCGACACGGCCAAAAACCGAGTTATGTATAGAAACACGTGTCACGGGACTGACATTGCCTTTTCTAACGTCAAGAAGCCTTTGCCAGCGCATATTTGAAATCGATGCTTGCCGACGCCGCGTGGATCCTCCTGACGCTGCTGCTCGCCGTCGTGGTGCCAATATGCATTGCGTACGTCGTGCTGTGCCCCAGCGACCACGGCTTCTCGTACGCGCGACTGCCAGGTCCACCGCCGTCGCACTGGCTCCTCGGCAACGCGTATCTATTTTGCAGCCGCAGCAACCTGACAGCAACAACATAGGCGCGACATCTTTCAAGCCCGCTGGAACGAAGGCAGCTTCCCCGAGCCCGGCTTGTCGTGGTCGGTTCTCTTGACGTATTTTTGTGTCGTGGCCAACGCTGTCGTGTCCTCTAGGCTCAAGCAGTACGGTTCAGCGTACCACGTTCGCATCCTCTACATCCATCGCGTACGACGACCTGCAGTACCGAGGACTGCGCCCAAGATATGCGAATAGATTGCGTTGGCCGACCCGGTCGCGCTCAAGCACGTGCTCGTCACCAAGGCCAAGGACTTTCCACGCAACAATCTCTCGCGTGCGTTTATCACTGTACGAAACGACGCGTGCATTGTCACTTTGAAATGATGCAATGCGAATAGAAGCTCGTGCAGGGCGTCGGGCTCTTGAGCGCCGAAGGCGACGACCACATGGCGATGCGGCGCATGATGAACCCACACTTTTCCCACTCGAACCTCAAGAGCTTTGTGCCGCTGTTTGCCGCCCACACCCGCCGCCTCCTCTCGCAATGGCGCACGGACAAGCTTGTGGATACAAACGCGCCCGTCAACCTCTATGCTTGTACGGACTCATTTTGTGTTGTCCCGATGTATCGATCGTTATGGTGAGGACTAGACTTTACCAAGCTCACGCTCGACATTATCGGGATTTCGGCCTTTGGCTATGACTTTGGCGCGATTACTGGCACCGACGAGGCCGAGAGCAACGCGTACAATGACGCCAAGCTACCTGCGACGCTTTTTTCGATCCTCGGCACTGCGTATGTCCCGGGATGGCGCTACCTCCCGCTCCCTGGCTTTGCACGCCGGCGGGCTGCTCGGGATACGCTCATGGCCGTTGTGCTACGCGTGATTGAAGCCAAAATGGCGGCCCCGGCAGTCGATCCCCCCCGCGACCTCCTCGATCGGATGTTGGCGGCGGGCCCCGACATGTCGGCGACGGAGGCGCGTGCTCACGTGTTTACGTTTATGCAAGCCGGGCACGAGGTACTTATTCTGTCTCAGACAAGTTGTCTAATTGGCAATCTGCGGAGACGACGAGCAACACGCTGTGCTGGGTCGTTGCGCTGCTCTCGCAGCACCCGGCAATCGAGGCGGCAGTCCGCGCCGAGTGCCAAGCCGCGCTCCAGCAGTGTCCGGACGGCAGCTTCACGGCGGATGGCCTGGCACACATTCCGCTGCTGACGGCAGTGATTCAGGAAACACTGCGGTACTACCCGACCGTCATCAACCTCGCAGCGCGCGGCGTGACCAAGGACGAAGTCGTTCCGCTCTCGGATGGCTCGCTGTTGCACGTGCCCAAGGTACGAGAGCATTTCTCTTTTCATGAGTCGGTGAGGCACCTTGGCAAGTAGAGTGCAAATCTGTGGGTGGACGTGGCTGCGATCCACCGCAACCCGGCCTACTGGACGCGACCGGATGAGTTTGTGCCAGGTAGCTCTGCAAGCCCATGGAACCAAGTGGTGTCATGATGATGCGTGTGCTGTAGACCGCTTTATCGAAGGCACCGAGGTGCACGGCGCCGATTTGCATCTGCGCGGGGGCAAGGGCCACACGTTTTTCTACTTTCCATTCAGCGCTGGTACCGTGCTCTGAACACGCAGCACGGAGATGAAGATTGTGCGACTAGGCGAGAAGAATTGCATCGGCCACCGGTTTGCTTTGATGGAGCTGCAGACGATTCTTGTGCACGTGTTGGCCTCGGTTCGGTTTGCTGTGACACCCGCCGCCGTCTTGCACCCGAAGCGCCAACTCGCCACGATCACGCCGGTGCTGCTCGAGACAACCATCCATTCGGTCTAAACGCTCCAGTTCGGACGCCGCGTTTTGAAAACAAGGGAGCCCGCGTGCATGTCGAGAGCCAATTACGCTATATATAAGACTGGAGTCCTTATTGCGATACTGGTGGTGATGATGTAAGGTGTCTGCCGTGTTGAAGAGCCGTCGAATCGGCGCTGTAACTGCCGCTTCAAAAGCTTTGGTGGAGATTGTGAACGGTGGTTCGGGTAGCGCAAAAGAGTTGTTCTCGTCGCGGGAGACGGCAAGCGAGCCCTGCAGCCTGCTCCTCACCGTCGCCACCACCACGATCCGCCACGGCCTTGATACGAAGGCGACCGTTTGTTGTCGCTGGTCGTTTGAAGCCGAGCAAATTGGTCGCCGAGTCGTTGACACGTCCTCAAGCTGCCACGTCATGGGTGAAATCCAGAAACGTACGCCAGGTTCTAGATTTTCTCCCTGGATCACCGGGCGACGAATAGCATGCTTGTCCAAGCGCTGTGGACCTTGGCACTTGCTGGGGCGGTCTGCTACTACGTGCGCACGGTATGGCCGCGGCGCCAGATGCTCGCCAAGTTGCCGTCGCCACCTGCGTCCAGCTGGTTCCTAGGCCACGCGTACTCAGTGCTTTATGAATAAGACTACACGGGTGGCATGTTATTATAGGCGCGAAGTCATGGGCGATGTCTCGGGCACATACCCCAACCCCGCGCTCTCTTGGTATTCAACAAATGCACGTGCATGCTGGAGTTCGCGTCCATGCGTAGGCTCGAAGAGTACGGCTGTGTCTACTATTTTCGTCTTTTGCACTTGGGGCGCGTATGTGTTCCGTCTTCTGTGGACAATATCGTCTTCATTTGCATTGTAGGTGGCTCTGGCCGACCCCATCGGGCTCAAGCACGTGCTGGTGACGCACGCGAGTCGGTACCCGCGCGACGACACAACCCGGACGTTTCTCCGCGTACACCCATTCTCAAAAAGCAATATTGTCATTCTTTCTGTAGACGTACATGAACGGCGACAGCCTTGTGAGTGTCGAAGGCGCCGACCACGCGTCGATGCGCAAAGCACTCAACCCGCACTTTAACCTCGCGCACCTCAAGCTCTTTGTGCCCGTTTTTGTGGCCCACGCCAACGCGATGCTCGCGCACTTTGCGCGCGCGATCGACACCAACACGGCGCTCGACTTGCACCGAGGTGTAGCCGCCTCTCTCACATGAGCGCGCCGTCATCGCGGCCCTAGTGTGGTCGCTTCTGACGCTCGACATTATGGGCATCTGCATGTTTGGCTACGATTTTGGCGCACTCGCAGGCACCAACGCCGCGAACAACCAGGCGTATGTCGACGCGCAGTTCCCGCCGTCGATTGTCGCAATGGTGGGTACAGTGCTCGTGCCCGGGTGGTTCACCTGCCGCTGCCCGGGTACGCCCGCCGTCGCCACGCGATCGCCAAGCTTCAAGGCATTGTGATGCGTGTCATCGAAGCTAAAATGGCCCAAGCGATCGATGTTCATGCGAGCCACGACCGCCCGCCTCAGGACCTCCTCGATCTCATGCTCCTCTCGGACCGCAACATGACGTCGGCCGAGGCCCGGGTGCATGTGCAGGTTTTTATGCAGGCTGGCCACGAGGTTGTTGCTTTGTGCTTCTACCGCTTTGACACTTCAAGGTATCAAGTAGACAACGAGCCACGCGCTGTCGTGGGCGATTGCGATGCTCTTGCGCTACCCCGACGTCGCGGCCAAGGTACAAGCCGAATGCGATGCCACGAGCGCTCGCTTCGGCAACGAGCTTTCGCACGATGCCGTCGGCGACTTGGTCTACGTGACGGCCTTTCTCAAAGAGACAGCGCGCTGCTACCCGGCCATCACGATGCTCGCACCACGGTCCGTGACCGTCGACGACGTCATCCCGCTCGCTGACGGCTCGAGTGTTGCGATTCCCAAGGTATATTGTGTTTCAGACTTGTGTGGACATGGTATTGTCTGTTAGGGCACATCGATCTACGTGGATCTCGTGGCCATGCATCGCAACCCGACGTACTGGACGCGGCCCAACGACTTTTGCCCGGGTCCGCCTTCTTTCACGAACATCCGTTCGAGGCTTTAATGCTATGATGGTTAGAACGATTTATAGAAGGTAGCGCGCAGAGCAACGCGGATCGAGCGCTTCGGCACGGCGCGGGGCACACATTTCACTACCTTCCGTTCTCAATGGGTAGATACATGTTGAGTTTGAGTGCGATTTTTGAGATTGATACATCTTGCTACGTATGTAGGCGAAAAGAATTGCATCGGCCAGCGCTTTGCGATGCTTGAGATGCAAATTCTACTCGTCAAAACGCTCGCCGCGGTCGAGTTCAAGGCCACCAAGCGCACCAACTTGGACCCGAGTCGCGAGCTCGTATCCATCACGCCCACGTGCTTGGAAGTCACCGTGCACCGCCGCAGCACCACGACGGCTTGAAACTCGGTCGCCGTAGGCGCTATGGTTGTTTCAACATTCAAGTGAAACGATGAGCCGCATATCGATTTCACTCTACTAGTAGGGAATAATAACCATGTCTGACTCTCTTGATTTCATTGTGCTACTTGACGAGAACTATTGAATAAGATCTGCATCCCTTGGCTCAGGCGAATGACTCCCGTAAACACTGCCCGAAACGAGGCTGCTTTACGGTCGCGCGGGTGGTCGATCGCCACTCAACTTCAACATATCATCCGGATATTCATGATCCGCATCATATCATCCGGATACCCTACGCCTTTCCCAACAACGTTGACATCAACAGCCGCAGTCAGAGACGACGCGCGTGACTGAAATGTTGGAGTGGTCGCTGGTCACGACCGCCCTTCTCGGCCTTGGGCCGCTCGCGCTCTTGTACTACATCACGTCCAGCCCGTACTGGCGTGGGCTGCACAAGCTCCCCGGCCGCCATCGTCGTCGCTTCTGCTTGGCCTCGCGTACGCTCTCCATCATCGAAGATCATCACGCCGATGGATAATGTGGTGTATAGAGCAGACATCACGGGGCGCGACTGGGACAAGGGCCAATACCCGCATCCGAGCGTGAGCTAGTGCGCATGATCTCTTCTGGGGTTTCCCAGCTCATGCGTCTCTCATCGGCTAGCGCGCGGCAGTATGGCATGGTCTACTACAACCGCGTCGTACACATGCACCGCGTATCGGACTCAACTGGTCTTTGCACGGCTGACGACGGCGCGTAGGCGTCGATGCTGGACCCAATCGGGCTCAAGCACGTGCGCGTGACCCGCAGCGACAACTACCCTCGGGACCACCTCGCACGCACGCTCTTCCACGTACGTCCACCGCATTCGGTGCCAAAAACGACGATCGTGGATGCAGAAATGTTTCGCGGTGTCGGGCTCCTCTCGACGTTTGGCGCCGCTCACACGACGATGCGCAAGCAGCTCACGCCGCATTTTGGTCACATCCAGCGTTTTCTGCCCATCTTTCAGCGTCACGCTCGCCACTTTGTGGCGTCGCTACCGACGTCGACGCCAATCGATATGCTGGAAAGTAGGAGTATACCACATCCTGGACTCGACAAAATGATTCCAGCATGCCTCACGTCATCTTGGTTATCTAGAGTTGACGCAGCTCACACTGGACGTCATTGGCGTCTCGGCGTTTGGTTTTGCGTTTGGCGCTGTCGACGGTCGTCTTAGTCCCGAGCTCCAAGCGTTCAACGACGTCAAGATGCCTTCGTCGTTCGTTGTCAACCTCGGAATCGTCTTCTTTCCGTTCTGGGACTACCTTCCCTTTGCCTCGGTGCAGCGCCGGGTGGCAGCGACCGACACGATTCAAGATACGGTCTATCGTGTGATCGATGCCAAGCTGCAAGCACCCGCCGACCGAGACGTGACCGATCTGCTCGACCTCCTCCTGCTTTCGGGCACGTCGGCAGCCGACGCCCGTGTCCACGTGACGACCTTTCTGCAGGCCGGCCACGAGGTAGTAGGCGAAAGGTCATCGCTGCCCGTCAGGATACTTGTTGGCTAGACGACGTCGGGGACGCTGGCGTGGGTACTGGTGCAGATCGCGACGCATGCGGACGTGGCGACTCGGGTCTATGCAGAGTGCCGTGACGTGCTACATCGGCATCGAGACGACGACATGACAAGCGACGTGCTGGCCGAGCTACCGTACTTGACGGCGGTGATTCAGAAACCTTGCGCTTGTACCCCACAGGACCGTCGCTCGCCGATCGCATTGCGCTCGAGGACGATACCGTGCCGCTAATCGGTGGCAAGTCGGTCTTTATCCCCAAGGCACCATCCACGTCGTGTGGTGCTGCCACGTGGAAAGACGTCATATGTATGGTTAGGGCACGCAGCTCTCATTTGATATTTTGGCCATGCATCGCAACCCGATGTTTTGGACACATCCCGATTCGTTTCGTCCAGGTTCGAGTGCGATTGTGTGGAAAAAAATGTCATTGTCGATGTAGACCGGTTTCTGAACGGCCATCCCCTTCAATTGGCCGACAAGGCGCTGCGGGGCGGTATTAGCCACGCGTTCGTGTACCTTCCGTTTGGTGCAGGTATGTTGTATTTCTCGATACTACACGAAAAGGATAGACTTGATACGTTGATACTGGACTAGGCGTCAACCACTGCATTGGCCAGCGGTTTGCCATGCTGCAAATGCAAGTCCAACTACTCTACCTTCTGGGAACGTATCACGTGACATTGACGCCCAATGCCAATGTAAACCCCAAGCGGGATCTGGTGACGATGCACCCGACGCATCTCGAGGTGCTGCTGACCAAAGTGTGACCCTTTTATCAAAGACGGTGCTAGCTAATTGCACGTTATACGTGTACAATGTACAGTACACTTGTTTCTGGAGCTACGTGCGCGTCGTGGTATCGCATGGAACGAGCTTTCTTTGATGCCGTTGCCGCGCGCGGAGGGCGCTGGGGAAGAAAGCGCTTGCCCTTTGATTGCCATGGTCGGCTGACAGAAAAGGGTGTATTTGGACATGGGTGAATCGGTCCAACGGATTCCACGAGGTCACGGGACATCAATAGCGACGGTACACATACCGAGGTATACCGCGAGAACACACCATCAACCCCCTCGTAGGCAGTTGTCGCCCTTGCCGTCGAGCTCTCGGAAATGGCTTTCACCTGACATACATTAACCCTTTTTTGTCAATATGGGATGCTGGTGTCTTTTTACGTCATGAAAATTTCGAATCCGATTCCTGCGGCTTCGATATTTCGTGCTCAACGATGGCGCTGACATTGATGGGCAGCGTAGCCGCCGGTGCGCTCATCGCGCTCGGCCTGTTCGTCTACGTGCTCATGCAGCCGTACGTCCGCGGCCTCTACAAGCTCCGAGGCCCACCGTCGTCGTCGCTGCTGCTCGGCCTCGCGTACGTAGCGATGTGTCTTGTCGACTGTTAGCATTCTGCGTGCTTGTAGTGTCGACCTCGGTGGCATCGATTGGGACCGAGGCAACTACCCGCAGCCCATCGTCCGCTAGTACGCACGCCTTGCAACGACGCGCCTCTGATATCGGCAATGCTCTAGCGCTCGCGAGTACGGCATGGTCTACTACAATCGTCTGTTTCACATGCACCGGGTACGCTCCGATCGCTCGCACGTCTAGCGACGTCCAATGTAGATGGCCATGCTGGACCCTGTGGGGCTCAAGCACATTTTGGTGACCCGAAGTGACATCTATCCTCGGTGCCACATCACGCGCACGCTCTTTCAAGTATGTGCAATCGATATCTCTTGAACACGATTGAGATCTTTGTGATGCGACTAGAAACTGGCGCGGGGCGTCGGCTTGCTCAGCGCGGAAGGCGCTGTCCACGACCGCATGCGCAAGCAGCTGCACCCGCACTTTACGCCGCTACAGATCAAAAGCTTTCTGCCCATTTTCGAGCAGCACGCCAAGGCCTTTGTAAGCCATTTACAGCCGTCAACACCCATCGACCTCCTCGAGCGTACACCCTCTGCCACACGCACTGTATCATCTTGATACGACTAGGCTTGACGCAGCTGGCGCTGGATGTGATTGGTGTGACGGCCTTTGGCTTTGTATTTGATGCGATCAAGGGCAAGCGAAGCGACGAAATTCGCGCCTGCGAAGACTGCAAGATTCCCATTTCCATTTTGGCCAATGTGGGCGCCGCGTATTTTCCATATTGGGACCATATCCCGCTGCCTTGGATTGCGCGCCAGGCCCGAGCCAAGGACGTGCTGCAGCAGCTCGTGACGAGCGTTATTGACGCCAAGCTCGCGTCGCCCAAGACCCGCACGGCCCGCGACCTCTTGGACCTGATGCTGCTCTCGGAGATGTCGGCCGCGGATGCCCGAGTGCACGCCGCGACCTTTCTCCAAGCCGGGCACGAGGTAGCACCTATCAACTGGCGCGATGGTTGATACATTGATAGACGACGAGCAACACGTTGGCATGGGTCATTGTCACGCTGACTGCGCACCCGGAGATGGCCGAGCGCGTGCACCGCGAGTGTCAAGACGTCCTTGCGCTGCACCCAACCGGCTTAACCGCCACTGCGATATGCGACATTGTGTTTCTAACCGCTTGCATTCACGAGACGCTGCGGTTGTATCCGACAGCCCCGACCCTCTCGGACCGTATTGCAACCCAAGACGATGTGGTACCGCTCGTCGACGGTCACTCGTTTTTCGTGCCCAAGGTCGCTCCATATATTTGCAAAACAAGGATGTTAACACTGTGGACTGTAGGGCACCCAAGTCGGGATCGATGTGCTGGCCATCCATCGCAACCCGAGGTTTTGGACGCGCCCGGATGCCTTTTTACCAGGTACGACCGGGAACGAGAGGCTGAGTAGGCTGAAGCAGTGCGTAGACCGCTTTATGGAGGGACACGCGCTCCAGCGTGCCGACAAAGCCCTCCGCGGCGAGCTGAGTCAGTCGTTCGTTTACCTTCCGTTTAGCACTGGTAGGCTGTCATGACACCGGCGTGCGATGATAAAATAATGTGCCTAGGCGCTAAGAACTGCATTGGCCAGCGCTTTGCCTTATTGGAGATGCAAGTCGCTTTGGTCTACCTGCTCGGCACGTATCGCGTCCACTTGACGCCGCGCGCCAACGTCTTTCCGAAGCGCGACCTGACTACGATGCACCCCACGCTCTTGGAGGTGACATTGACGGCGTAGTAATACCTATCAATAATGTTGTCTACGCAATAATGTTGTCTCCGCAATGATTGTACTTGTCCAGGACGAGAGCACTACACGCGTTCAACGACCATCATCACCGCACTGCGTTTCGAATTTCAAAACGGTTGCGTGACACGGATTTGTATTTATTTGTCAAAATAATTGAAACTAGATACAAATCATCGTCACTGGACTGAACAGAAAGGCCGAAGATCGCAATCCGCACAATCAAATTGCTTTGGCAAAAACGACTGGAATCGACGATGTTGCTGACCGTGCTGGCGCTTCTACTAGTGCCACTATGTCTCTTGGTGTGGCGGGCGCGGCCGTACAAACGGTCACTCGCCAAGCTCCCGAGCCCGCCAGTGCTCCACACGCTCTTTGGTCACGCGTTCGTCAATCAACGCACCCGTGGTTCATCTCAGTCGTCCCCGTAGGAGCGGTGTCATGGGCATTGACTGGACGGCCGGCAATTACCCCGAGCCAGGCGTGAGCTGGTGCGCGGTCTCGTGCGCACCGGTATTCTATCGCACTTTTTTTGTAGGCTGCGACGCTACGGTCTTGCCTACTACCACCGCGCGATGCACATCCAGCGGGTTGCGCTCGGCGTGTGTTTGTATTCCTCAAACGTTCATGCGTAGATTACGCTTGCCGACCCGGTTGGGCTCAAGCACGTACTCGTGACGCACAGCAGCAAGTACCCGCGCGACCACATTTCCCGCACCATTTTTTCGGTACTCTTACTTGATACATTGATAGATTTATACAATCTTACCATGGCAGAAAATGTTTCGAGGCACCGGGCTCCTCTCGGCCCACGGCGCGGCCCACGCCGCGATGCGCAAGCAGCTCAACCCGCACTTTACGCACCTCCAGCTCAAGAGTTTTGTGCCGATTTTTGAACTGCACGCGACGCGTTTTCTCAAGGTGCTCTTAACACTGCCGGCGCAAACTCCGATCGACCTCCATGCGCGTACGCTCGCACGTCAATTGGATCTCGAATGAATGCGAGTGTAGATTTTACAAAGCTCACGCTCGATATCATCGGCGTCTCGGCCTTTGGCTATGACTTTGAGGCAGTTCTGGATAGCACAAGCGCCGACCTGCGCGCCTACGACGACGCGCGGCTGCCATCGTCGCTTCTACTCACCCTCGGGATGACGTGTATTCCCTTTTGGGAGTACCTTCCATTCGCCGACATTTCCAAGCGGCGACGCGCGACCGACACACTCCAGCGCATCGTCTTGCGCGTCATCGAGGCCAAAATGCTGGCACCCACTGCGGGCTCCAGCGACCTCCTCGACCTGCTCTTCGCCTCGGGCCCGCGCCTGACGCCGGCTGAGGCGTGCGTCCATGTCATGACCTTTCTTCAAGCCGGGCACGAGGTTCATCGCTGCATCCAAATCTGCACTATCGAGTACGAATTGTCATATAGACCACGAGCAACACGCTGTGCTGGGTGCTCGCGATGCTCGCAAAGCACCCGGCCGTCGCCGATCGTGTGCACGCCGAGTGCAAAGCCGTTCTAGAGCGTTTTCCCGCACCGTTGCCGTACGAAGCACTAAGCGAAGTACCGTACCTCACGGCGGTCCTCCAAGAAACCTTGCGCTGCTACCCCACCGTGCCGGCACTCGCCGCTCGCGATGCGCTCGACGACGACACCATTCCGCTGCACGATGGATCGACGCTCTCTGTGCCTGCGGTATGTGGTTTTTCTTTTGCGATACATCGACTTTTTGTTCGTATTGGGGTTAGGGTACGGCGATTTGGATCGATATTGTCGCCATTCACCGCAACCCTGCCTTCTGGACGCATCCCGACGCGTTCCTTCCCGGTGCGGTGTTGATGGATAAAGTGGTCGACTAACTAACGCCGGTGGCTAGAACGCTTTCTCGATGGTGACGCGCTGTATGCTGCCGACAAGGCACTGCGCGATGGCATGAGCAGCACCTTTTTCTATCTCCCGTTCGGCGCAGGTACTACCAAAGAGGCGTGGCGGGATCGTCCGATGACGAGTATTCCTAGGCGACAAGAATTGCATTGGCCAGCGGTTTGCCATGATGGAGATGCAAGTGATCTTGCTGCACCTTCTTGCGTCGCACAAGTTTCCACTGACAAAGCGCGCTTGCATGCACCCAAAGCGAGACATTGCCACCATGACACCCGTGTGCTTGGAGACCACGTTCGAGCCTCACCAAGCCGTTGCCGCGTCCTCGTAGCCGACAGCGATTCGCTTCCTAACCGACACCTCGAACGTCATGTATCAATGTATCAATTTGCGGGTTATCGAGCTTTGGCTACTTGGATGGCGGCGCCGACGTGCTACAGTAAGGTTACATATAAGTTGTGAGCGCCACGACGTTGTTCGTACCGAAAGACCGAGCCAGAGTTGAGAGCAGAATTGATCCGGTTGAGCTACATACATGCCTTGGCTGCAGCCAACAAATCAAGGTAGTGTACCAGATTGGCTTGAGTTTGGGCGCTTGCTGGCGGCGCCGTTTGAAGCGACATGCGACGGGTCAAGCTGTTGGACTTGGAGCCTAGCCGCACCATGACATCTACCAAACACACAAGCGTGTTCGTACTGCTGACGTGGTACGGGGCCTCCGCATGAGCGCTCACACCGTCTTCTTCCTCTTCGTCGTGGCTCTCGCCGTCGTCTTCGTCCGAGCTGTAGTCGTCGCTCGTTTTGATGGCTTCAATGGCCTAATTCCAGAATTTTACTCTGTCAGAACCTTGCTTATGATTTTGCGAGATACCGCGAGAATGCGGTCGCGGTGGGCCTTGACTTTGATGCCGACTTCAGAGATCAGTGCGGCTTCGGTAAGGTCCAAAAGGGCTTGTCCGTCGATTTGCAGCGCATCGAATCGGTCCTACGCACCAATATTGTCTATGAATTCGCAGACATCTTGCTTCATACCACGACATCGGGGACTCCGACATCTTCCTTGAGCCACAAACAGACATTTTCAACGTTCCATTCGGCCACCACTGGTGGTCGACCATGAGACGCAGCGACATAACTCGGATCGTAAAGTACCTTGTGCCAACGAGACGTCCTCGTCGTCCTCTTCATCCTCTCCATCCTCTTCCACTTCATCTTCTTCCTCATCTTCCTCATCTTCGTCGTCGTGTCTCTCTGCTGTCTTTGCCGCTGGTTGCGATGCGCCTTGCGCCGTGAGCTGCGCCAACGCGAACGACCGTCGACTGAGTCGATCGCTGCCGTCCTCGTCGGGCGTGCCGTGCAGCTGCATCGTCGACATGCGTCGTTGCAGCTCCGCATTCGGATCGGGCTGCATCAGCTGTTGCAGATTGCTCTCGGATTTGCGCTTGGGAGACGTCTGCAGACAACATTATTGAGCGATTCGACTCGTCGGAAAAAGAGAGTACGGCGAGGGTGGGGGTGGCGTCGACGGCGGGGTGGTACCACCGTCGCAGCAGTCGTTAAGGACGGCTTGCACGACGTTGAATGCACGACAATGACGTCGGCGGGAAAAAGCTCGCCGCACCGAATGCACTTGATGGGACGTTTGGGGCACTTGGGCATATGCGTCGCAAAGGCCGTGCTGGGAAACTACGCAGACTCGCATGGTGCAATATGACGGACGACGCGAATGGAGGTGTACGCTTTGTTGGCAGTGGGCGCACTGTCGCGCGCTCTGCTTGCAGCTCGTCTCGTGCCGCGCAAGGTCGCGTGCGATGATGACCATGTTGCAATACTGACATCGCTTGGGTTTCCAGTCGCAGCTATGCGATTTGGCTGGCGGACACACACTTGGAGCATGCGACGCACCTTTGTTCGTGCTCGTCAAGCTCCTTGGACGGGAACGACTCGTCGCAGTACTTGCATTCTTGCTACATGGCGGTTCTTATAGGCCGTTTTAGCTTGCCACGTGTCTACCTTATCGACGGTCGACATCGGCGTCTCGGCCACGATCGGCTTGGGCACCTCGGGCTTCGCCACGGATCGTTTCGGGCACTTGGTCAAGACGTGCTTTTCCAAGCCTCGTTGAAGAAACTTGCCACCGCATTGGTTGGGACACTGCACGAGCCGGCAGTCGCAGACGTTGATGTGTTCTTGCAGCTCCGACATCTAGCGATGGGAGTATCAACTTGGTATCCATTCTTCGAAAGAATAGATACTTTTTGACGGCGGAGGCAGTGCGGACATTGCTTCATCACTTGATCGCACGTGAGTTCGTGCTCGGCCATGTCCGAGGCCTTCACGTCGTTGAGGCAGTGCTTGCACTTGGTCAAGGCGCAGTCGCCGTCGTCCTTGGCCCGGCCAACCTTTACATCCTCTCTCAGATGACGCTGATAAAGGACATGGTGTTGGAGACCTCCAAGCGCACGGGGCACTGTGTTTGTTCGTGGCTGCTCAGCGCCGATGCGGCCATCTCGAGGTTGCACAGCTTGCACTTGACGTTGCTCGTGACCTGGGTGTTCTCCGTTGTCGGTGTCGGTGCGGCTTTGGGCGGTGGTGACGTTGGCGGTGGCATCGAACCGAGCGAGTGCCGACGTTCACGCTCGAGCTTGAGCCGCTGCTCGACTCTGGCCTTGGCGAGCTCCGCCTCCGCCAAGGCGCCTTGCATTGCAGGGACGCCGTTGTCGGTTGCCTCCTACACCAGTAAGCAGTCATGATCAATTGACAGATGTAGTACCACACATGTCGACTGCGGGCCCGACAGTTTGGGCATTGGTGTTGATGGCTTGGGCGGCAACACTGGCGGTGGCTCGACGTTAGACGGACCTCGTGGCGGGGCTGTGGACGTTGCCGGTGGCATTGGAGCGCTCGGCTCGGGAGCTTTCGGTACGGACGAGCTCGCGGTGGCAGAGATACCCTTGGTAGTCACATGTGGGGCAGACGTCCCTGGTTGCGATGGCAGAGTTGCCTCGGGTGTCGGTGTAGTCTCCTTTGGTATCGATGGCCCTGGAGGCGGTGCGGACTTTGCAGGAACGGGTGGTGCCGGCGCCGTGCTGTGTGCCTGTGTTGTTGTGGTCGTCGGCATCGGTGTTGACATTGCCGCTGGTGTCGGTCTGGCCGCAGGCGTGGACACGGGTGCCGCAGATGGCACGGGTGCCGACACCGTAGCTAGTGTTGGTGTAAACACTGCAGCTGGTAGTGAGGCGGCTGGTGGCGGTGCGGACGCTGAGGCTGGCACTGACGGAACTGGAGTAGAAGTCGTCAAGCGAATGGGCGTGGCAGGTATCGTCGTTGGTGGAAGCTCTTGAGGCGGCAACGTCTCGGGCCTCGTTTCCGATCCAGCAACCGACGTACTAACTGGCGTCGGGGCGTTGTAGGGAGCCGGCTGTCCCACGGGTACAGAGACCGCTAATACAGGTGCGACTGGTGCTACGAGTGTCTCACTGACTTGTACCGTCCCCGCCGGCGATTTGATCGCCTCTGGTTGCTCGCGCATTGGCGCAGAGACAGGCGTTAGCGCGATCGGTGTGGACGGCAGTCCACTCGGCGTCTCTGTCGCAGGTTTGCCTGACGTCGGAGGAAAGGCACCTTGCATGAGACTCGCTAGCATCATCGGATGGTACGCCATGGCATGCATGCTCTGCGTTACGTCTGGGGGCAGACCATACATGGGCGGGTACGACGGCCACATGGGGTACGCTGGCGGTGGCGGATACGCCGGCGGCGGCTTGGTGTCTGCCGCTTTGAGCTTGGCGACATCGGATTGCAGCTCGAGAATGGAAGCCTTTGCACTCTCGACCGTGCTTTTCGTGAGCGCGTCTGCTTGCTGCAGACGGCTCTCGGTGGTTTTCATGCAAGTGTCGAGTGCGTGGAGTTGCATGGGCAAAGCGTCCATCTTGGTCGATAGGCTCTTGAGCGCCTCGGCGTGAGCTGCTGTCGTTGCCTCGTGGGCTTGCCGCCACTGTGACTGTGCGATCGTCACTTGCCCAGAGACGTCCGAAAGCTTGGCGGATAACGTGCTCTGGAGGGCGTCCTGGGACGCTTGCAGCGCATTTTTAAGCTTGATCGTAGCGTCCGCAGCGTCGTTGTGCTGCGTCTGAAGCGACCGCTGCGCCGCGTCGAGTTGTGTCTGCGTCCATAGCTTGGCTTGTGCGAGTTCGTTGGCCACATCATCGAGCGCTCGTTTGCGATCCCGCTTCTCGGCTTCGAGCTGCGCCATCCACTCGGTTTGCTTGGTGACCAGCGCCGTCTCGAGCTGCGTCTGGACTTGACCGACAGTCTGATCGAGCCTGGCGAGCTGCTGGCGCACCTAGAACCCGTTTGATGATATTCTCGCAGCACCAGATGCGGTGAACATACTTGACGGTCAATACTGTCGATGGCTTGCTTGGTCTGCGACTCGACCGCGACCACAGCGTCTTGGCTACGGCGCACGCGTGCCTCGGCGTCTTGGCTCCATGATGACTGCAGCTGTCTCGTCTGGTCGTGCACGAGGGTCTGGACTTGCGTCTAGTAGACAAAACGAGTACTACAATGCAGCTCACAACCAGATTCGGAGGCGCACCATCCATTTGGTCTCGCGCTGGGCCAGCTCCAGCTGCAGGGTTTCACTCGACGCCGTTGCTGCTTTGCGCGCTTGCGCATCGGCAATCGCTGCAATCGGCGCCGTCCACGATTCTGAAAACGGGACGTCGAGGATCTGGATTCGATCTGGTGCTGGCAACGATGCAGGTATCGCTTGCTGGTGCTTCTCCAGCCGCTGCACATGGGCCTCCGTCTCATTTTTGAGATCGTCGATGCGCGTATCAACGTCCTTGACGCGCTTGACCAGACTGTCGACGAGGTACGATGTCGACGTTGCCGTCCGCGTCACATCGCCGATGAGCGAGCCTATTTGATGCGTGAAGAACTCGTAGGATCGTATAGGTCGCTCGTACCTTGGTGCTGCAGACTCGCATTGAGCTGGGCTTTGATCGGTTCAACGCACGCGTTAAAGTGCACGAGGAGCTCAGGCCGCGACAGCTTTTCCTGCATCGCCACCTACAACATAGTGTAAATCATGATCAATTTCGGGAAAAACTCGAAAAACCTGAATCGAGTTGGCTTGTTCGCGGAGGGCGGCGACAATCTGGCGTAGCTCGAGCAGCTGGTTGTCGGCCTGCATGCGCCACGACTCGTCCTTCCCGCACATGCTCTGCACGTGGTACATGATGTCCTTTTGCGTGGTGCAGTCTTGTCGGAGTTTCTGGTGACTTTGGTCGATCGTGCGAAGCTCGCGGTCGACGCTGCTGGCTTCCATGCGCAGCCGGTCGATCTCGTCCGAGTTGCTCTTGGTCAGCGCCATAATTGCGCTCAGCTGGCGCTCGGCAATCGCAGCGCGTGCGTCGACTTCGAGCTTGATGCTGAACCGGATTTGCTCCATCATGTGCGTCAATTGGTAGCTCTACGCACGCGCCGTTGAGGCGGCTCCACTTGGTTGAGAACGATGATCGAGTTGTACCGCGTGGTGCGGAAAGGGCATTTCAGTATACTGGTTGCCGCCATCGGTGGGCGGCGGGTGCTTGGGCGCCTCGTCGACCTTGCGCATTGGCGGTGGCGTTGCGGGCCGCCACTCGCGCGTGCCAAACTCCTGCGGCAGCCGGTGGCCCGGCGGCGGCGCATACGACGCCCGTGGCGGCTCGTGGTCGCGGAACTGCGCGCGGAGATTCTCGTCCGTGCATTTGATGATCGCTGCGAGGTTGGCCTCCCAGTCCATGCGTTCAAAAATGCAGTTTCACTCGGTTTTGGTCGACCTGCAGAAAGGATACAAGATTTTGGACGACGACAGGCGTGCAATGCCAGAATTTGGATGGTATCCCTAGCCTGCTACAATCCAATGCAGCTTCAATACACTGTACTACCAATATTGCATGAAGCGACGACTTGATGGACGTGGTGTGGAGGCGCATCCAGTGTAGCGGGCAGATGTCCCTACTTGAAGCCGGGTGCTGCCACGTCATGCATCCTCCCACTAGCAGTGTCCTGTCTCTCTCGTACGCAGGGCACGCTCACACATAGATCGCGAGCGAGCAGTTGAGGCTCGCTTGCGTTTCTAATATACCTCTCTGCACGCTATGAACGGGGCATCACGAGGTTGGAGGCGACCTCGCGCAGTTCTCTGACCGGCCCTCGCCTTTGTAAATGGCTGCGGAAGACCAGCATCGACCACACTCGGCTGTTCGGTCATCGATGCAACGAATCATCGGAGTACATGTAGAAAATACAGAGCTACATGGCCGAGATGGAGCCGACGACGTCTGTCTCGAGGGGCATGAAAAGCTCGCACTTCTTCGCATCGGTTGCGATCGCTGCAAGCGTTTCCATGTAGCGCACCGCAATCATGTACTGCGTCGTATCGATCGCCATGTCCTTGAGCGAGTCCTTGACGACGGACAGGGCTTCGGCCTCCGCACGGGCAATCAAGAGGCGCGCCTCGGCGGCCGCTTTGGCGCGGATGATGACGCACTGCTGCTCGCCCGTTGCGATGGCGACCTTGGCCTGCGAGTCGCCTTCGGCCTCGGTCTTGACCTTCTCGCGGTAGCCCTCGGCCGTGACGATGGCGGCCCGGCGCACGCGCTCGGCCGAGAGCTGCTTGTGCATGGCCTCTTGCACCGAGCTTGTCGGCGTAATCTCGAGGAGCTCGACTAGTATCGCATCATACACATCATCGAGACAGTGCAAGATGGAAGAGAGGACGTACCGCGATGGATGCGGAGCCCCAGTTGAAGCAAATGTGGCTGATCTTTTGAAGGATCCCGCGGTTGATCTCTTCGCGGGACGCGAGCGTGTCGTCGAGGCCCATGTCGCCGATGATCGAGCGCAGCGTGGTTTGCACGAGCTTCTTGATGGCCTGCGAGAGGTCGTACACTTCGTAGCAGACCTTCATCGGGTCGCAGAACTCGTAAATGACCATCGGCCGCACGGCAATCTCCACGTTGTCGCGTGTAATGATGGTCTGGAGCTTGAAATCCATGATGGTTTGACGCGCGTCGACGCGGTAAAAGCTCTTGTCGATGAGCGCATCCGGCTCGTGGGGCATTTGAATCTACATTGGCCATCCGGTCACGCCCGCGTCGCTGCCATTGCAGGTACCTTGAGGCGGCGCCATGTGATCGTCTTGACCTTGTCCATGTAGGGCACGAGAAAGTGCAGGCCAGGGCCCCACTACGAGAGCGACGACGTTGGCGGACACGGCGTGTGACAGGGTACTACCTTGGTGTGGAAGCGGCCCCAGCGCTCGACAATGACGACCTCCTTGTGGCGGACGACGATGGCGCTGGCGAGGAAGGTGCGGAGGATGCTTAGCAGCGGCAGGCCGATCGTGATGCCCAGGAAGATGGCGAGGATGCCATCGTTGTCGACGGCCATGCTGCGCGTCGGCTTGGCAATCGAATTGAAAATGCAAACCCGTTAGAAAACCCACTCAGTCACACGACCGTGTGCCCCGGGGTACGTTGCCCGCAACTGTGTCTTATTTCCGACGCGGCTTTCTAACCGACATACAAAATACAAGTGGATTGCATTGCATGGGCAAAGTGGATATATTAATATACAGATATTTTATCCATAATTTAATGCTGCATTGTGATACCTTGCACATGGTATGGATGGAATGTCACGGACAAAAAAGCAGCCCGTGGACATGATGTTTTATTTCATTCAATTCGTGTCGTCAGAGACAAGCACGAGTGTGCGTTTTCTTTTTCACATGGGGGAAACCCACGTGAACAATGTGTGTTTTTCACATCGCGACTCAACGCGTACTCTGGATGCTGGCGTTTACAAGGCGACGTTGGCACCCAAGTCGCGGACGCTGCTCTCGATGGACGACCGCAGCGACGGGATTGTATCAAAGTATTTTATTACCAGTGTGCGAGACTGGCGTCGGAATAATAATATGCACCCGAAGAACACGGTGCAGATCTTCGTTTTTGTCAAGGAAATGCGCACTTTATCGGGTTCCCATACAAAAAGTGAGAGTTCTATTAAGCACGAGGCAGCGCCCCTGCATCGACCCGGTCAAGTGCGCTTGGATCCCACGCCAGCACGGAAGTCATCTCCCAATCTCGCCGGTCCCAGCCATGTCGAGCCGCTTCTCGCTGACGCGCCAGGTCGACCGCAACTCGGGGCGCCGGGACAGCACGGTTGACCACAGCGCCGTGGAGCTCAACCGGCGCCTGAGCGTCGAGCAGCCCGCGGTCACGAGCGTGCCCCACTTCTTTGTCGGCCCAGCGACGCCGTCGCTCGACAAGGACGCGCCCGTCCGCGCGCTCCACGGCGAGCGCAAGATTGTCAAGAGCAAAGTCGCCGCCTGGCTGGACTCGGAGCCGCAAGACGAGGCCGCGAACGCGGTTGGCATGACCCGCTTCCAAGCGGCCGGCCGCTACTTTGGCATGAAGGTCGCGAGCATTGCCGGTGCGATGCTCAAAGATCCCGACACGCAAGTCAACCCCGACTCGTTCTGCGACGGCTGCGGCATGGACCCGATCGTCGGCCACATGTACACGTGCTCGCAGTGCGACAACTACAACCTCTGCACGAGCTGCTATCGGTCGGGCATCCACGGGTACGAGAACAGCGCGCTGCTCAAAGCCGTCCGCGAAGACTACGCGGTCATGGCCGTCGTCGAGCAGTGCAAGCAGCTCGTGCCCGATGAGGTGTTTACGCTGCTTATGAAGCAAGTCTGCCGCGGCCAAGTCGACCGGTTTAAATTCCTCGTACGTCCATTGGAATATCTCCACCTCGCATGAACTCGGAGTTCTAGGCCAACTGGATCTGCGGCGTCGTCCTCGGCAACAGCATCAGCACGCTCTCGGTCCGCGGAATTGAGATCCCGCATCTGGGCAAGGAGACGCGCGCACGCCTCGTCGAGCTCCTCACGCCGCCGCTCTCGGAGCGCGAAGACATTGAAGTGTCGATGGAGTGGTTCACGCAGGTACACATGTCGAATGCACCAAGAAGAAGCGTCCTCAAATGACATAGCCGGACGAAGGAGCGATCTCAGAGACGCTGCGCATTTGGGTGTGTACGGACAAGGAGACCAAGTCGCCGTTCGCGCCGCGCACCAACAGCCCCATCATTTACAGCCCGGGTGCTGGCCCCATCCTGCCACCATCGCCGTCGGCGTCCGACCTTCTCTCGCCGCCGTCGTCCATCGGCGGGCTCCCGACGAACGCACCACCGTCGCCACCAGGGCTCGACTTGCCGCCCGTCGTTAGCATCTCGCAGCCCAACAGTCCAGCGACGAAATCGCCGCCCATGAAGCCGAAGCTCTCGAGCCCGATTCCGCGGGCCGAGCTGCGCCACGACGAGAGCCTCGATGGTCCGTGCACACCTCGCTTTGCGGCCGACGACGACGAGCTCGCGGTGGCGACCATCACAGCCAGCACCAAACAGCTGCATGTCGCCCACCATAGTTACTAGTTACCTTCTCGCAAGTATGTACCTGATCAATCAACACCACATTCTGCTACGTCGATTGCCTCGGACGTCCGTTGTGTGTTTGTACACTTTGCACTCTACGGGGTCGCATCCCGTGCCGTTCAGAACACCAAGGACAGGCGTACATTATTTATATGGCCTTTTTGTGAATACCATTGTGATGCAACGGACGGCCTGGCTATAAAAAGGCACGCGGTTTCCAGACGCCTCGGCTCATTCGAGTAACGTTGGCAGCGCCGATGCAGCACGTGCGACGCCAGCTCAAGCGCCTCGTCGGCGTCGCCGTCGCGACGCGCAACAAGCTCATCAAGCAGCGCAAACGAGGCGAGTCCTTGCGCAAGTGGGTGGGCCGCAACCTCGACAACTCGCGCCTCGCCGCGATCCTCGACCTCTACCAAGTACTCCTCGGGTACCAGTCCACGAATGTCTTCAACGCCAAACGTCACGACGCTTGTAGTGTGATTGTGACGGGCATGTACAGCCTCCGCAACTGGGATATGTGGGACACGTCGCTCGACTCGATGACCACGCGGTATATCCAAGCCTTCTTCGGCACCGTCTTCCTCTCCGACTACCTGCTCCGGTACGGTCCCGCAGATCCATACATATATATATCTATATCGTCGATATGGAGTTGACATGGCGTATCAGGCTGTACGCGGCCGACAACCGCAAGGCGCACATCCTCGCACCGCTCGCCATTATGGATTTTTTGGCGATTTTACCGCAATTTATCGAGCTGCTCGTGCCCGACAGCTTTAGCCGGAAACACTTTCTGTGGGTGACCGGCATCAAGACGCTGCGGCCGTTCCGGTGCCTCTGCTGCTTTCGGCTCCTCGCGTTCGCCAACACGGCGCGGCAGCGAGAGACCTTTGTACTCTTCAGCGCCGTCATTTGCATCATCATTTGCTTTGGCTCGACGCAACAGGTGCTCGCCTTTCTTGTGTCGAGTGTGCTCAATAGAGTGGTAGGCCATTGAGGCGTGTCCGTGCATGCAGAACGCGACCATAGACCCGACCAACTGCTCGATCTGGGAGAAGGACGATCTCGACGGCGCGTGCACCGACCTCCCGATTTACAACGCCATGTATTTCGTTGTGATTACGATAGCCACGCTTGGGTAGGCTACGCATGTGGATAACATTGTCTATAGGGTGTTTTTGTATAGGTACGGCGACATTGCACCGAGGACGCAAATGGGCCGTCTCGCGGTGATTGTCCTCATCATTGCGTCCAGTGTGCTCTTGCCGCTTCAAATCTCAACACTCAGCGACGTTTTAAACCGAGAAACCGAGTACGACAAGGCGTTTACTGAGCGGAAAGAGAAGACACCGCACGTGCTCATTTGCGGCGAAGTCGGATCGGGCGCACTCGACTTTTTCTTGCGGCAATTTCTGCACCCGAACAAGATGAACTGGAAGGACAAGGTCGTCATTTTATGTCCGTCGCTGCCATCCCACAACCTCAAGCGCATTTTACTGAACGGCGCGTACGAGCAGCGGGTCGTGTACCTCCAAGGCTCGGCCATGTCGGACGCCGACCTCCAGCGCGCCAGTGCATCGACCGCGCGGCTCTGTTTTGTCTTGGCCAACAAACTGTCGCCGGACGCCGACCAGAGCGACACGGCGTCCAACTTTATCACAATCTCGCTCCGGCACTTCAACAAACACGGTGGGACCCTACCCCTATATCTCTACTTCTGACAAGAAGGGGTACAATAGTCCCTATTTTCGTCCAAGTGCTCAAGTCGGACAACATTGGGCACTTGCATCTCTCGGGCGCCACCAATGTGCTGTGTGTGGACCAGTTGAAGATGGCAATTCTCGCGAAATCGTGCTTGATGCCGGGCACGGCGGCGTTTCTCTGCAGTGTCCTTTTACCTTTCGCCCGACCATGGGTCTCCGGTACGAGGTTACACCTCCTGCAATATCCTGTTTACAAGTCTTTGTATGCAGGGACGCGACGTGGGCGTCCGTGTTTCTCCAAGGGTGCAGCCACGACTTGTACGAAGTGGCGATTCCCGCCTACTTGGACCGGCTCGTGACGTTTACGACCTTGGCCCACATTTTGTTTCAAGAGCACCACGTGGTGCCGATCGCGCTCAGTGATGACCATGCGTGCGTCCTTTTCCCGCCAAGCGCGAAATCGGCAGCGACATGACCTTACACGTGCTCGCGTCAACGCCGGACGTCGGCAACCTCGTCGCCACCCTCTCCGTTTCGACGCTGCATCGGTACGACACCGAATTGTGATTTGAGGATAAAACCTCAAAATTGTCTAGGTACCGCCACGTACTCGACAATTTCGACCGAATCGCCGCGGCGTGGAGCTTGACGACGTTTTCAACAAAGATGAAGACGGCGGCAAAGGAGTCGCGCGACTCGATCCTCATGGCACACCAGTCGATTCGCACGTCAGCATCGAACGTCCTGGCGCGCTACTCGGTCATCTCGATGCGGTCCCAGCGACGCTCGTATCGGAGTGCCATCATTCCGTCGTGCGACCACGACTCGTCGCTCGCGCCCCCCGAGCCATCCGACGCCCGCCGCAGCTCGATCCAGGACGCCAACACCGAGACCGGCCACGTCAACGGAGGCTCTGGCCCGCTCTTCCACGCCAGCAGCAAATCGCGTCTAAGTGGCGTCGAGACACCGGTGACGTCGTACTCGCCACCGCTGTCGTACGTCGCCTTTATCAGCGTGACGATTCCACCCAATCTGTCCGACCACATTGTGCTCTGCGGTCAACCCAACCACTTGCGCGACTTTATCGCGCCGCTGCGCCAGCTCCGACGCCGGGGCACGATCGGCGCCCCGACGCGTGACGCGGTCCCGATCGTCATCATTAGCAACCGCATCTTGTCCAAGAAGCAGTACGCAGGCATCCAGTCGTTTGAGAACGTCTACTACCTCCGCGGCTCGCCGCTCTCGCTGCCCGTGCTGAGTACGGCTCGCGTCGCGCACAGCAAGCGCATTGTGATCTTGCGCAACTGCTCCGAGCTCGGCAACGGCGAGAACGACGTGGACCCGAACGACGTGATGGACCAAAACATGCTCGACACGGACGCGATCACATTGCATCGGTTCCTCACCGACGTGTGCGCGGCGCAACACTCGGACGACTTGCCGCGACCCACGATCATGATTGAGCTTGTACGAGCGTGTCGTTCGATGGAAAGAATATGTCTCATACGCACATTGGGCAATGTAGAGCCGCCCCAATAGCCTTCGGTTTCTAAAAGACCCGACGCTCAACTACCACGACGACGACGACGCGATGAAACTGCTCACCAAACAAGCGATCGCGCGCGTCGACGACCCGCTCGATCACATTTGCAACCCGTTGTATGCATCGGGTACGATCGGACTTCTCAAAGTATTGATCCGAGTGTCCTATTTTCCTAGGCAAAGTGTTTGTTTCGAACGCGCTCGATGCGGTGTTGGGCACGTGCAACAAGTACGGCAGTCTTTTAGAGCTCCTGCAGCTGCTCGTGCTGGGCGAAACGAGCGCGGGCGCGGTCCAGGGCCTTGATCAAATCGACGTGCCGGCGTTGCAGCTCGGGCGGCCGTACGGCGCGTGCTACGAAGACCTGCTCTTGCACCAGGTACACCTTTTACACATCAAGATGTCTCCTGATGCTCTCGAATTAGGGCATTTTATGTCTGGGGATCTACCGCGCGCGGCCCGAAGCCGACACGAGCTACGTGGTCGTGAACCCGAGTCCAGGGCTTGTCCTTGATCGCGCCGACAAGCTATTCGTGTTGCGGTAGCGTGCGTTTCGGCGCGGCTAAATTTGGCGCCAAAAATCTGAGCCAAAAAACCAACGGACTTTGCCTTTCGATGCGGCTCAAGCGGGTGCGGGCCCACGCCCGGCGCCTCCACGCGCTCTTGATCAAGCCTCGGAAGCGCGACGAGAGCTTCCGGCGCTGGGTCGGGCGCAACCTCGACAAGTCGATCCTCGGCGCGATCATCGATCTCTTCCAAGCCTTTCTCGGGTACATGACTCTTCGCTTGTGTTTGGCGTTGACACATGCTAGGCTCATCGTCACGGGCCTCTATGGCCATAAAAACTGGGCTGGCTGGGACAACACACCCGACGCGGCGGGACTGCGCTATGTCCACGCGCTCATCGGGTCGGTCTTCCTCTTTGACTATTGCCTTCGGTACGGTTGGATTATTCCATGCAAAGACAACACTAAGAACTGGTTCGCAGATGCTTTGCGGCCGACAACCGTCAGTCGCATGTGCTGGCGCCGCTGGCCATCATGGATTTTCTCGCGGTTTTTCCGCAATTTACCGAAGTCGTCTTCTCCGACGCCACCCACGAAACCCATGCGCTTTGGTTTGGCGCCGTCCGGACGCTGCGACCGTTCCGAAGTCTCTGCTTCTTCCGGCTCGTGCCCTTTACGTCAACGGCCAAGCAGCGCGAGTCCGTCACGCTGGTGATCACTGTGACGTGCATCATCATTTGCTTTGGTGGTATGCAACAGGTATCTACTACCGTCTAGGAGGTTCTGTGGCTCATACCTTATCTAGGCAATCGAGGCGTGTCCGTGTACCACGCGCGGCGCCAACGTCACGCAGGCCATGCGTGCCGTGCAGGCCACCGACTGCCAGAACCTAACGTTCTACAACGCCATCTACTTTGTCGTGATTACAACCGCGACTCTAGGGTACATGCTCTACAATGGTCAATAGTGTCGATATGATTTTTGGATAGGTCGGGCGACATTGCACCCAAGTCGCAAATGGGCCGACTTGCCGTGATCATTCTCATCATTGCGTCCAGCCTTCTCTTGCCGCTTCAAATCTCGACACTCAGCGACGTTCTGAACCGAGAAACCGAGTACGACAAGGCATTTACGCACCGAAAGGAGAAGCACCCACACGTGCTCATTTGCGGCGACGTCAACTCGGGCGCACTCGACTTCTTTTTGCGGCAATTTCTGCACCCGACCAACATGAACTGGAAGGACAAGGTTGTGATTCTATCGCCAACACTGCCATCCAGCAACCTCAAGCGCATTTTACTGAACGGCGCGTACGAGCAGCGCGTCAAGTACCTCCAGGGCTCGGCCATGTCGGACGCCGACCTCCAGCGCGCCAGTGCGTCGACTGCGCGGCTCTGTTTTGTCTTGGCCAACAAACTGTCGCCGGACGCCGACCAGAGCGACACGGCGTCCAACTTTATCACAATCTCGCTCCGGCACTTCAACAAACACGGTGGGACCCTACCCCTATATCTCTACTTCTGACAAGAAGGGGTACAATAGTCCCTATTTTCGTCCAAGTGCTCAAGTCGGACAACATAAAGCACGTGTCGCTTTCGGGCGCCAACAACATCTCGTGCGTCGATATGCTCAAGCTCGGTATTCTTGCGAAATCGTGCTTGATGCCGGGCACGGCGGCCTTGATCTGCAGCATTCTCTTCACGCTGCGGCCCTTGATTGACCAGCGGTATGTCCATTTTACGTAGGGTTAGGGCGAGGGCGATGTGTGAACTAGGGACGGGTCGTGGCCGGCCGAGTTTCTCTCGGGCTGCAGCCAGCACTTGCACGAAGTGCATTTGCCCGTGTACCTGGACCGGCTCGTCCCGTTCGAATTTTTTGCCCACGTTTTGTACCATGAATATCACATGGTGCCGATTGGCGGCTGCGGCGGCGACGGCTCGTACTTTCTCTTTACGCCGTCGCGCATCCTCGGCGCCGACATGGTGCTCTACGTCCTCTCGTCCGACCTTGACGCGGCCCTGACCGTCGCCGGGCTCGCATTGCCGACACTGCAAAAGTCGTCTTCGTCTTCGCTACCGTCTTCGCTCACCATCGCATTGTAGGTACAAGGCGCGGGTGACCAACTTTGACAAGATCATCCAAGCGTGGAATCGCACGACGTTTTCCACCAAATTGAAGACAGCAGCACGCGCGTCGCGGGCGTCGTTCAGCTCGTCGGTCAAAGCGTCCATAACGCGCGTCGGATCGCTCTCCAACATCCTTCGCCCCGGCTCGACGAGCGCCAAGCCCGAGTCCACTTCCAAGTCGCGAGCAGGATCGCGTATTAGCCCCGTCATGCCCTATTCGTTTGTCGACGACGAGACTCTAACCGCGCGCACGAGCGAGGTGCCGTCGACACCGTCGACACCCGCGAACGACGACGCACCGCCATCGTCGCACGAGTCGGGCGCGTGTTTTTTTTTACCCACGGCCCTTGCACGCCACGTGGTGCTCTGCGGCATGCCGCATTCCCTCCACGACTTTATCGCGCCGCTGCGGCAAGAGCGGGCACCGCCCCCCGGCCTCGGGGGCACGCACCATTTGAGCAATGTGCCCATTGTCGTGATTGCACTCGCCCGCATGACCCCGAAAGAGCACGCCGCCTTCACCACGTACAGCAATGTTTTTTTGTTCAAGGGTCGTCACTCTCGCTGCCGACGCTCCTGCGCGCTCGCGTGCATACGAGCAAGAGCATTGTGATTTTGCGCTCGTGCGGCAGCACGGTCCGCAACAGCAGCGACCTCATTGACCAAAACCTTGTGGATATGGACGCCATCACCGTGCATCGGTTCATATCGGATGTCTGCGCCATGCACACGCCATCCGAGCTGCCTCGCCCCATGATCCTCATCGAACTCGTACGTGCTTTTTATGGATGAAGTATCGGTGATGCCGACGTGTCTTGTAGAGTCGACCCAATAGCCTTCGGTTCCTACGTGATGAAAGCGGCGCCGTGGACGACGACGAGAGGGCGTCGATGAAACGACTCACGCGACTTGTCATTTCCCGCGCCGACGATCCGCTCGACAATATTTGCCACCCGCTGTATGCATCCGGTACGCCCGATGCGCATCCCTATGCACTATCGTAACGCGAACATTGCCTAGGACATGTCTTTATTGCGAATGCGCTGGACGCGCTCATGGGCAATTGCAACAAGTACGGCAGCGTCATTGACGTTGTGCAATTGCTCGTGCTTGGCGACAACTCGAGTGGCGCCCCGTGCGCGCTCGACCAGATTGACGTGCCGCGGACGCAGTGGGGCCGGCCGTACATTGCAGCGCTGGAAGCGCTTTTGAAACACCATGTAGGTCGATTGGGATTCATTCGTTTGTCTCGAATGACGCGTTTAGGGCGTGCTCTGTCTCGGCGTGTACCGCGTGCGGGCAGAAAATGCCAAATTTGTGCATATCAACCCACCCCCCGATGTTATCCTCAACGCCCACGACAAACTCTTTGTCCTTCGCTAGTATCCTATTTAACTGCAATCATACTGTAAACCACACCGCAGCGTGGTACGTCCAGCAAGTACACATCGGCGACCTCTTGGACGCAACGAGTAGACAGTAGCAAGGGCCAATGCGACGTCATTGACACGAAGCATCTGGCAACGAGCCTTGCCGCCTCGAACCAGCACTCCCAATGGCTGGCTACATGGCTACCGGTTAATTGAACGTCTATGACCTGACTCGCGCGTCGTACGAGCTGAAGTTGCACTTGCGGGCCACGCCGTTCGGTTGCAAACTCAGCGCGGGAACGCTGAGAGACTGCATACCGCCTGAATCCAGTACGCTGAGGAGGGGGCATAATATGTGGTCTCGGCATGGTCAGAATTTTTCCGTGGCCGAGCTTGCGACAGCCATTGCATCTCGTCGCACGCTCAGATACACGTGTTAGAATGATGACGGGGCCTTCAATCGCCAGGTGAGGTCCAAGGTTTAGTTGTGTATCCCAGACTAACCTTACATTCCCTTTTTCCCTCAGGGTCCCTCGCCGACTGTCGCTCAATATAAGACTTCCTTTAAAAGCGAGATGCCCGCCAAACTGCATTTGACATTCTATCACCAAGATACGCGTACGACAGCCGGGTTTGAACTGGGGTCTGATCTATTTCAAAACAAACACAAAATCCTTGGGGCCCAAGACGACGTGCGGCGGTGGGTGGAGTTGGACAAAGTAGTGCTTAGGCGGTCGCAAGCGGTACAGTCCAATGCACAGCGTCTTCTACACACACTGTGAGAGACGAAAGGTCCTTGCATAGCATCAATACATGTTGCAGCAAAAACGACTCGAAGAGTGCGTCGTACGTTTGGCCCCAAAAGAGGATCGGGACCGGCACTTGGCTAAGCGGGGACGCATGGCCACTCTCACCGCGCACACCCTGCTCGCCAAGCACGAGCAAGTGCACGAGGTCGATCGCGCTGCCATGGACGGTACAGGCGCCGAGAAGCGCATCGAGCATCTGTGAAAAGAATACATCGCCTACAACAAACGAATTTATGAGACGACGATCCACGCTCCTAGACCAGTCAACCGGCCGCATAGAGCGGATGGCAAAACGGCCGCAAAAAGTCCGCCTCGTCCGGGTGCACGATCGGCGGCGCGGAGTCGTCGTTGGCATCTTTGAGGAACTGCAAGCTCACCGGTCGTTGCTACGCGATGTATGGATGCCTCGAACCGACAGATTCCATGTGGACCCACCACTTCCACCACAATCGAGGGCGGAACTCCGACGGGGTCGCCGTAGAGATCGCACACTTGGCGCAAGAAGCGGTGCAGCGAGAGTGCCTCCGTGTCGGCCACGTACCCCGTGCTGTCGTCGTCTTCGAGGTTTTCGCTCGAGGCAAGGAGGACGATCGTCTTGGCCGCAAATACCTTGGCGTGGTGCGCGACCTCGATCGTATGCGGCGAGCCTTGCACGTGGTAGATGTCGCCGTACGTTGCGATCCGCGCGTGGAGTGCCTCGGCCATTGGCGTCGGACTCACAATGACAATGGCCGGCGCGGCCTGGCCGGGAATGCGAAGCGGCTGGACAAAGTCGAGGAGCTGGCTCGGCGCGCCGCAGAGCACAACGTGGCCACAGAGATTTTGCGGTACACGCAGACCCAAGAAGGACTGGAAAGCAGCAATGTGCTGAACGTGCGAGAGGCGCTGAACTGGCAGCATCGAGCGCCGATGGGAGCCCGCCACGCGCATGGTCGATAGCATGGGCACAAGGTGTTTCTTGGTCGATGCGGGCGCCGCGGCGGGGCTCACCGCACTCGCTTTGGGCCCTTCGCCCACTGCACTCGCCTTGGGCCCTTCGTCCAGCACAGCGACGGACGGACCAAGAGTAGGGCGCACGCGAGTACTTCCCTCGCATGCGACTGACATCACGTATGTGTCGATCGAGTGCGGGACCACTGCGTTACGCCGCCCCAAAGGCAGCGCATTGGTGTTGCCTTCCTCGCGGGTGCTCACCGAGCTGCGCTTGGTGCTGGCGCGGGAGAGCGTTTTTTTCGGCGGAAGCGGTACCACGAGGCTCGTGCGGCGCGTCAGCCGGCGAAATTGGGTGCTAAATGCCCGGAAATTCCACGCTTGCACAATCTTGTCAAACTGCGGCAAGAGCCTCTCGTACCTACACCCTCGTGTCAGTGAAAATGGCTTGAAAACGCGATGGGAATATGGATGATTCACCGCTGCAGCATCAGCAATGAAATGTCTTCGACCTGGCTTTGCACCGACGGCGACGTTGCGAGCACAAAAATCGACCACGTCCAGCGCACGTGCGCCGTCGCGGGGAAGAGCCGATGCGCGTCACCATCAAAGACGCCAATCGGTAGCATGTGAAATTCCCTGAAACAAATGTACGCCCACGTGGCAAAGGGGACGAGGCGATCGAGAAATTTCGGAAGTCCACATTGGTAAATCCGGTACCGAGCGCCCCATGCAAAATCGTGGGCCCACGTACCCGTGCTAGGAACGAACAATATTGTCCGCTTTGAATATGCATTGTAGACAATCGTACCTGGCTCGGTCCAGGCGCGGCGACGTAAACAAAAGACTCGAAATGAGGCCGAGGATGCCGGGGACCACGCACGCTTTGGCCAAGAGACCGAGCTTGAGCTGCTCCATGCACACGACGTTAGTCGCGCCCGAGAGCATCACATGCTCCAGATAGTCAGTGCCAACAACTTGGGCAAAAATGGGCACTAGACACCATTCGTGTCTTTAGCTCTCTAAAAAGTGCGGGTTCGAGTACCGTTCTTGTTGCAGTGGCGCAGCGAAATCGTAAAGAAATTGGTCGCCGTGTCGTCCAGCGGCGTCCGCGTCAGAATGTAACAGGCGCTCGCCACCATAATGCTGGCACGGTGCAGATCGGCTTGCAGCATCGGCGACCCCGAGAGGTACACCACACGCGGCTCGTATCTCGGATGAAAGAGCAGACGCTGGAGCCCGCGCGATGGCGGGCCCGGCGCGAGCACGACGACGGTGGTATTCCACGTCGTTGGCGTAGCGTTGAAAAACATGTGCAGAAAGCACTCGAGCGCACTCGGCGAAACGTCACCGAGCACAAGCACGTGTGAATTCGCTTGAGGAATCGCTCGGTAGGCGCGGTCGTAGGCCGATACGCGGTTGAGGACGTCGCTGAGGCGCGAGATTTGAAGCGAGAGCCACGCCCCACTGACGCCAATGAGAAAAATCACGAGCGCCTTGCCTGTCGAGCTCCTTGGCGCAATGTCGCCGTACCTACGCACTGGGGTGATCCATTGTTTTGTGCGAAAAGGGAGGTGCACCCCAGTGTCGAAATAGTGATGACAATAAAGTACATGCACGTGTAGATCTCGAGCACTTGGCACTGCGCGTGTCGCGGCTGCGTCTTGGCATGACCACATGCGTTGAGCTCGGTGCACGGACACGCTTCAACAGCCTAGAGAGGCATCGAGGATCGATCCGATGACCACGCCTGGTCTCGTATGTACTTGAAAGAGACTGCCAAAGACGACGATAATGCAAACGACACCGAGCGCCAGCGTGCAGATTTGTCGCCACTTGGCGCTGCGAATCAGCCCCAAAGCGCGAAACGTGCAAAGAAAGCGCAGCGGGCGCAGACTCTTGAGGCTCACGACGAGCGTATCGTAGTGCGCGTCGTCCAAAAGCAAGTCGACGAGCTGGGGCAAAATCGTAGCACCTTCAACAAGCGGTAAAAGCGTCAGCGCGTAGCGTACGCGTTCGTCGGCTGCGTAGATCCTAGAGAGCAATGTCAACCTAGACAACAAGCGAGAAGAGGTGTCTACCGAAGGGTGTAGTCGGCCGCGTAGAGGCTGCCCATGGCCAAGTGCAGGTACTTAAGCCACAAAACGTCCTTGGTCGTGGTCCAAACGAGCCAGTTCTTGGCACTGTACAAAAAGATAGCGAGCACCCTAGTCGATGTCGTTGAGATTGGGTTGGGCGACACCATTTCGTACGCCAATGCAAAGTGGAGGACGTTGAGGATGTCGGACGCGAGCGAGTAGGTGAGGTTGCGCACGACCCATTCGCGCCGCGATTCGCCCGGCATGCGCCGCTGCAGCAGCGGTCGGTTGCGAGCCATGTCGGCCCCGGCTTGAATGCCACAAGACTATTTCCGTCGTATAGTGTCGGTTGGCGCTGCGGTTTTGAAGCATCCAATATTAAGCTCCAATGTCAGTTAGATCGTAGTCTTATTCGCTTTCATTGGTTTTGCTGATACATGTATATTCGTGATTAGCCACATGTTTCTTCATTGTTAACCACGTCGCGGTACCTCACTTTTCAGTTGGAGGTAGGATGACCCTAGAAATAGGGCCCTTAATCCGTAAAAACTCGAAAACATTCGTTTCAATAACAATATGTACGTCGTACTATTGGTTCAATTCCGGTCGCGTTCAGAAAACATACTAGCACTAGTAGTTCAGCACATTTATTCCTTCAATTTCTCGGTAGCCGACGACGACGAGGGCCGCCGTAAGAGCCCAAGCAGCCTCGTCTTCGCTGGCTTCTTCGGCTGCTCGCCCAACCCGAGTGGCCGCGCCAGCACCTTGTTCCGCGGACCGCGCTCCTGCCTCCGCCTGCCTAGATCAAGTTTCTCAACCGAGTGTACACGACCAAGAAACTCCAACAATTTTATTAAGCATGCCATTATACTGGACGACCCACTTCGACAAGAACGACGAGTGCCGTTTGTCCCCTCGACAATGACCCTTCTTCTTGTGGACGTTACGACAAAGCAAACATATGTTTGCATTCTACATAGAGTAACATTTTCCATATGTTTACGGTTCTGATGCCGTTTCTTGGGTGATATGCGAAATATACTATGACGTTGGTTGCTCCCGTTCATCATGGGATCATACGATTGTATAAGACATTACTCGCTTTCTCATCGCACAACAAACAAACGATCGTGGGCGCCCAAGACCATCTCGGGCACTGGGTTGATGTACGTATAGTGCACCAACGACGTCCTCGCGCGAAAGACGCCGAGACACAGCGTATCCTAGCACAACCGACGAGACTTGGACCGACGTCAGAGGTTGAGAGAAACCACAGACCTCGTGCAGAAGGAGCGCTTCAAAACACGCTGTGTACGACTGACCGATCAGCGTTGCGGGCACTGGCACTTGGGTCAACGCCCGAGGCTGCTCGGTATCATCCGGCTCGCCAAACACGAAGAGGTGGAGGAAATCAATGCCGCTGCCGGTCATTTTGCAGCTGCCAAGGATCGCATCGAGCGCATTCGAGACAACAATATGACCTACTCCGACCAGACGTTAAACCGTAAAACGTCATCGTTGTCGTACCGCCAGCAAACAGCGGGTGGCAAATGCTGTCGAGGAGCTCATTGGATCGCTGCTTTCCACTTGTTGTGTCCATCATGTCCTCGTCGTTAAAGGTCTTCAGGAACCGGACGCTGCTCGGCCGGCTCTAGCATGGACCATTCTCGTCCATTTTCCTCAGTCTTTACAATGGACCGTACCAGCTCAATGACAATTAAGGGGCGCGGCGCGTTTTCATCGATCGAGGTCTCGCAAACTTCCGTGATGAACCGATGCAGTGTGATCGCGTCTGTGTCGAGCATGTTGTGGTCAATAACGTCATTTGATTCGGTCTCCAAAGCCTCGTCGTCGTCGTCGACGTGCGGCGGACTCTGTGCGCAGCTGGCCAAGATGACAACGCTTTTGCTGGCCGTGACGCACGCCAAGGAGAGCGTCGCTTCCGAGAGTGGTGACCCACACACGTAGTACACTTGGTCGCGACGGCCGAGCCGGGCAAACATGGCCTCGGTGAGCGGCGCGCTGCTGACGACGACGATCGGAAGCACCGCGCCAAGGGTGGCGTTGCGCAGCGGCAAGATAAAGTCTTGGAGGGCGGTCGGGAGGCCACAGAGTACAATGTGCCCACGTATTGTGTCGGGCACGGCGGTGGCCAGAAACTTGCCGTAGGCATCTGTGGCCGCTGCTGGGTAGCTTCGGTCGCGCAGGAGCGCGGTCGCAAAGAGTGGGCCTTCGCCGTCCTCGACCGATGACGGCAAGGCGAGTCGTGGCACGCGAGGACATGTCTCGTCAAGGACAGTCACTGGTTCGGTCGGCTCGGTTACCAAAAGACCAGCGTCGCTCACAAATGAGTCGACGCGCGAGAGGCCGGCCTCGAACGCGGTGGCGGGCCCGCAGCGGCTCGTGCGCGGTACAATGGAGCTATTGCGGTGCGACTGGTGCGAGCTCGCTTGCGTGATCGACGTCCGCGCCGAGAAGAGCCCACCCTTGGTAGTGGTGAGCTTGGTTGTGAACGTGATGAAATTCCAGGCTTGGGAAACGTCGTCAAACGTGGGCAAGAGAGCTTTGTGTCTACACAATGAGTGAAACATCTATCTACGAAACTGTAGACAAAAAAGTGTCGTACTTTTGGAGCATGGCCAATGTGATGCCGCGCACGTGCTGGCGACACTGGGGCGTCGTCGCCAGCACAAAGAGCGTGTGGCTTGTGCGAAGTCGCTCGGACGACGGAAACAACCGGTACCCGTCGTCGCTATCGTACATGCCGACCAAGACGATATGCAGCTCCTTGAAGAGGAGGTAGGCGAAGAAGGCAAACGAGACGTTGCCTTCGAGAAAAGTGGGAAGGGTCACGTCATAAATGTTGTGGCTCGCGCCACCGAGGTACTCGTGAACCCATGTCGCTTGCCTACATCCCGTCCATGTCAGATACTCTCGACCGACAAGCACATCAGAGTACGTACCCCGCCGCATTAAGACGAGGCGGGCTCGTAATGCTAAAGAGGATCGACGTCAAAAGCGCGGGGAGGCCCGGGATCAAGCACGACTTCGCCAGAATGCCCATGACCAGGTGGTCGATGCACAAAATGTTACTCGCGCCCGAGAGCGAAATGTGGCGAACATTGTCCGTCTTGCCGACTTGCACAAAGAGTGGAACTAGGTAATACGAAATGAGATCCATCTCGATCGCAAACCGATCGTACCGTGCTTGTTGAAGTGTCGCAGCGAGATCGTGATAAAGTTGGCGGCCGTGTCGGCCGCGTCGCTGTCGACGGCGCGCTTGTCGACCATGACGTAGCAGGCTTTCGCGACGCCCGCCTTGGCGCGAAGCAAGTCGGTGCGGGACATGGCCGAGCCCTGGAGGTACTTGACGCGCTGCTCGTACGCCGGGTCCAGAAGCACGCGCTTGAGGTTGTGCGATGGCAGCGTCGGACACAGAATAACCACCTTGTCCTTCCAGTTCATATTGCGCGGGTGGAGGTACTCACGCAAGAAAAAGTCGAGTGCTGACGCCGTCACGTCCCCACAGAGCACCACATGCGGATGTTTTCTTTCCGACCGGTAAACGCTTTGTCGTACTCGGTCTACAAAGGTAGTTTCAATCATGTATCGACTGATCCACGCAGTTGACGCCTACTTCGCGGCTCACAACGTCGCTGAGTTTGCTAATTTGCATGGGTAGGATGACGCTCGAGACGATAATGAGCAGCGTCACGCTCACACGCCCGAGCTGTGACTTGGGCGCAATGTCGCCATACCTACCCAGCATCGACGCTCGCATCTGCCGCACGTCCAGGTAGGAGCTAGCTACCCGAGCGTCGCGATCGTAATCACGACAAAGTACATGGCATTGTAGATCGAGAGATCTTGACAGCGCCCCGACGTGGTGTTTTTCTGGAGCACCGTGCACCGGCTTGGGTCCGGGACGTTCGACTTGCACGGACACGCCTCGATGGCCTACATCCGTGGATTGATGATACATTGATAACATTGTATCGAACCTGGCCAAGCGCGCCGAAACAAATGATGATGGCGACGACGCCAAAGAAGAGCGTGCCGGTCTCGCGCTGCTTGGCCGTGCGTGCAAACGAGAGGAGCCGAAAGCAACGGAGGCACCGAAACGGCATGAGACTCTTGAGCGCGGCGTAAAAATTGTAGTTGGCTTCGTACGTGGCCGGCGAGATGAGCACGTCAATGAACTGCGGGTAAATCGTAATAAAGTCGGCGAGCGCGACCGGATCGACAAAGAAGGCGACGCGGTCGTCGGCCGCATAGAAACTAGAATTTCACGCTCCGTCATCAAAAGAGTGAACGACAAGTTGACGATACCAGAGGGCGTAGTCGAGGGCGAAGAGGACGCCCATAAAAGCGTGGACGAGGCCGAGATTGGCGCTGTCGACGCTCGTGTTCCACATGTACCAGTTCTTGTCCGTGTACAAGAGCGTCGCAATGAGCCTAAGAGGATGCTCCATCGCCGCGTTTTGGTAAGAAAGAGTACCCCATGCCGACTTGGACGATATCGAGGATCGACGAAAGGAGCGAGTTGTCCATGTTGCGCGCGACCCAGCGCCGGAACGTCTCGCCGCGCATGCGTGGCTTGATGAGTTTGCTGCGCACGCGTATGTAGACTGCGCAGAGCCCGAGGCCTCGTCGCCGCCGGCTCATTGCGCTGCTGAAATGGCGACGGTTCGAGGCTAAATGCGGCGAGAACGGCACATCGGTTGTCGTCCCGCACGCGTTATAACGTTTCGGTGTACTAGTACTATCTCATAAACGATACTTTGAATTGCGATTGACATGCAGTTCCGTCTTAGGTGTCGCTTTGACGGGCCATCACGGCGTCACACAGAAAGGTCCTTCTTACACACATGGCCCGCATTCGTCGTTGTGGCGTCGGTCAAGACAAATACATCAATTCTCCTTGTAAGTGGAAGAAATGGGTCAATTTAGTTTAATGAGCAGAGCTCGCTGGAAGAAATTGTCTCATCTTGGCCTGTGATTGTCCTTATTTGTGCCATCACGACATCAATCATGAAACTCGTAGTCATTTTGCAAGGGTACTAGTCTGGAGCCAAACGATTGAATTTGAAAATCATCCGCCAGTGTTGACGTATCGCATCGTACACTGGAGCAATGAGATAGAAATGCCCGTCGACTGTGTCTATCATCGATCGAGAGGGATTTGTCACGACGTGGGAGCTGCTGCTGCGATCGCATCCGGAAAGTACAAGCAGCAAAAGTCCGACTTGCCGAGCGCGAGCAAGTGCCGGCCGTCTGTTGGGTGCCACCGAAGGCTCAAGATGGCCAGCGCTTCTGCGCAGACGGAGCATTTGCATCAGTCTTTGCCAACCACCAATTCACGTGGCCTACCGTCGGCAACTTCAATCCTATCATTGCAGTAGTATGTCAATAAGAAACGCACTACGAAAACAAGATCTACCACGTCACACCGGCCGACGACCAGAGACAGACCTACACAATCGCTTCCACTGCATATGGCGCTTTTTCAAGCGCGACGTACGCGGTTGTTGGCGCAGGCAAACGCCAATGTACTCGACGTCGGGCTCCATTTAAAGGTCTTGATGTGTTTTGTCAAGACTAACATGGACATTGGAACCTCCCGTTGAAGACGCAAGGTGCGATCTCGTACCGAGGACGGCGTGGAGCTCCATGGTCTGCGTCGTCCAGATCCAAATGTGATGCGGCATGTTGTCATTCCGCGTTGCAAGCAGCGTCGCATCATGGTTCCAGGCCATGGCACCGACGCCCAGCCGCGGCGACTCTTTCCTAGTCCCTCTTGTCCAGACATGCTCAAAATCTCAGATGATCTCGCATACATTGGGTCGGGCTGCACGATCGTGACAGAGTGGGGCAGCGACGCGGCTCGAAACACGAGGTGCTTGCTCGATCGTCCTTGGGTGACCTCTTCATACACCATCACCTACGCCCAAGGAGACCATCGTACGTTGGCATGTCCAGGACGGCGTGTACCGGATCGGGCCGGGCGCGCGTCGCGACAATGCTACTCGGGTGCTCGAGCTCCGCCACGGGCTTGTAGTGCATGTGACTCAGGATGCGCACGCGCTCGTCGTAGCTCCCAACGGCGAGGAACTGCCCCGTCGGCGACCAAGAGAGGCTCTTGACGCCCAGTGCGTGCTGGTACGCCTGTACACCCATGTCATCTTCGTCTGCTGCGTGGAATCGTCGCCCGTCGCACCTCGTAGCACTGGAGGAGAGCGCCGTCCGGCGCGTAAAAGAGCAGGCGATACTCGAGAAACGTATCGCGGACGCAGATCGCGCGGCCGTCGGTCGTCCACTGCACCTCGACGAGATCGTAACTCGCCACGTCAAAATGCGACACCATCTCCCACGACGCGACGTCGTAGATGCCCAGCATGTCCTATCGCAGCTAGCCGACGACACTAGAAGCTGCAGGAAGGTACCTTGCACTCGGCGCGCTCGGCGACGGCCAAGTACGAACCATCGGGCGAGAAGGTCATGCCGTCGGTCCCCAGCTTGGGCTGGCGAATCACATACTTGGAGGCATCGACGAGCGACCACACGGTCGCGTGAATGCGGAAGTCCGATATCTAATGACATGATGATCAAGAAGAGATTGCAAGGCGCAGGCGTCGTACCGTGATGATGTGGCGCGTGTCGGGCGTCCACTTGGCGCCAATGAGGCCGCAGATCCCTTCGGCAATCTTGCCTACGCATCGCGAGCCTAAGCGACGAGACGCATATCGGCTACGAAGTACACTGCCACGTCGGGTCGGTCACGGAGAAGACTTGGACGAGCGCACGCTTGTACATGGCGCAGAGCACGAGGCCATCGGCGTCCATCGACGGCGCCCACTGCACGCTCGAGATGATGTCGATGCACGTGTAGACCTGCACGACGGCCATGTTGAGCGTCGCATCGCGGATGCTGAGCCGCGTGTCCTTGGCGATCCCGAGGTACCGCCCGCAGCTGCTCCAGCTCAGGAGGCCCGCGCTGTGCGGCAGGAGCTGGCTCACGTTCGTGCTGCTCATCACCAAAAAGCCTAATTAGGATATCGGGGTCTCCGATTGGGCTCGTATCCGGATTTGAGCCATGAAGCGGCGGATCGAGCTGCGCGGTCTCGGGCGGACCACCAAGCTCATTTGGTACGAAGGAACCTCGGATCGCATGCTCGAGGCCAGCGCCAAGACGCTACTGGGGCTACCTCTCGAGACGCGCATCCTCTTGCGCGACCATGACGGCGACACCGTGCCCGTCGCTGGCTGCCTGCCACCTGGCACGTACGACGTCGTCGTCTTTGACGCTGCACCGCCGCTGCCCGCGGACGAGCCGCTGCCCGTGGACGCGATCGCGCTGCCAGACGATGCGCCTCTAGCAGCGCCGCCTACGCTGCCGCTGTACCGCGCCGTTTTGGGCCACAAGCGGCAGCGCACGGCGTCGGTCTCGACGACCATCGGTCACTTTATCGAAGTCTTTACGGTACTACATGTCCTGCGATGCACGCTTGCGATGACCGTGGTTGTAGGTGCCCATTGCCGCCAACGACGTCATCAACTTTGTGCCCAACCATGGACCCTTTGCCCTCCATAGCCTGTACTGCTACGGATGCAACACCTCCAACCGACGATGACGATGCTATCGTGTTCTAGGTACTCGGCGCTCGTGCCCACCGAGTACGATTCGCCCGACGCCACGTCCTTTTACAAGATTGCGTCGTCGGCCGTCGTCCTCGATCGACAGCGTGCGATCCGGTACTATGCGATCCCGCCCTCGGACGTCGTGCTGCTGCCACCGGCCGGGAAAGGGCCCATCTTGCGTGCCTACTTGACGACGTCCCGTCTACAAGCACTTTCGATCGAGTCCAAGATGCGTCTTCGCAGCCTCGCCGAGGTGCTCAAGCAGTCGCCCGACGATCTTCTCGCAGCGTTTCATCGCTTTCGCCGGCAGTTTACGCCCATTTCCAAGGCGCAATACACAAAATTCCAGCAGTCGACGTCATGACGCACAACATACGTACTGCCATCCTACCAACTGTGTTGCGACGAATGAACGGAGTATGTGCTGGCCAAAGGACGTGCTTCGTGCATCTTGGTACTCGATGGCGAGCATGGACGAGGAAGCAACGAACGTGAGGACGTCGGTTGCATCGACAACGTGCATGCTGGGTGCTAAGGCCATGGGCTCGAGCTCACGGGCGACTTGAAACGCTGTAAAAAATGTACCATCATGTGCCAAGGAGATGTTGCACCTCTTTGGATGGAGGCCGCTTGCAGTCGTCGACGCAGGGGCCTGTTTTATAGAAGACATGTCCCAATGTCCCACTCGACCGTGTCAAGTAGGCCACAGACAGCGTTGCACAATCTTGGCAAGTACTTCCTGGATGATCGTCGTCGACACGGTATCAGTTGCAGTACTAGTTCACAGTGCCACAATGTGCGCACACGCTGCCACGTCATGGATGGCTCGTCTAGATGGCGAAAATCCTGGATCCAGGAGCTAAACACTGGAATAATATATGAAACTTGTCGCGCCTCAACCGACAAGAAACCGCAGAGTAACCAATGCAGCTGCGCGTCGGCGTCCGGGTGGACGGCCTGTACGCGGGCGGCGACGTCTGGTTTCCCGGGTCCATCGTCGACGCCAATGACGGTCTCTTCAGCGTGCGCTACGACGACGGTGAGCTCGAAGAGAACGTGCCCGAGCGCCTCCTCCGGCTGCACGAGGTCGGGACGTGGACCGTCGGGTCGCGCGTCCTCGCACGCTACAACGGTGACGACGACTTCTACCCTGGCACGATCACCGCCGTCGACGACGAGACGCGGCAGTACGACATTGCGTACGACGACGGCGAAGTCGAAGAGAACGTCTCGTATACGCTTATATTGGACGAGGATCGGGCGCCTGACTCGGCTCGCTCCGAGTCGTCGCTCGTCGACGGCGACGTGCCACCGATTGGCGAGAACGACGACGACAACGCTACCGAGGCGAGAACCGTACGAGACGCTGTGGCACCCGAACCGAGCCCGTCGACGTCGACGCCTGACAGCACGCCTGCACCGCCCCCGGTACCCCCGCCCGATGCCACGGCGCCGGTGGCAGAAACAGCCGACACGACAACAACAGTAGATGCACCAGCGCCCGAGGCCACGGTTGACACAAAAATTCCCGACCCAGCCGAGCCGCAAGTTGCACCGAGCGCGTCTGTGGAGCTGCACCCGCGCCCACCACCGCACCGGGAGAGCGCTCGTCAGAGTATGGACGATGCCGCGACTCACGGCGACGAGCCGCTGGCGACACTGCTCCACTGCGACGTCGAGGTGCAAGCGCTTCTGAGCACGATGGGCGAGCCCGTGCGATCGAACGACGACCTGCTTGTCGTTGTACGTGCTCCGATCGTCGATGCATGTTTCCAAGTCCATTTCGTGTGTAGAAGAACGCCCTCGCGCAGCTTTTGCATCAGCTGCGCGTCGCACCGCACGTGACGACCGACCTTTGCGCGCAACACCGAGGCGAAGCGCGCCTCTTACAGTGCATTCAAGACAACGTCCAGCACTCGATCCTCGTGTGCTTCTGCTTTGTCATCATCCGTCGACTCTGCTCCGTCTCAGACACGGCGTTCGACACGTTCTTGGCCCAGGACGTCTTGAGTGTCGTCGCCAACGTCATGGTTCGATGTCCCCAAGACGCTGTGCTCCAGGTACCTCTCAATTGACGCGAGAGACGCTGAGTGTGCCATATGCGTAGGCCTCGGCGTGTGGCGTCCTAGCGACCTTTGCGCGCGGCGCTGGCCTCGATCGCATGCTACAGCTGCAGTTGGCACAGCTCATACTAACCGTCTTGCTGTTGCACCAGCCGCTCAACCACTACTCGCGCCAAGTCCACTACTACGCGTGCGAAGGTTCGTTCTCTCGACGCTACGATCTGGGAGGCGAGGATGGGTGTAGTCTTGCTGCGGCTCGCCGATACAAGTGACAAGCGCGTGCTCTCGCTCATGAGCGCTGTCGACGCCACGAATGGCTCGACGGCCATGCATTTGCTCGTCATCTTGCTTCGCCAAGGCCACCAGCATGAAGATCAAAAGGTGGCCTGCGCCGCGTGTACCCTCGTGCTATGGTAGGCTTCCAGCTGCACGACACGTTGGAGGTGGAATGATTTTTCAATGTTGCTAGTTTGGCGGCCAAAGACAGGCAATGTGCCGAGGTACTTCGTTCGACTGAGGCGCTCTCCGATATTTCGACCGTCATGGCCAAGTACCCCAATGACAATGGTACGATGGAAACACCTGTTTTCATTGCATGACGTGGCGCAGGGATATCGCACTATTCGACCGTCGCGACGCGGGAAATTGCCTTGGCGACGATGAAAACCAATGGCCCAACCAAGGTCCACGAGAAAGCTGCGGCGATTCTCTCGACGCCGACCAACACCGCGGTCGTGGCACCGTCCACCACGGCCTCGGTCTTGGCACCATCAAGCTCCAAGAAGCAGCTGCTGAAGCCGCCGACGCCGTCCAAGAAGAGCCAAGCGTTCTCGCGCAACAGCATTGCACCGGCGCCCAAGCTCAGCACCAACGTGAACGCAAGTTTGAGCAAGATGCAAGTCATGGCGCGCATCAAGTCGCCGCCGCTCGGTACGTCGGCGGTGCTCGGCACGTCGGCGTCGACCGTATTGGCGTCCCACCCGGTGCGGACGCCGCTCAAGCCGTCGAGCCCCGAGCGGCTCGTAAAGCACCATCGGTTCATTCCGTTTGAAGACAAGCTCGAGTGGCGACTCCTGCAGGCGACGCCCAAAAAGACATTGGCGTCGCCAACCGTGCGCACGGTCGAGCGCGAGAGCCTGCTTATGCAAACGTACGGCGTGTCGACGCTGCGTGAAATGCACTTTCCGCCGTCCAAAGCGACGTATGCCAAAGAGAAGACATCGCCGCAAGCCAAACCAGTGACCCCACAGTCGCCGCCCAAGACGCCAGCGGCCACGGCGCGCAGCAGCCCACAGCCACCCAAGAACCTTCTTCGAGGCACCCACGAGCCGTCGACGCCTATCACCAAGCCTGCGTCAGTGCGCCCACTGAAAGAACTGCCCCGGGCGGCACGGCAGCCCATCGTCAAATACAAGGTTCAAATCGACGCCAAGCCGACCGAGACGACGCGTGCGCCCAAGTCAACGGTAAAGAAAAGCCCAAAACACTCACGGTGCGCCCGCAATCGCTTCACAAGATCAACCACAAGGACATTTTGGACCAACGGGCCATGAACCAGCTAGCGACTCAGCTCTTTCATGAGCCCGCGTCGCCGGTCGCAACGCCGACGAGTCCGGATACGAAGAAAGCGGTACCCGAGGCCGGGCGCCGAAGCTTCTCGGACAAGCTCCACGAGATGATTCGGACGGCCGAAGAAGCGCTTTGTCGACCACCGAGCGCGACCAACTTGCTCGCATTGCGTGCGGCGACGCCACCGAGTCTTCAGTTTTCCGCGGCGGAGATTCCGCCCAAGCCAACAACGCCCAAGCCACCAGTCGTGCCCAAACCGACAGAGCCCGACACGTTTCCGGTCGCAGAACTTGCGTCCAACGCGAGCGCCAGCAGCCTTGAGAGGCGCCAAGACATATCGATTGCGCGTCGCGCGTCCACTGGTAGCGAGCGCCGGAAATCGCTCGAAAGTGGGCTCGCCAGCGCGGACTTGCGCCGGGCATCCAGTAGTGGACAAGACCATGTTGCATCACTGCATCTCAAGCCCGTCTTGCATCGGATGGATACCTGTGGCACGTCCCGGTCGACCTCCGCGATGGCGCAGGAGCAAGCCATGCCCACCGACCGGACGGCCGTGAGCGAGTACCCGATGCCCTCCGACACGGAGACCCCACGCTTTGACACTGAATTGGACCTACTGCGAAGCGACGAAATGCCAGAGTCCGCGCGCGAGAGTGAGGACGACGCAACCGACGACGGCCGAGCGACGACGGATGTGGATGGTGCAGTGGTCAATATAGTCGCAGAAGACTCGGTAAGCGGTGATCAAGTGCCAGTGCCAACCGAGCTGGTGCCCGACGACGACGGCGAGGTCGGCGACAGCGACTACAACGACGACGAGTTTGAAGAAGCCGTCAACGAAAGTGGCGATGCATCTGAGCCACCGGTCGACGTCGATGCCGTTGCTCCGGAAGAAAACCACGAGACGCCGCGCTCGGTGGTCGAACTCGATTGCCAGCCTCTCGAAGATGTCAACGAGCCTCTCGCAAATGATAGCAAGATCCTTGCAGACGCAAACGAGCCCGTGGCAGATACAAACGAGACCTCCACAAAGGTCAACGAGGACCTGGACGTGGATGAAAAGGCACCTGGCGGGTCGGAAGCATGCAAAGTGCCTGCAGCCGCGCCGTTGCCAATGCATCAAGAGTGGACGGCAGAGCCTCCAGTCAATGACAACGCTGCCGGTACTTGGCCAGCGCAGGAATCCTCCGAGTCGCCAACAACCGAGCGAGATGCCACCGACAACACCGAGAAACCGGTAGCTACAAGCGGAACACTACCCGTCGACGAAGCCACGAGTCTCGAAGAGGAACCCTCGCGTGCGGACGTGGATGCGCCAATCGTGGCGTCGGAGAGGTGTTTGCTCGATGCTGCTGCCGCCGACAATGCATCCGAGGAAGCAGAACTTCTGTGCGCAGAGCCGAGCGCCGATGAGCCGAGCCATGCAACCTCAGGTGACGACGACCGCGCACCATGTAACGACGATCCAGTGCCCGCGTTGACGACCTCCGTCGACGCAGACCCCGTGGCGTTGGAGCAGACGAAGGGTGCTTTCGAGTGTCCGGAGGTGCCTCCTCATGACGCTCCGGATCTTGTGTCGATGGAGACTACTGTCGAGCCGGCGACAGAGACGAGCGATGTACCAGTGGCCGAAGCAGGCATCAATAGCACCCACAGCGTCGAGCACGATGCAAATGCAGCAGCAGACGCCGATGCAGCAGCAGAGGTCGCCCCCAGTGAGCCTGTCGCCAATGGCTTGCTCGATGACACAACATCCAACCTACCCCCCGAGATTGAGTACGAGGAAGAAGTGTATGGCGACGACAACGACGATGGTGCAGTAACAACGGCAACGAGCGACGTGGTGTCCGTGCCAAGTTTCGATTATACGCCCGCGCCAGCTCCCTCGGCGGAAGGCGACCTCTCAACCGACGCTGCCGTCGACGCCGAGCAAGACGCCCTCGGTCAAGCGGTTAACGCAGCGACCCGCGAGCACGATGCGTCGCCGCCAGTTCTGGAGAGCAATGACGAAGTGCTTGAAAACGCTCCTGCAACGGGAGATGCTTCAAGTAATGACGCACCGATCGCGAGCGACGAAAGCGGTCCTGCCGTCGACAACGCTCCGGCCGCCGTCGAAATCCAAACCGCAGTACTGCCAAGTCCTCGCGCCGAGAGCTCCGACACCGCAACGCCTCGTCCTGAGCTCGTCACCATAGACTCGGTAGGCGTCACACGAAACGACGACGCTGAAGCCTCCCCGCCCATCCTCGTTTCCGGATTCATCGCAGAAGCGCCGACACCGCCGGTGCTATCCGATGCGAACGCGGAGCCAACGCCGGACGTTTGGGAGGGCGATGAGTATGCTCCGAACGATGCGGCGACCGACGAGGCGTTCACGGGCCTTGTCAACGACTACGACAAAGCATCCTCAACCGCTTCCTTGGCAGACAACGCGCGGTTCGACAGCGATTTTGAGGGCGACGACGGCGCGATGACGGAGGCTGAGGCAGCGAATGTGGTAACAACGTCACTATTGCCCTCGGTCCACACCCCTCTGACCACCGCCCGTGAGTCGTCGTCCGAGAGGTCTACGGTGCCGGAACCTGTCGTCGTGGAGCCGGTGGACGCAACGCCAACGCTTGTCGACGAATCCATTTTGGCGCCCGAACCGTCCGACCCCATCAGTATCAACCCCATCGACGAGGCCGATACGACGTTGCTACAAGCCGGCGGTCTGAATACGCTTTCGACCACGTCGCTGGGCGAGAACGAGCGCACTGAGAGTGACTTTAAGCCCGTGGACGACGTTTTGGCGCCAAGCGTGGTCGTGCCCGAGGCCACATCGCCGCGATTCACTAAAGAGCTCGGCCCAGAGCCTCTGGCAGCTTCGGAGAACGTGCCGGCACCGAGTCCCGAGGCGGCCAAGGAGGCTCCTACCAAATCCAGCGACGACAGCGAGCAAGCGCCGGTATGTGTGCTGCAAACCACGTCATCAGCAGCGTCGCTCGACGACTCGACGCGGTTTGAGAGCGACTTTGAAGCTGATGACGCACCACCCGATGCGAGTGACGCGCCAGTTGCAGTGGTGACGATGCCACTCGAGCACGAAAGCCCCGGGGATACATCCACCAGAACACACGAACGACTAGAGCCACAAGAGCGTGCAGAGAGCGAGCCACTGCCGAGCAAGACGACCTCGTCAGAGATGCCAAGCACCGACGCACCCACCGCCGATCCCATCGAGGACCCCCACTCTTCCTTCGTGGCGACAGACGACGGCGAGTACGAAGGGGAATACGGTTCCGAGTACGACGACGCGCCGGCGGCACCCGACGTCGCACCTACGAGCACCGATACCGATGCCGTCGCACCGACCGACCATGTGCCCACCACAGCGGTGCCCCCGTTGGCACTTACGACTCCAAGTGACGAGGGCGCAAGCCAAACAGACGATAGTCGTCCCCCGCCAGAAGCAGACGTGGCGTCCGAGCCAGCGATTGCAGATCCACCGACGCATCGACAGACGGCAGACAATGGAACCATCGAAGCGGACCCCGTCGACGTTGCTGCACCGATACAAACCACTGCGGTTGGTACACCCCGCGCAGCCGTATACGCGGTCCAAGACGAGGTCGTTGCGCCTCCTCCAAGTGTCTCTGCAGACCCCACACCCCAAGGCGTTGCCACTCCAAGAGCTCCAGAAGATTCGACCGACGCAGAAGCCGCTGCGCTTCCCACATCCGCGCGTGTGGAAGACCCCATTACGAGCAGTGGCACACCCGACGCCCCGCCGAGTGCGCGACCACTCGAGGTCCCGGCCCTCGCGCTGCCTCGCCCATCCCTCGAGTCGGTGGCGACCGAGGTGCCTTTATCGCCAGCGACGAACGCACCAGCCACCACGCCGAGCCCGCAGCCTGAATCATCAAGGATACCCGCACCGCCAACCACCACCGACGACGACAAGGCGGACGATGACGACGACGACAATCCGTACGCCGATGACGACGACTACGGCGACGACGACTTTGAAGACTAGTGACCCGTGTACAGTATCAACACAAGTTGTCGTTGTTTGGTAGCGCACCACCGTACTGCGCAAAATATAAGCTTTGCGCGGGAAAAGTGATCATTTGAACATGAAGAGTGGGCCACGTTGCCCCTTGCGAGTGATCTTATAGAGGAAAAAGCACCACTGGACGTAAAGAGATGAGGCTATGTTGCTTCAAAGTGATTGCTCATTTTTATGAATTCCGGTTCTCGTCACTTGACCACCGCTTGACAGCTTACCGGCAGCAGCGGCAGAGGCGGATCTTACCGTTGCGCCCCGGCAGCCCCGGCGCGGGTGGCAAAGTGGGAGGGGCGTTGCCGTCGCGTTCGTGGCGCTTGATCCCGTGCACGTAGACGCTGTGAAGGACATCGGGTGCGAGCAGTTTGTCCGCATCGCTCGCGACGTTGTGGTTAAGCACGACAAAGTCTGCGAAAAAGCCGACATCGAGGTGGCCCAGCCGCGTCTCTGCGTTGGCGGCAAACGCACCTGCCATAATCCATCGACGACCTGTCAACTGCCATGCTATCGTACCGTTGAGCGTATAGAGCTGGAGCGCGGCCGCAAATGGGAGTTTTTGATCAGAATTGTCCAAAAAATTGGTCGTGCCCGGCGCGGCGCGGTGCATGGCGTCGTATAAGCCCTGGAACGGGTTGCTCGTCTCGATCGGCGCGTCGCTACCGCCGGCGCAGACGATGCCATGGTCCATCATGCGCTTCCTATTGCCAAGATGTCAATCGATGATGCAAGAGAAGACGGAGGAGAGATGACCAGCAGTACGAGTACGGCACGCAGGCTGGCGGCAACCGCTTCTCGGCAAACGATGCGTCGGTAATGACAAACGACGGTTGGATGTCGGCAATGACACCGAGGCGCGCCATTGCATCAAGCAAATCCGGCCCGAGAATCTGACAGTGCGTCAAAATCGGACGGTCGGCTGGCGTCAAACCGGCGCTGTCCATCGCATGCAGCACCTGCGCCGCCGCACGGTCTCCGATCGCGTGGATCTCGAGGCGGTACCCGGCCGCATGCGCGACCTGGATCTTGTGTAGCATCGAGGCGTCCGACTCCATGAGCACACCGAGGTTACACGTGTTGCGGTACGGCTCCCGCAGCGCCGCTGTTTCCTAGGCATCGTCATTGAGACTTGCATCAAGAAGACGCATCACGGTACGGCGCCAAGCGAGCCGTCCGAGAAGATCTTGACGCGATCGCAGCTCAAGAGGCCGTCACGAGTCTTGGGCAAAGGAATGTTCGTTTGGCCAATCTCGTTCTGGTCGGGCGTCACATACACGCGTATCGGGACACGGCCGGACGCTTGCAGCTCTTGGTACAAATACCACGCGTTGTGGTCGTTGGTGTGGACACCTAATACCATCGACGTTAGAAAGACGTGTGGCGGAGAGGCCGCTGTACTTGTCAAACCAAACTCGAGGCAGGTCTGGAGACCGCGCAAGAGGTACTTTTTACGCAGCTCTACACACGGACGGACGTATGGTGAGCCGCTGCACGTCCATAGCAATATGCACCGTCGGACTGCTCTTGAATGAACTTTTGGACAAGCGACACGGCCTGTACAAGCATAGGTGCGTGAGCCGTGAAGAGGATCGGGCAGAGGCTACCGCTTCGCGGAGGACGCCCGTGGGCTTGCCATTCGCATCCATGTCGACGACGCCACCTGGAATCGAGGTCCACGCCGCATCGATCGCCTCCCCCTGGACACCCGCGACCTCGAGCGCCTTGGTGTTGACGACGGCAATGTGCCAGCAGGCGCGCCAGAGGTACATGGGGCGGCCCGGCACGATCGCGTCCAGGTCAACGCGCGATGGGTACCGCGCGTCGGCCGACAGCTTGTCTTGCTCCCAGCCAAACCCGACGATCCACTCAATGTCGGGATGCTTGGCCGCATGCGCTTGGACGCGATCGCGCAGCTCGTCAAACGAAGTCGTTCCGCGCAGGTCGACGTAGTGAGCGACCTCGCCGATGAGGTACACATGAATGTGCGAGTCTTGGAGACCCGGAAGCACGAGCTTTCCGCCCAAGTCGACGGTCGTGGCCGCCTTGGTCCTGATAAAGGCTGGCGTGTCGCCCGACCCGACGGCTACGATCTCGCCTTTCGCTTCATTGATGAGCATCCAGTTGGCGTAGCCCCGCGACTCGCGAGGCGCCGCGTGCGTCGGCGTGCTGGCCCACTGCCAGATCAGCCCCTTCTCGAAAAGCTTCATCGTCATTCCAATGACACGCCAATATCCAAATGCGCCACGTGCCGAATCCGCCGGGCTGTGCTCGGCATATTATTTTCGGCATATCGGCGGATGCCGCAAAAAAGGCTGCCACCGACGCCATCTCGGCGCATACCAGTAGCTTTGTCAGAGTCCCTGTCGGCGAGCAGTACCTAGCTCTATGGCATTCTTTCTTCGTCGATATCTACCAGGTTGGGCGTTGTCGAGTGACCGAACACGGCGTACTTGTGGGCAAACAAAATGCCGAAAATAAGACCACTTCAACATGGCAACTTGATGTTGGCACGCCCTTGCTTTAGGGATTAGTGTGCCTTAGCAAAGGCGAAATCCGATTTCCAAAGATACCAAGTCCCAGTTTGGATTTCACCTCGGAGCGCGCGCATGAATTGGATCGCGAGCAGCAAGAACCGCGCGCTGCATGGGAAGCTCGCCCAGCGGAAGAGGAAGCAGTACAAGGGCGCGCATGGAGCTCCTCCTCCGCGCGAGGCTCATGGGACGATGGCCCGCGATCCTCGAACGACGACAACGACGAAGGATGCAGGACCTGCGATCCCCGCCCGGTCGACGGGAAGCTCCCGCTTCGGAGCGATGCGAGCAGGACATGAAAAGCATCAAGCACGCGTCTCGAAGGAAGATGTCCCGGACAAGAAGCCGTCCCCGATGCGCCCGACGTCAAGCTCACCGGCGCGCATGGTGCTGACCCCGGACCAAGCCTTCCGTTGCTTCAAGTACGTAGACCCTTCTCCGCCCTTACTTGGTCACGAAGATTACATGTTCTGCTCGTGCACGTAGCGAAGGCGAGGAAGTCGACGAAAAGGGTCGCATGTTACCTTGATGCCATGTACTTATGAGCTGTGTAGGCCTGGCCATGACACCGGAGTGCAAGCGGGTCGCGCCATCGAAGAGCTCTCAGAAGAGCCAGATGAGCCAACGTATGATACCAATGCTTTCGTGCGGGGAGAGGCATGGATCTTCTAGGATCGACGAAGTCCTTTGTGCACGTGGAGCCAAGTTCGCCCAGCGAGTCTGGGCGGGCACATGTCTCCAAAGCAAAGGCAGTGGCGACCCGACTCTCGTTCTTCGATCACGTCTTCCCCGAACGCCGTGCGCTTGTGGGGGATCAACCTCTAGTGTACCCGCGCGAAGAAGACGACTCGTTCGCATCGTCGGCGTCCTCGGCTTCTCTGCAATCGGTTTCCCCACGGTCACAACCTATGCTCATGGGCCGCAGCATGAGCGCATCATCAACGTCTGGCAGCCCGTACAGCTTCCAAGGGCGTCGTTCTCGAGACGTGACGAGCCGAGCGATGAGCAGAGCGACAACAGCCGACGAACCAGAAGAGCAAGCGCGTTATGCCTCAATCGCCTCGTCCAGTACGTCAACCTTGACGTACGTCCTCGACATTCTATTTGGATTTTTCTCCTTAGGCGCGTCGTTGACAAGCGATACAAGTCGACAAGCTTCAGGTGCAATGAAATCTTAGTCCAGTCGAGTCTTTACAGGTATGTGTTAGTGTGGCAAAACAAGCGGCAATATGCTAGAGCGTTCCGCGATCAACCACCGAGCGCGAAGCGGTCAAAGCAAGCAACGAAGGTAGCATTGTGTGGTGCTTGTTGTCCACATCATGTTTGTACAGACCTCTCACCCTCACCATCTCCGCCACGATTCAACGCAAGCATTCTACGTACGTTCCACCGTTGGTTTTGAAAAGTAACATGTGTTGGTTAGAGAATGCTGTGGAAGGTGATTATGGTCAACTGACATTGTGGCACTTGGTATCAAGCGCTACACAGCTGCTCCAAAGCGCCCATTGTTCCTGACGCACCGCGTCAACGACAGCCGTAACATTCGTTTGCATTGATATATCTGCTCCTATCGTGATGTACAAACGTAGGCCTGCAAACCTTTCAAGACGGAGGGCCAAACTACACTCTGCAGAGCGCTTTTGGTCGATCCGAGTCAAGTGCGTTCTACATACAATTGTACGGTACAAAAGAGATCTTTTTTGTGTGTCTAGATGGACGCGATTGGTTCAATGAGACCTCGCCACGGCATTCAGATCATGTGACGATACGTCCGTCGCCCACCCAAGATACCGAAATGCAGTGGCAGCGGTCCCCAATGCGCTTGTCGTCTCTGAACACGTCAGACATTTCGACTTCGCCAATGGTCGGACGGGGCTACGCGCGCCCTTCAGATGCAGACACATCAACATACCCAACCCAAGCATCAATTGAGCCTCGCGCCATGGCCACCTACAACGACGCACGTAAGAAAACAACACATCAAGCATGCAGGGGCGATTACTTTCGACTCCGTTTATAGCTCCGTCGATGGCATCTTCGTCTACTGAGCAGCATGGCTTCAACTTGCAATGGTCTCAACGAAGCACGGAAGCTTCTGGGCTATCAAGAATGCTTGATGGCACGAGCCAAAACGATCTGTCACCGGGCTGGCATCATCGCGACCTGCATCGACCGCTACTGCATGCTGAAGGCCCAAGCCCCAATAATGACCAAGGCTCTCGATGGAAAGGTAACCCACATATTTATAGCAGGTACGAACATCGGCTAGGTCCGTACATGGTGCCGCTGCAACCTAGCCCGAACCATCGAGAAAAGTGGCACACGTCGCTGTTTAAGCAGCTTGCCACGCCGAATGGCGCGATAGACGGTGCAAAGCCACAACATGCAGCCAGCAACGGTAGCCCTGCATCATCAATATCTGTATTTAACGGGCCACTAGAGGCTTCATTTGCGGAGCCTCATTGGATCAGGGCAAACAAGCCCTCAGTCAGTGAAGGCCGAGGTAAACTGTGGCCCCTCCGTCAGCACCGTCACGGAACTCAACACGATCGAAGGCGGCAAACCTTCTGTCGTCACTCGGAAAGTCGGGTCCCATGCTGCGACGTCGGCAATTGGGAGCCACACCGCTCCAGGTTTCTGAAACAACATATCCTTTTGTCATGCTTATAAAACTCCAACCATTAGTTCCAAAGCCCGACCTCGTTGGCAGTTGGCAGTGGGCGAGGCATATGGGCAAGCCTCGCAGCGAAACCTTTGTCGAGACATTCGCCCCATCGACGACGATTGCTTCAAGTCGATACGCGCACGCGGCTACAGTGCACGACGAGTCGAATCCGCTTTACTTCGAGCCGAAGTTTCAAGATCAAGCCCACACACCGCCAAATCAGTCGTCCTGCAGCCGACCATACTCGCCAAAATTTGATCCCGAACGTCGCTCTACCCCGGAAACGTGCACCCCTGCATCCACTGTGCTGCACAACGAGCCTGCTCTGACGGTCGACACGATTCATTTCACGCAAGTCGCAGCAAGCATCATTGACGAGGCCCAGTCGGCATCGTCGTCCTGTTCAACTCCATTGACGTCCCATGGATGCACCAGGATCGTCAACATCGACGACGACCGACCATCGCCTCGTGACGATACGCCGATAGAAGAGGCGCCGAGCCAACTTTACCCAGAACAAGTGGAGCTCGGAGGCTATCTAAGCAGCTGCACGAACGAGAGCGATTCAAGTCAACCAGAGGACACAGACCTGTGTGCACCGACGCAGCGGCTGGTGTACGCTTCGTCGCCTGATACGTCAGATGTGGACGAGCCTCAAGGTGAGCAACCTTATTCCAGTGTAAAAACCGATGTGGTACCCAGCTATATCTTTAGCGCCAACCAAATCTCAGGCTCAAGGCTATGTATCTCCTTCCAGGGCCATGGTGTCCGTCGTCGCCGAGGTATCCTGTGGACCATGGGCCATGCAAGAGCGGACTCGACGGATCTTGGCCAGTTGCTCTCGGGGTACACACGAGATGTCGAATTTGACAAGCTTGCTTATCGTCCAGCATAGGAAATGTGGACGGTGCCCAAGTCGACCCCACCTTTGACGACGACGCAGCGTCCCTAGCGATCATTCTGTGGACACTAGTGCAGTGCTACGCGCAATGTTGATGCATCTCTATTATTTCTATACACAAAACTCTGCTACTGACTGCCGATGTCGCCAAAGATCTCTTGCATCTTGGCATGCGCAGTGCTGTACTTGGGTCCAACCCAGTACAATTGGGCGCAGAGCAAGCACGCCCAAAAGTCGGTCACTGTCTCGAGTACACGCGCCGGGACATCGTCGCCGACTCGGACTTCTTCCAGCGGTACGATGCGAAAGCCCTTGCCATTGCACTTGGCGCATCTATCGAACGCATTGAATAAGATGTAGGAGCTCAAGGCAACGCGCACTCACCTCGACATGAACGTCTCTTCCTTGAACTCGATGCTAAAGTGCTTCTTGATCTACACATCGAAAAGTATCACGAAAGGCCGGGTCCATAGGAGCGCGCCTACCTCTTGGAACTGCGCTTCGATGTTGTCGCTGAGGACGACGTAGCACGCGAGCGCTTGGCGCTGCTTGGCAAGCTTCCGGTCCCGCGTCAGCACAATCCGGTGCTCGACGGTCGCTTGAATGAGCATGTTGGACTTCTCGTCGCATTTGTCCCAGTGCAGCACGTCGATGCCCGTCATGCGAAGCCACTTGGCAACACGACCAAGCATCGTATCGGCGAGGAACTTTAGTCTTGCGGCGCCGCCTGCAAGCTCGTAATGTCGTGCTGCATGGCCAGCGGCAGAACGCGCGGTGCATGGCAGAGCTCCAGAAGTGCCTCGAACGACGCCTCCAAAAGCACGTCCGAGGTTCCGCCGCCCAGCACAATGCGCTCCGCGCCTTCAAGGGCCCTACACCACAAAGAAAGCGCGTTGTGACGAAGAAGATTCGGTGGACCGTACGTGTCGAGCAAGACGCGCGCGGGCACGTCGTGGGCGAACGGCGGCACCGTTCCCGGCGCGTAGCCAAAGATGCTGGTGCACTCGGTGGGTCGGGCAAAGCGCACCTTCTTTCTGGCGACACCCAGGACCATACTCAGGAGACTCAAGTCGACCTTGGCGTCTTGGGGCAGCACAACGACGTACGGGGCCCCTATGTCTCATGAGCAAGAGTGACTGGTCCGTCATGTGGTACCGTTGGCAAGGATGCAGAGGCTGTTGGCGAGACGCACGCCGTTGGTGGCGTCAGTTAGTTCGCTTCGCGGCAACAACCGAATGCGCTTGTTTCGTGCTGCTTGACAAAGTCTGCAATGCGCGTCTGCGTCGTCTACCAATAGGGTCTTAGCTTAGCGAAAGCAGCAAAGCGACCGTACAACGGAGGCGGTCTTGGCGTGCTGTCGCGCATGCCGCAAGCGCACAATGTCGGCCACTTGCCGGCTTGGTGGCACGTCGCACGTGATCGACTCGATGCAGCCGGCATACAGCTCCTCGGACGATTGGCACAGGCGCTGGGCCATGGCGACGAGCACCCACGCATCAAGGGCGGCATACCTATTCCATCGATTGTACTAATGCTGTCGTCTCGTGCTGACACGTACTCGGCTTGCTTTGGCGTCAGCGGTCGCTTCTCCCAGTCCGAGAGCTGTTGTTTCTACAGCACCAGCCACCATGCAGCGTACGCACACAGTCGACGTGGTACCTTGTTCAGAGGCCGCCCCAGAACAAGCGCGGCGCCGTCTGACAAGCTTCGGCCCGTGTACGTCGGCTGCCACGAGCGAAGCAGCGCTCCCATCTACACATCATGATCAGATGCGATCGCACGATTGCGACATACATCCACGAGGCCGTGGACAACGTCGAATGTCGATTTGTCTGGAAACGTGTGCTTGAGCACTAGTGACTTTGGGTTGAGGGCTGCCAATCGAGTTGCTTACATAGTACGCTGTACCTCGGAGATCGTGCTTGAAGCCAAATCCGATCTTGAGGACCGACGCATGGCGCAAAATCGCTTCCACAACGTCCAAGCCTGTTGTAGTGGTCTACTCCATGCGTCAACGGACAAGCTTTTGGAGAATTGGAGCAACCTCGAGAGCAACGAGGTCGACGAGAAAGACGCGGTCCGCCAGCGCGAGCTGGAGGAGGCTGGCGAGGCACGTCTCATCTTTGGACACGAGCGGTCGCCACTCGACGTCGACACCGAGCCAGATGGGATGGTCGCCTTCCTCGACGCAGGCTACAACCGCGCCACTCGATCCCAAGCACATATCAACAACTAGCGTACTTAGCACCGACGTGTACAGATCTTGCATGGTCGCATCCGAGTCGCAAAATACGATGGCATCTGGCGGCAGCGACCAGCCAAGGCAACTCGCCTCCTCCTACGAGAAGACATTACATTGGCATGAATGCGAGTGAGCGCATGATGGTACGGGGCTCTCCAGCGATGAGAGGTTATCGATGCGGTCGACTTGCAGTTGGAACCTAGTACGCTACACGTTATGTGCCATGCAACCGAGCATCCTCGTCGACCGATCGTAGAGTTCTTTGGCGAGATCCGAGTTGCCGGCCATGGCCACATACTGGTAGAGCGTCGCCTACGACGAGCCTCATCCACTGTATTTCATAAATACATGGACTAATACCTGAAGCGACGCATCGGTTCCGACAAACGACGTGGCGATCGACCACTTTTTCTGTGCGCAGAGCTTCTCGAGCGCTTCGCGCCGAAACCAGCTCTCTACACTACGCATGACGCAAAATTTTACTTGTCTAAACTGTACCAACTTGCGGAAAGGTCGCTTGGAGACCGTACAAGTGCACAAATTTGTGGGCCTACGATCGACATTTGAAGTGACATTTCGACATTGTCATGACTGGTGCGGACCTTTTTGATGTCTTGCTTGGCCAGCGTGAGCTCGACAAGGTGCGCCGTCAGAACTACAGTGGCGTCCATATACGCCAGCATTCTTTCTAAAGAAATATATGTCAACCGTGCAGGCTCTTGCTGGGCGCGGCTTTGAGCAATTGCTCGGCCATGGACCAGCTGTTGGTCGCTACGAGCTGCTCCAAAAGCCACGAAAAGTCCCAAGATAGCGCCGGGAAGGCCGCCACGAGCTTGAGAACGCTCATGTACGCTTGGTTTTGCACCAGCGAGCGGCCGTACGCCAGCACGAGCTCGTCGTCGACGGCACAGAGCGTGAAAAGCCCAATGGCTTTGGTCACCACCTTGGCATCCTACAACCACATGCCGCATTGACAATGAAGCTGGTCGCTTACCACGGTGTTGGATCCGTCGAGGGCGCGGACGACGAGCGTCTGCAAATGGCCCAACGTTGCGTCGGCCACATACTGTGTGGTTTCGATCCGCAGCTCGTCCAGTGTCATGAGAAGCAAGTAGGCAATCGGCGCCGACGTATCGGTCCAAAAGTGCAATGTCAAGTCGACAAGCGTCGCTGCGCACGCCATGGGATCGGTCGAGCGCTGGCCAACGATCGTCGCCAAGGCTGCCTTGCAGACGCCAAAGTTGTTGACGGGCACCGCGTGGAAGAGCTCGCGCAAGAGGCTAGCACAGCCGTCGTCTCGAGCTTCCAACGATGCTTGGATGTCGCGCCAGCGCGGGTCGTCAAGACTCGGCATGGATCGCGGGCCAAGCGCGCACTCTGCCATGCTGCGGATTGCTACACCACACTATTCGGGTCCAACAGACATTGAATAGTGTTCTGTAACACTATTCAAATGGCAATCCTTGTATATAGTGTTGTGTAAAATACTGTGGATAACAGCATTTCCGTGCAAATCGTCGAAAAAATCATCCGGATGTCGAAAGAGTATCCGGTAGCTTCGATATTTTCGCGATCTTGACACAGACCATCAGAACGGCTTGTGCATGCGGCAGCGCAGAAGTCCAACCAAGTCGTCGACAAAGCCCATCATGTACACTCTGAGCGTCCTCCTGCCTCTCCTTGTGCTGGTATTGGCGCTGCTCTCGCAGGACGACCAGCCACTCGCGCTCAAGGTCGACGGCGCCGCGCCCGTCCGGGAGCCCGTGGTCGCCGAGCCCGCGCCAGCGTCCAAGCCGCGCTATAGCGCCAAGCAACGCCGCGCAGTGGGCTACTTGCAGACAGCCATGGGTCATTTTGAGGCGCAAAAGTGGCCGCTCGTTGTCGAAGAGTGTGAGAAGGCGATCGCCGCCGACCCGGACCTCGTCTTTGGGCATGCGCTCATGGGCAACGCGCTCAACGTCATGATGCAGTGGGAGCGCGCGGCCGACAGCTGGCGCAAGGCCACGGAGCTCGAGCCAACGTCCTTTGAGTTTTACTACCACCTCGGATTTGCGCTGTCGCAGCTCTCGCAGGACCAAGTCAACAACCAGAAGAAGCACACGATTGGCAAGCAAGCCATCGAGAGCTTCGAGACGTACTTTAAACTGGCCGAGGGCGACAGCGACGCGACGACCGAGCAAATGTCGTTAGCGCACGCGAGCCTCGCAGCCATCTACAAGGCGAACAAGCTCGCAGAGAAGCAGGAGCTGGCGCTTAGCCACTTTGAGGCCGCAGCCGCCCTCGACCACACAAACGAGCTCGCGTTCTTCAACATTGGGCTCTTGTACGCCGAGAAATACGAAAAACGCGGTGACGAGGCCGACCTTGAGAACGCACTGCGGGCGATCGAGCGCGCAGTCACTCTCGACCCGACCAACGCCAAGTACGTGGCGGTTCGGGACGCGCTGGTGGGCCATTCGAGTCCGGCCGAGCTCATGGCGGCCATGCAGCAGCTTTAACGCGCCGACATTCTTGATTCGTTGACCGATGGGTATAGAAATCTCTGTCAACAGACTCTATTACATTGCACACATGTTTTCGATGACGCCTTGCTCTACCGGTTTGCTAGTGGCGCGTCGCCAAGCTCGTCGCGGCTCCGCGCTGCGAAGAAGTCTCGGTTGCGTTGGATCTGGTTTAAGAGGGGCTTGGCATGCGGTACGAGCTGGCTCGTGAGCGTCCAGAGCGGCAAGACGACAAAGTCCAGAAAGTTGACTTGCAGCACATCCCGCATTTGCTATGTGGAACTATCGCACGGGTATATTGCGTGCGAGGGTGTCGCGCACCGTGTTCTCCATGTGGGCGTAATGCAGTGGCGGCGGCAATCCGAGATCGTGCATGCGCCGGGCTTGGTCGGCAAATTCAGCGCAGACCCGTTCCATCCTAGTAGAATAGTTGTGGTTTAGACAATATCGTCCATCATATGACGATACATACCAGAGAAAGGTCGTGGGCGGCGAAAGCGCCGCGCTGCCAAGGTCGCTCGTGTGTAGGATCCAGTTGAGGTACAACTGTTTCCGTTGGGCGATGCGCTGAGGACGTTGGGGTCGGCTTTCTCGGTCATGGCACTCACCAGCTCCGCGTGGTACTTGATGTCTACGCAGCAAATAATGTCGTACATCGAGCCATCATAGTCGCATTCAACCTGTGTAGAGAATGCATTGAATAATGCACTGGCGCAGCGTCGCGTACTGGGATGCATCGAGGGCCTCAAGCACTTGGCAGCTTGGGTCTACTAACATGCGTCAATCAAAGGTCCAATATATTTGATCCGATGCCAACTACCGCGCAAGAGGCCAAACAGAAGCGCAATTGAGTGGGACTCGAGCACCTACCGCAGCAGACAACACTATAAAACTGCGTCCGACACGGCAGCGCAGGTACCGAAATATCGTTGTAGCGGATCGCGAGCTCGGACGACGTGGCGACTTCAAACGCATTGTCGTTGCCGGGATGCCCGAGGTCGTGGCCGAGCGCGGCGAGGAGCACACCGAGCGCGTCCAGCTCGCTAATGGTTGGAAGACGGTCGGCTGCGAGCAAAAATAGGTCAAGTGCGTCACGCTAAACGCATGGTAAAAGCTGTGGTAGGGTAGCTCGCGGTATCTATGACATAGTATGGTCACGGCTCTTGTGGACTGGACGATGTATCAACTTGATACAAGGCCCGTACCCGAGTTGCAGGGCGTCGAGGAACGTCTTGAACGTGACGACTTCGATCCGAAAAGTATCGAGAAGTCGGTAGCTCGAAAACATGGCGACGACCAGTGCCTTGAGCTCCAGAAAGGTCTTTTCGAACACGTTGATGTCGATCTCGAGCAAGTCGGGGGACGGGACGAGAAACCGCGTGGCTTGTGGCGCCAACGCGGTCATCGAGACACTGCCCCTGAGCTTGACGCGCGCGAGCTTGCTCGCTGCTTCTTGATCGCGTGAAAGGTTGCAAACTCGTTCATTGTGATGGTCTCGAGGCCGCTCGCCTCCAAGAGCGACCGAATGCGTTCGTGCTGCTTTGCCATCGCATGCTACGCATGATTCATACTTATCATGGACGAGGTTGGTCCAAGAATCGACAGTACCTCGTGGTGGAGCCGCGAGACGCGCTCCCGGTCCGCGTGGACTTTGGCAAACATGAGCAGCGCAGGATGTTTCTCCATGATGTGGCTCATCGCCGACGCAAACACAAGCAGGAACGGCGTGTCGTACGCTTGCACGTGGCGCAGGTCGGCGTGCAGCGTCGTCGCCGACGTCTTGTGCAAGGCTTGGCTCACCTAATCCAAGAGCGTCCTTTTTTGCTTTACATGCAATTGCTACCGCGATAACGTCGCCGCGGGCATTGCAGATCGGAACCACGAGACACGCATGGGAGCCCGCGCCAGAGGCGTACTCGGTCGCCACGCCCATAGCATCGACGCGGACATCAAGGTACCACCGCGTCGCCTTTGTCTACAATAAGGGACAATACGATCTTGGACGTCCATGAAATAGTGTACCTCGACCACCGCGCCGACGACACCGTCCCCGAATGCAACGTGCTTGCCGCTCGAGATGCCGCTGCCGTTGAAGCTCCAGAGCTCGCGGTGTACTCGGTCGCAGACATAGAAGCGAAAGTCCTTGGTTGCAAAGAAGGCGGTGCCGGCTGCACAAATGAGCTGCATCTTGCGCCCGCCGTCCGCCGTCATCCACACCTCGTTGATGAGTTCGAGAAACTTGACGAGCAGCGTCTTTTGGTGCAGAAGCAACCCAACATCCGACGTGAGCTTGTCGATCTCGCACCCGCTGACCATGATGGCGCGCACGAGCTTGAACACATTGGGCTCGCACGCCAAGGACGGCGCCGACGTTGAAACACACAGCACACTGTAGTAGTCGGCGGTCAAGGACGGGATCGCGACGACGGCCGCCGACAATACCGCGTCACTGACGAGCGATTGCACCAGCGCGAGGTCACTGCGCGCGGCAAGAGACCCGACACGCGAGAGGAGTGACGTGAGCTGCGCAAACGTAGGGCCTTTTGGTTGTGGAAAGAGGCGGACCTCCGTGTCTCCGGAGCTCGTCGCTGTCTGCAGAATGCGCTCGGAGCCGGTCGTAATCTGAAAAACCCACGCAGACTCTGCGCCGACGAGCTGGACGACGCCGCGCAGCGCCTGCGTCAATGCCGCGTTTGCACTTGGTGGCGGTGGGGCCTGGACGAGCTTTGTGATTTGGAGCGCGTTCGGGCGAAGCGCGGGCGATGGACTCGCTTCTTTATTGCTACTGCGTCGTCGTCCTTGCAGTAGGTTGCCAATCGCGGCAATGAACGGCGGCAGCAGCACGGGGCAAAAATAGTGCTCGTTGAAGCAGCGCAGCTCGACGACCGCCGTCAGGACGCCGCGGACCAAGATCGGGTACGCGAGGTAGCTGTGGGTGCGCGTGCCGAGACGCCCGTCCACGTCCGAAGCGACATTGTACGCACCGTGACGCTGGATGTTGAGAACAAAGACGGGGGAGGGGTCGTCGGGAGCCCCCCGTTGGAGTAGGAGTCCCCCCGGCAGACTCTGGACCAAGCTGTGGTTGGTTTCAAGGAGGTCCCGCGACGTAGCTGCGCGCACGTGCAAGTACATGTCGGTCACCATGTAGATCACAATGCAATCTACGTATCGCGACGCATGGGAATTGACGCTACGCTAGAACGTACCAGCACCGAGGACGCCAAACGCTTCATACAGCGTCTCCTGGAGCATCATGGTCACGCGCGCCGTGTCTTGCAGTGATGCATCGTCAAGCCGTAATGATGCTAGATACCTAGATTGTAGCGCTTCGTATCGTTCATCGCAATAGGAGGAAGGCGCCGACCGATAAAAGTCGAGTCGGCGAAAGGTCTCGTCGATGGTAGCGCTGGCGACGGGGGGCGCCGACGAGAGCAACTTTTTCTCTAGCACTTGCTCGACGTTCAAGCTACGCACTGTGAATTCGTTGCATCCTTTCACGCAAGTACCTCGAGTGGCGAGTCGGTGACCGCGCAGGTGGTTTTTCTACACGGCCCCGTCCTGTGAGACAAAATGGGCGTGTGTCAACGGCACCGTCGCGTCAGTCGTGGGTGGGTGGCGCGGGGGCGAGGCCTTGGCGCGGGGCGACGCCACCACGATGCTGCGAAACTCGCTCCCGCCGCCTTTCCTCGGGCGCATTGGCGGCTTGTGGAGCAGTTTCGAAGAAAACGCTTTGAGACGGCGTCGCATATTTTTACAACTTACACGACGAAATGACGCGATGTAAATGTTCAAGATGGGATTCTTTTGTCGTTGGGGCTACAAATCAATCGACGGCTCAAGCACTTCCGCGTGCTTCAGTCACGCCTCCAACATACTATCGGCAAATACCCTATCTGCTTCCACGCAGTCGTGGATATCACACAGCTAGATATCGCCTGTGGGCCCAAACGATTGGGAGTGCGATCAAGCAATCAACTTTCCATCCATCAACGTCGTTTCGTCGAATTCCCGCATCCCCCAGAGTGCAGTCTTCTCGTGCTGTGTTATGTCTTCGATCGTAATACAGTGTATTTAATGCTATACTGGTGCAATGTACGTGGAATGACGTGTTGTGCTTGTGCGCACCGGCTTGGATCCCACGAGAGCAACCGTGAAATACGTAGACGACGAAACGGGCTTCGTTTCAACGCCGCACATGAATACTGTTCACATGTGTAAAATAGAGTTTCTTTACGTTAGCAAGTATTAAATAGAGGTAGATTCGCGATCGCAAAACTCGTAGGAGGTTAGGAGGAGGAGGTGAGAGAAGGGTATCGATCCGTGTGAACAACAACATCCATCCCGACCGGGCCACGAAGGCGATCTGATTACACTGTTGTGTCCTGCACGGAAAGTGTCCATTCATTGGTGAAAATGATTGGTTTTATTGGATGCTTCTACCCAATCGCGTACCATCAATAAAACTCTTGTAGTAAATATGGCAGGATGCCACAAATACCTGCCCACGCGCTACCTCGCGTCGCAGCAAGTAGGATTCCTTCAAAGCGACAATCGCAGTGGTATAGACATTGACTCGCATAGCGTGTCTTTTGGACCAGCCCTCCATGGGCCTCAAAATACTACCCTCACCATAGTCGTTTGTTCGTGCGCGATCGCATGCGTAGGTGCAAGGAGGCGCGCTGGCACTTATGTGTGGCTATTTGTGGCAACAGACGTTCTCCGCACCGCTGATCGCCACATGCACCGGCAGCTGCATCGATTCCGCGCACTTGTGCCGCTTGCCGCCGCAGCGTGGGCGGCACCGCCTCCCGCCCGCAACGAGTCCATCAACGATCGCTACGCCGTCGGCAAGCAGCTCGGCGTCGGCGGCTTCTCGGTCGTCAAGGCCGCACGTGACAAGACCACGGGCGCTGACGTCGCGGCCAAGTTTTTCGACATGAAGAGCGCGTCCATCGATGAGATCGAGGCCGAGGTACGGTGACATGATCGTCGAATGCTTGGCGCTTTAAGCGGCGCGTAGATTGCAATGCTGCGCTCGATCGGACAGCACGCCAACATCGTGTCGCTCCGAGATGTCATTTACGAGCCAACGCGCATCATCATGATCATGGATCTTGTCCGAGGCGGCGAGCTCTTCGACTATATCGTGGAAAAGGTGCGAGGCCGTGATGCGATCCAACGATGACGCGGGTCTACTAGGGCTCCATGACCGAGGCCGACGCGAGTCGCATCCTGCGCGACGTCTGCTTGGCACTGGACCATCTGCACCACCGCGGTGTCTGGTGCGCCGATACACTGTGGCTACCGCGTGGATGCTAAGGAAGCGTACTCGCCTAGTCACCGCGATCTCAAGCCCGAGAATCTCCTTCTGACCGACACGTCGTCACATCCAGGCATCAAGATTGCGGTGCGTCGGTCACGCTCGCCACATAGTCTCATGGTATGTGCTAGGACTTTGGGCTAAGTCGGCGGCAACAGATGGGACAGTCGATTGTCGAAGACTGCCCCACCGGCACCATGTACGCTTTCGAATCTGAACCTCAATCTGAAAAGCACGTCGCCATGATGCTAGGGTGTATTGGGCCCCCGAGATTATCAAGCGCGCGCCGCAGGACGTCGGTGTCGACATGTGGGCCTTTGGCGTCTTGGTAGTGGCACCGATTTGGCTCTTCCAACTAACGATGGGCGTTGTGATATAGCTCTACATTACGCTTACGGGCATTCACCCGTTTGATCCCAAAGGCAATGCGTCTGATGCGCAGATCCTCGCGCTTGCGGCCAAAGGCGCTTACGACAGTAAGAGCTGTGGTCAATTATATAGCGATATGCAAACGACAGTATATACATAGCGGGCAACCCGTGGTATAGTAACCTCTCCGCGCCAGCCAAAGACCTCATTGCGCACCTCCTTGAATTGGACCCGAAGCGGCGCTACACGGCCGCGCAAGCGCTCGCACACCCATGGATGCTCCATCGCGACGGCACGACGCCTCTCTCCGACGGCCTCACGTCGCGCTTGCAGGCGTACCGCCGCCTCCAAAAGCTCCGGGCCAACATCCTCACGGTGATTTTAAGCCAAACCAAGCTCAACGTCGCGAGTCTCCCGCTGTCGTCGCCATCGCGCCTTCTCGTGCGGCGTGCACGCACGGCCAACATTGACATGTACATGGAGGTCTTTCTCGTCTTCGACAAGGACGGCAATGGCTTTGTCTCGCGCTCGGAACTCGGCGCCGCGCTCCAGTCTCTTGGGCAGCGCCTCACCGAGTACGTCCCTCGAGTAAAAATGTTCGAAGGACCTCATGCCTCTTCATGTAGGCGCGAGATTGACGCGATCATGGGCATGGCCGACGTCGACGGCGACGGCGGCATCTCGTTCGACGAGTTTGTGAGCATGATGAACTCGAGCTTGTTCAAGTGGGGTGCTGTCGACGAGACCGATATGCACGTGGCCTTCGAGATCTTTGACACGAACCACGACGGCTTCATCTCGGCCGACGAGCTAGCGTACGTGGTGAGTCTCTTCGGGAACGCGACGCCCATGTCGGAAGCCGAGGTGCTCGACCTCATGCGTGCGATCGATGCGAACGGCGATGGCAAGATTGACTACACGGAGTTTGCGGCACTCATGGGCAGTATGCTCAAGCAAAACGACTAAGTTGCATGCTTTTTGAACACCAAATATGTCGATACCACTCTGTCCTTCTACGTCAACACTCGGAAACACAGTGCATAGCCCGATTCCAGGATCGATACAACGAATTGGACGACTTGGGTGGAATTGCGATCAAGTTGTTGGGTCCCACACTTCGTTCAATGGACACAATAATGGTATTGCGAACGAGATGCATGGCACCGTCGACGGTGCAAGACGCCCCTCTCATACCCACTTGGTTGAAGATGACGAATGCGCTACATAGGCATAGAAGAGAAAAACTCTAAGAACGTAATCCAGTTCCCGCCAGGAAACGAGGACTGATGTTCCTATGTCTTCAAATGCACAGAAGAAGAAACGCAGTGCTGCGACAACTCTGCGGTAGTCAATGCGAACGCTACATTGTTGAACTGGGAAAATGATGACGACGATGAGCGAGGCACGGGCCGTCCATCCTTGCGTGCACGAGGCTGCTAGAAGTGCCGGTCACTTTTCGAGTTGCCCCTCCAGCACGCCGTCAGCGGCCAGTCGCAGTGGGCGCGTCCTTCCAGTCGAGTACCAGCATACAAGGTAAGTCGCCCAGGCATGTCCGACGCAGGGAGAGTCCTGGGATACAAGGTGACGATCCAATGCACCCAAGAAGCTTCGATGGGAACTCGCGTTCTCAGATTTGAGGGTGTTCACATTCGTATCGAGACTCCAAAACTAGCGCAATCCGTCGTCACCTTCTGACTCAGAAATTTAGGTTCCTGGCTCAGACGCAGTTCTTACCAGTTGCACGGACGAGCTGCAAGGTAGAAGACGCTCGATGCAGCAACGCACTCTTATAATAAGCAGGGACGTCGATCAGGTGTAGTGTCGCTCTCTGCACCTTGCGCCTCAATTTGATGGTCGTTTGGCGGTGCAATGCGGCTCTGCTTTAACGTACCTCATCTACTACTGTACAGTGCATTGTCGTTGAGAACCAATTGGCTATGCCCACGCGACGACGACGACGACGACGACGGTCCCACTTACCCACACCGTTTTGAGTCCAAGGTCTGTCCTTACATGCCACCATCCGCTGCAACTCTTGGTATGCAAGGTAAAGGCCCCGCAGACGTGCGTCGCGTCGACGCTGTCGTTCCTTTGAGAAGCTCACTCGTGTGCTGTTATTACTCTTGGTTGCGTTGGTCTCTTCTCCGTACAATCACCTACCTACCTACCGGTACATCATTTGCCCACCACAAAAGACGACGCCATCCCACCGTCTGTTGCTAGCGCCCAAACAGCTGGTTCGGAAGCTGCCACGTGGAACTCCCAACGCAGGTCCCACTACCGCTCGTGTCTGTTCTTGTGGTCGGGGCACTTTTGGTGGCAAAACGAACTTGAGTGCTCACTTTTCCTTTTGCGGCCTTTCGCTTCCATGGTCGCACGACGCAACGAACTCGCACCGGCCGAGCGGCTCTCGTACGTAAGCTCCACAACGGGCATCATCAAGGGGGGTCGCGACGACGATTTTGCCGAGTCCAAGACGCCTGGCGAGCTCGAAGACGGTGCACTTCGCAACGGCGACGCGCCCATCTACACATCGCCCGAGATTCTGGCCCTCCTCTTCCAGTATGCCGCGATCGGTGTCGTCTACGGCGGCATGAACGGCATGCAGTACCCGGTCTTGACCGGGTACTTTACGCTCCAAGGCAACGTCCTCAACTCGGCGACAGCGCTCATGAGTCTTGGCTGGTCGCTCAAGGTCTTTTTTGGGATGCTCTCGGACTGCGTCCCGATCTTTGGCTACCACCGCAAGCCATATATCCTCGTCGGGTGGATCCTCACGGCCGTGCTCCTCATCGTCGTCGCGCTCAAGCCCGCGGGGGAGCCGGCGCCGGACCCCGAGGCCGCCTCGAACGGATCGACGCTCGCGCTCCTCTGCGCGGTCGCTTGCTTTTGCTACATCATGGCCGACGTCGCCCAGGACGCGCTCGTGGTGTCATATGCGCAGCGGGAGCCGCTCGCGCAGCGCGGCCGCCTCCAATCGATGATCTACGCCGTGCGCACGGTTTTCATGGCCGTCATGTCGGCCATCTCGGGCTTCTGCCTCAACTCGGAGCGCATGGCTGGCTCGTACGATTGGGACATTGGTGTCAACGGGTACTTTTGGATCATGGCGGCCACGTCATTGCTCAACGTGCCGGTCGTGTACTTCTTCCTCAAGGACGTCAAGGCGCCGACGCATATCTCTGTCTCGACGTACCTCGAGCAATTCTGGTCGCTCGCGCAGAAGCGGGTCGTGTGGCAGGTCATGATCTTCAACTTTATGTTCTCGCTTTTCACGTCGTACATCAGCACGACCGCGTCGTCGTACGTGGCGCGCTACTGGGCCGAGGTGGACAACCTCAACTCGTCGCTCATCAGCATCATCTCCAACCTCATCTTCGCGACCGTCCTCGTCGTCACCGGCAAGTACGGCACCCATTGGAACTGGCGCTACGTGCTCATCATTACGACGATCACGACCAACATCATCGATGCGATCGTGCAATTCTGCACCATCTACGACGTGGTCCGCAACCAGTGGTTCTACCTCGGCGTGCCGCTCTCGGAACAGCTCCCGGCCGGCATCAACTTTGTCGTTGGTACGTTCGTCATTGTCGAGCTCGCCGAAGAAGGCAGCGAAGGCATCATGTACGGTCTCCTGACGACGATTACAAACCTCCCGGGCGTCTTTGGCCCGATGATCACGAACGTGATTGACGCCAACTTTGCCGTCCGCAGCGAAGACATTAAGGGCGACCTCCCCGAAACGCGCACGCAGGTCGCGTACACGTACATCATTGCGTACTCGGCGACCGTCATTGGCTGCCTCTGGGTGTGCATTTTGCCCAACCAAAAGGCGGCCGTGATGGAGCTCAAGAAGCACGGCGGCAGCTACCCCAAGGTCGCAGCCTTCATCTTTTATGCCTTCTTTGTCATTCTCGCCACGTCCATCACCGGTACGATGACATCCATGTTTGACTCGACCAACTGCCTCAAGCTCGCGGGCGGCGACGGCTGCCCAGAGGGCACGTCGCAGCTCTACTTGCTCGGCATCTTTGTGCCTGCCGTCGTTGCTCTCGTTGCGATTGCTCTCGTCTACAAAAAATCGCGTAAGCCATTCGCTGCGCGTGGCGTCGTACATCCTGTTGTAAATAAAATAATGTGTTGTGAGCAGATCGATCTCGGGTGTTTTTGTTTGAAGGCGAGCACATGCCACGGGGAAGGCTTCAGCACACAGCTGTCTTTGCCAAGCAGGATGAAAAATCGCACCCTGTTCAATGCATGGGTCCACGGACAACGCCATGCTCGACCTTCCTCTCAAGAGCTGTTAGCGCTAGGGTTAGGGCTGACTGTGGGACAGTGTACTGGTTGCACGCCAATAACAGATGCAATTGCAACGACGCTACAGAAGAGTGCCACTGGAAGAGTGCATGGACCGAGCGAGTTGCACGTGCTGAAGCAAAGCCATGGCGTTGATACCGACAACAAAGCATGGGCTCTTGATGGAGTGCTCAATTTTATGTGCGGTAGTTTGGTTCTGGTAATCCAGCGGGAGGAAAGGCTGCTTCGAGTGCATTGTAGCGAGTGCATGGTGGCAGATACCACATCGAGGCGTCCGCCAAGATAGGCTACGCCAGAATGCATCTTTCCATGTCGGCACGGGTTTGAACTTGCATATGTAATCGCAAGGAATAGGCATGCCCTTTCTCATCGTGACCAAGCTGCGCTATAGTGCATAGCCTGCGTAGTAGTTGCTTGCTGCAAGACTACAAATGGCTGTTGTCGTCCCCTTCGTCATGCCCATCACCGGCAGCCATTCGACATCAAGTAGTGTGGATGCCGAGCGTTTCGCACTAAATAGTGTGCAGCGCCAGGTGTTGCGCTCGTTGAAGATGCGAGACAACGGCGATGGCGCGCCGTTGTCGACAGCGCACTAACGCACTGCTAAGCTCACTGCTTGCCAAGAGACCTTGCTGCTTGCATACAGTCAATAGGTTCAGACCGCAACGTGATCTAAGGCGATAGGAATTCCTGAAATCGAGCAAAAAGCCAGCTGGCCCTGCATACAGCACCTCGCCGGCTTCCACGCGATTCTACCACCCACAAGCTACGTATACCGAGCTCGAACCGCAGCAGTGCGCGCTGTAAGCATGCAAAGAGCCGTTTAAGTGTTTGGTTTCCCAGCGACGGAGAAACCCAATAAAGTTGGGTGCGCCAAGCCATATCACACTATTTACCGCACGTCGATCCGACGTGTCGCTCTGCCACTTTGTCATCGTTGTACGTGAGATGGCACCGTCGCCGCGTCGCCCGACCCCGCCCGCAGACTCGCCAGGTACGCCCGGCTTTGGCGCCGACGACGACGTCTTTGAGCTCGACGACGCCAGCGGCCACGTCTTCATTGCGCCGACCGGCGACCTCCATGGCAACCGCCACCTCGTCGCCGACGCGACACCGCCGTACTTTATGAGCTCGGTCGCACACGCGAGCGTCACGTCGGAAGACGACGACCACGAGAAAGACGAGCCGTCGCCTGTCGTCGCGGCCGCGCCCCGTGCGAGCCGGTACCACTCGGCGATCTCGGGCCTCAAGTCGCTCTCGTCTGCACCGTCCAACCTCCTCGGTAAAGGCAAGTACGCCAAAGCGCAGCTGCTCTCCAAGATCCCGTACAAGAAGGCCAAGACGCGCGTTTCGAACCTGCCACCGCCGACGCTCTGCTCCGAGTGCCCGCCCAAGGCGCCGTCCAAGCTCAGTCTCTACCGGCAAAAGTCGGCGCCGCCGCCCATGTGGACGTGCGTGGCCTGTCCGCACGTGCATCTGTGCGAGTCGTGCTATCGGTCAGGCGTTCACGGTCTCGAAGGCTCGGACGCGATGGAGACGTACGACGAGCTCATTTCGGATCTCAAGTGGATGAAGGCCTGCAAGGCGTTTACGAAGCCGCTTCTTCGCATGCTGCGGCAGGACATTTGCAACCACTCGCCGTCCAAGTACCAATTCATGTGCGCCTGGCTCGCCGACATCCTCGGGACCAAGCCCGTCGCGAAGATCACGATGCGCGGCGTGGCCATGAAGGACCTCCGCGCCGACGCGCGCCAAGCGTTTGTCGCGGCGCTCATGCCGCTCGTAGCGAATCGAAGCGACTTGGATGTCAACATTGAGTGGGCGCCGAGTGCCGACGACAACCAACTGGAGAATCTCCGGCTATGGATCTCGGACAAGAAAGGCCGGCGCGAAAGTCCGTTCGACACGTCACTTTTGACGACCGAGCTCCACGACCACGATGCTGCCTCGTGACAAGAGACCGTGAAATGTACTATTGTGTCATATGCTATCTACTACACCGAGTCTTTGGCTTGTCTACAGAAAGCATGAGCAACGAACGCATTATTGGTGCCAATGAATTGGCGTAGTACATCGTGTCCGCCGCGTCCTGGAGCTCCCGACGCAGTGCACGGGCGTAGAGGAGGGCACCGCCGCACGCGACGACCATCCCGATGGCATTCCCAGGTGCGAGGGATACGCCAAAGTAGGCCACGGAGAAGAGAATGGTTAGCACGCGCCGAGAGGCATTGACGACCGCGTGGGTCGTCATATCGGTCGCAACAAGCACACTGTACGACGCCTACGAATCCATGTCAGTGGGCAGCATTCCTTGCATCTACGGACGCGATGATAGGTATAAAAGCCCACGCCATTGACAAGACCGACAAGAACGTGCTGGGGTTGCAGTTGGATCCAGCGGACGCCGTTAATTGCCCACGAGACAGTCGCGCCGAGCCACTAGTCGTAGTCGATTGGCACAAGTGCATATCGACATACCGCTCAAGGACCTGGAAAAGCATACCATACAAGAGCGTAGCCGCAAAGATGTGTTCGAGCGGCAGAGCGCGCTGCAGTTGCTTGACGAGAAGCGACCGAACGGGGAAGACGATGTTGGCGACCATGACCATGGCCAAGCCCAGAATGCGAAAGGACGCGTTGTGGTACGCAGAGAGACCGACGCCTAGAACGATCGGGCCCAGCGCCACGAGGCGTCGCCTACGAGCAGTTGTACCCTGCGTTGCTGCTGTTGTGCGTGCACCTGCTCACGGGGGCATCGCGTCGCAGCCACGTCATGGCCACGGCCACCGTCACAAGAGGCTCCAACGCACGCAGCGTCTCGCTGATCGAAACGTGCATGAGCTCAAAGCCGCCGTTGAGACAAGAAACGCCGATCGCAAATGCCAAGGCGGCGAAGAGAAGGCTGGATTCTTGGGCGTCGCTGAGGACGGTCTCGGGCGACGGGCGTGGCGCGGCCCAGAGGGCGTGGCAGATGTAGGCCAGCGTCATCTGCAGTGCAGAGAGCGTATACGGGCAGTGGATCTCGGATAAGATCTGCTTGGACGTCACGCCGCAGAGCATGGACCCGACGAGCCAGGCGACGACGCTGCGGCGGACGGTTGTCTCCATCTCGGATCCTATGTGCGATGCCATTGGTCGCGACGGTGGTCCTTTGCACCAATCCAAAAGCAGCATCTCCATTTTCAACAAGCCCTTCATTGGCTGAAAAGCCCATTCTACCGCGATGGGATTGGTCAATGTATACCATTAAATTCTTTTTAGCCAATGAGATAAAACGGAGAATCGTATTGCGTCATCGGCCCAATCCATTTGGACGGACGAGCAAGCAGCATGTCGTTGGCGTTCCTGGCAAAGAAGAGCTGGCATACGTCCAACCTCAAGGTAGACGCATCCTCCATGCCTCATGGTCTCATGCATCGTGCTCCTAGAACGTCGAGAAGGTTTGGAAGGCCGAGCAGAAGCATGCGCAGGAAGAGAACAAGCTCCTCGAACTGCGCAAGAACCTCGAAGAGGAGCGCCAACTCAAGGAGCTCCGTGAGATGCAAGCCAAGATGTCGGGCGGCAAGGTGGATCAAACGCAGCGCGTCGACTGGATGTACGAGGGGCCGATGGCGGCGTCGCAGACCGAGCGAACGGCCGAAGACTACTTGCTCGGGAAGGAATACACGCCCGCGCCCGAAGAGAACCAGCTCAAGCAGCTCGCAGCGCAACCAGGCTCGCTGTACATGAGCGCCGCGCCATCGGCCGTGAACGACACGTTCTCGCGCCTCAACGAAGACCCAATGATGATGATCAAGCGCCAGCAAAAAGCCGCGCAGCTCGCAGTGCTCAAGAACCCGGCCAAGATGAAGCACCTCAAGGACAAGGTCGAGCAAGAGCTCTCGGAGCGCAAGGCTGCTAAGAAGGCCAAGAAGGAAGCCAAGAAGGCCAAGAAGGAAAAAAAGAGGGCCAAAGACTCCTCGCCGCCGCGCGCGGCGAGCCGCGAGAAAACGAGCAGCGGTCTCGCCCGCGAGCACCGCGCTGCGCAGCGCTCGATGAGCCCCATCCGGCATCGAAACGAACGCTCTCGAAGCCCTCGTCGCCGTAGTCCATCAAAGGATCGTCGTCGTTCGCACAAGCGCTCGTTGAGCCCACGGCGACGGAGCCCGTCGCTCGACCGGCGGCAAAGCCCCTCGAGAAGCAAGCGCCGCCGTTCGCGAAGCCCAAGTTTGCGGCGAAAGCGCAGCTCAAGCCCGCGGCGTCACCGACGCTCTCCGAGCCCGCGCCGACGCTCTCCCAGCCCGCGCCGTCGGTCACCGAGTCCGCGCCGCCATCATCGGTCGCCGAGCCCTCGCCGCGGTCGTCGCTCACCAAGTCCACGTCGCGGTCGTCGTTCGCCGAGCCCTCGCCGTCGGTCTCCTAGCCCGCCGTCGACCAAGGCCGCAGTGACGGAATCGCCGGCCAAGGAACCTACCAAGGCGCAGCCACCCCCGCGCAAGGGCTACGGTCTTATTGGCGGTGAAAACGCGGTACACATCTTGTACGATGAATTTCATTTCTTATACCTCCATTAGCGCAAGTGCAAGGACGTTGACACGGAGAGCTTGGGCCCGAGCCGCAAGCTACTCGAGCTCGCGCGCCAAAAGAAGGAACAAGAGGCAGCCGCACTCGACGAGCGACTGAAGCGCGCGCGCGTGATGACGCAAACCGATGCGTCGGACCGCGAAGCGCGTCTGCGGGAGATGGCCGAGGACGCCCAACGCCGCGAAGTCATCTTGGAAGAGCGGTTGCGCGCCAAAGAGGCGGCCAAGGCCAAAGAGGATGCGTTGCCGCAGGAATCGGCCCACGGCTCGAACCCGACGTTCCTCCAAGAGCTCAACCACGCGGCGTATATTGGCTCGAACGAAACGATGAGCGAACGCTTGAACCGCAACAAGCATTACATCCAGCGCAATGCCAACAGCAACAACTTTATGAAGTAAAAGAATCAAACGCTTCTTCCATCCAACAATGTTTTTCGACGTGCACGGGACGAGTCCACACCCCTTTCAAGGGTATACGCTTAACGTGTCCATCACTCATGTCACTCGTTGATCCGAGAGTGATGGATGCTCTAGACCACAATGCACCACCAGCTTGCACCACCCATCCATCGCACCACGAACAGCCCTTGCTATTGCGTCGGCGCGATGGGACGGACTGACGCGTAAATGTGCCGGTACCATACCGGCAGTCGACGACTCGGTTGTGTGTCGAGTCATCTTGACACAGAAACAAGTGGACGCGACGGGATCCACCGGGTGTCTTGACCACGATCTCATGTGCGACAGGGACTGTCGAGACGAAAAGGGCCGTCTCGTCGACGCGTGGGTGCGACGCGACGACTGTAAATGTGTAGCCATATACTACGACGCTATCCCATGGCAACCTTGGCACGAGTTGTTACCCACTCGCAGCACAGAACGCACAGAGAACGGAGATCATTAGTAGTCGTGATGTCTTATTAAAGCAGCTGCGCGAGTGCGACGAGACCAAGGAGCAGCATCGTAGCCGACGTGGTCGACGCTGCCGACGGCACCTTGCCCGACTTGCACATTTGGACGAGGTTTTGCATGTTGAGAAACGTCGCGGGCGTCACCTGCGCAAAGGCCGAGTCGGTCGTGCCAATGGCCTGGCACTCGACGGGAATGCCCGCGACAAAGGCCGAGAGCGACTGCACGCACTGCGCGTTGGCGCAGAAGCTGGCGGCGTTCCCAAGCGGGCACGACGCGAGCGGCGTCCAGTAGGTCTGGAACGCAGTCTGGCACGCAGTGTTTACGACGCTGGTGGTAGCAGGCGTCGTGGTGTTGGTCGAGTTGGCCGCAGACGCGCAAGCGACGAGCGCAACAAGCAGGAACATACGCAGCATGGAGGCCATGGTGGTGGAGCAGGGAAGCAGCAGAAATGGGATTTCTAGCCAGTCTCGCCGGCCGCGCGGATGTAATGCATCTGTCCAGACTCAATAGCCAATGGCATCGCCCGCATGCGAGGAAATTCCACCAATCGTAGACCACGTCGATCGCGTCGCCCGTGGCGTTTCTGACACCATAGTGCAGCGCCAGTAATTGCGCTAGGTTTTGCGACGCGTGATCTCATTGGCCAAAAAGATGTAGACGCTGCAACCCAGCATGAACCCAGGCACGTGCGCCCCGACCTCCTCGTCGCATTGCGACTGTAGTTGCTCGTGCCATGGCCACCTTGTGACTATGAGGTACACATCGTGTAGCCTGCAGCTTGCAGGTGCGAGATCTAGGCGCGAAATGGAACGAACGGTATCCTGAGCAAACACAGCCCCGTCGTGGTGCCACGTCAAGAGTGCACAAGTTCAGTTGGACATTCCGATCTGCAGTGCGATTTCCAGGCGACGCCTACACAAGCGCTTGAGTCTGTTGGAGCCAGAAAAGAGTGTTGGACGTCGTCGTGCTTGATGCACGTCGTTCGCATGGTGCCCAAGCGTTATCACACCAAGATTCTGATTCGCTGACGTGGCGGCGCTTGTCTAGCCCACTTGTAGTAGTTATACTGTTGACTGTGGTCCCATCCCTGGCGCGTCATGCGTATTCCTCCTGCGCGCACCGCCGTCCATGATTGTACTCAGTCGACGTTGGCTTCGAAATCCCACGTCCCCGCTCGAATGGCTTCCGCAAAATATCAAGCGCGCGTCCATTAAGAAAAAATCGAAGCACGCATGTCCGTCCCCCACAATCGCGTGTCGCTTCGCTCCACATGCGTATCACAATGCAGCGCCGTCGCGGTAGAGGCGCTTAGCCACCTCGCTTGTGCGAAGATTCGCTGTCAGATTCACTCTTCGCAGCGCGAATTCACAGGGCATTTCAACCTCGGTCGAGTGATCGCGGCGAGGCAAAAATAATATAAATTCTGGCAAGGATACTGCGTGATCGGATTCGCGGGGCGTCGCGAATTAAAATGGACGGACCTCGCTATATGAAAGGTATGGCGTGCCACCGCGTTGCACTTGGTTTCAATATTAAAATACACGACAAAAGCCCGTGCCACGCTCTGAATCTTCAACCCAATTATCCGGTTAAGGCAATATTTCAACCAATCACAGCTCGTTTCGTGACATCCAGCGCACCCAGTGTGCAGTGGGCTTCGCGCGGATCGTCCGGATAATGGTCGCATACAAACGCCAAGAGCCACTGAACCTTCACTCGGCGCAAAAAGCACCTTGGAATTTAATGGATTAGAAATCATTTCCGAATTTTCCGAGAAGCAAGTAAGTCCTGATTGCGCCCGACCCGCCCATGCGCCAGATCAGCCCGATGCAAGCACGACGAAGGGGACGCAACTGCCCACACGACCTCGTGAAGCTCGCCAAGAAGTACTCGCCCGTGCTCGTCAAGGGCTTTAGCACCGGCAACATTGCCGTCGTCGACAAGCGCAGCTGGCTTGAAGTCTGCGACCGCAAGCACCGGTACGGCGCCAACCTCCGCGCGTACTACAAGGAGTGGAAGCGCTACGAGGGCCCGAAGCCAGGCTTTTGGGAGTGGCTCGACGACGAGTCGGTTGAAGTCGACGGCGTCCCGCGTGCCAAGCTCGAGAGCGAAACCGTACTCTACTGCGACAAGGCCGAGCGCCAAAAGTTTGCGCTCACGTTCCGCGATGGCATGCTGTACACAGTCGCCGACGACGCGCCCGTCGAGACGGGCGACGATGGCTGGATCTTTGTGCTCCGCGACGGCGTCCTCTATGGCAGCGAGAAGGTGACGACGCAGGTGCCCCGCATCCACCACACAAGCTTGTCGGGCGGCGAGTGCGTCCAGACCGCGGGCATGATGGTCGTCTCGAACGGCACGCTCAACATTATTTATCCCCACAGCGGCCATTACCGGCCGTCCGAGAACGAAGTGCTCGTGCTGCTTCGCTTCCTCGAAGGCCATGGCATTGAACTTGAAGACGTGCTCGTCGACGTCCAGCGCATCCAAAAAGTCTCGCGCGAGCGCTCCAACAACGTCAAGGTCAAGAAGCTGGACAACGCCCATTTCTGGAACGGGCGGATGGCCCTCGACTTTTTGGAGCTCAAGGACTTTGTGTGGCACAGCGACTTGTTTGTCGACCTCGAGCGCTGCGTCGCACACATTGAGCTCCAGCGCCACCACCACCTCGCCGAGGCCGAGCAGCAGCGACTCATGAAGGCGCTCGCGCTGCCGCGGACGTCGTCGTCCGAGTGCGTTTGCGGCGACGACGACGTCGACATGCTCGACGACTGCGGCGACATGGACGCCCACCCGCTCGCGGGCTGCGCGCTTGACGTTGTCGACGGTCCCTTGTACTTTTAACTTACCGCCTCTCGTGGCCTCCTCATCGTTGTCGTCGTCACCGTCATCCTCCCACTCCACTTCACCATTATCACCACCATCCACGCGTAGCTACTAGTTTGTAGGCAGGACTTAACCTATTCCTAATCTATTAATTTGTATTATATAATCGTCGTCGCCACATCCCTACAGCGAGCGATGCATAAACGTCGTCGGGATGAGCCCAAGCAGTTTGATGTGGCCGAGACCACCGCCGAACAACTCGTCTATGGCGCGTGAGCTAGATGCTCGGTGCAATGACGCCGCCGCGAGGCGTCGATGCTGGTGCGCAGGTGGCTCATCCTTCACTGACTCGATCGACGATCCCACGACGATGTGGATGCGCGCGAGCGGCGCGTCTGTCCGAGAGCGCTCGGTGGAATCTCTGCATTCTTTCGAAGGCACGAGTGGACCCTAACCCGCTTGTTGACGTCATCAAAACGCCGTGCCCTTGTCACCAGATCCACGCCGGCGTGTCGGACGCATTTGCATCATCTGCCCGCTGCGATCCGAGTCGAATGGAGCGCGGTTCTCAGTTGTGTTGCCTTCGCTGCACGCTGCTTTCGTAGAGACCCATGGTACTAGTTCTAGCGATCACTTGGCCATCCCTCTCGGGCCCACGACTTGCTGGTCTCTGTCGCCACCTTGGTCCTCGAGTCTGCCTAGCCCATTGGACGCATCGCACGGAAGGGTGACGAATGGAGCATCATCAATAGGATCTGCGCACGGAGTGGTCAATATCGTCAATATCGCACTGTGCCACGAGAAACGTCGCGTTGCAAATCAGACACATTGGTCAGGCACCACGAGAAAACACCTCGATTGATCCATCCATTTGTTTGCTTTGCACCCTCGACGTGAAGCATGGGAATGCTATTAGTTGCTTGCACCAAGTGGGACAGGAGCGTGGGCCGGCGCGCATGGTGTGGCACGGACGAGAATCTCGCGGCAAGCCATTTTACACAATTTTATTGTAATGAAACCAGATCCGAGTCGTCGTTGGCTTGCGGCGGTGTTTCCAATAGCGTGACGATCGCGTCAAAGCCATCCCGCGATGCAATATCCAGCGGCGTGAGGTGGTCGAGATCGCGGACGTCCCGACTCGCGCCGTTCTCCAAGAGAAGCGCAACACAATTTGTGCGCTGCCACGAGACCGCGCAGTGCAGCGGACTGCGGCGAACCGAGCACAGATTCGGGTCCGCCCCTGCCTCCAAGAGACGGCGCACGACGTCGACATGGCCGTTGGCGGCTGCGTAGTACAACGCAGAACATCCATCGACGTCCTGCATGTTGACGTCGGTCACGAGGCGCGTCTCGAGCAGCACTTGGAGAAACACGTCGTGCCCTTCGACGGCAGCGTAATGGAACGGATGCCGCGCCATGACAACGTCAACCATGTCGTGTCGCAGCACCACGTTGTGGGATTGCAGCATCGCGACCATGCGCTTCGTCACCGTCGCGTCCGTGCCGGCGGCTTCGTGCCACACGGTGACGCCCATGGCATCGGTCGCCGCGGCGTCTGCACCCGCGCAAAGGAGGAGGTCTGCGACTTCGACGTGGCCTTCACCAATTGCAATGTGCAGCGGCGTGTGGCGTGTATGGGAGCTCGCGTGGACATTGGCGCCATGCGAAAGCAGTCGGCGCACGGCGTCGGCGCGGCCGTGCTTGGCGGCTTCGTACAGCGCGGTGAGCCCCGTCTCGCTTTGGTCGTTGATGTTGGCGCCGGCAGCGAGGAGAAGGTCTAGCACATCGAGGTGGCCACCGCGCGCCGCATACATGAGCGGCGTGCGCCCGCGGGTTGTGTGCGACGCGACGAGCGCGCCGTGGGCCAGCAGCACGGCGACGACGTCGGCATGGCCGTAGAGCGCAGCTTCATGCAATGGCGTACGCGCGTACAGCTTGCGCGCATCAGGGAATAGATACGCGTGGTGCGTCAAGAGGTAGTCGACGATCGCGCTCTGGTTGTGAGCTGACGCGAGGTGCAGGCCCGAGAGCTGTTCGTTGCCGGCCGCCGTGGCCTGCAGAAGACGCGTCTGCTGGTCGGTGGTGAAGCCATTCAAGTACGCGATGAGCTCGGTCAATGGACCGGCTTTGCAGAGGCCCAGAAGGCGCTTCTCATGACGAGCCTTCTCTTTCTTGCTCCATGCGCGCTCCATGTCGCCTCGTCCAGCAAACCGAATGTGGAGATTCGCCATTCGTCCGGATACCGTGCGACAAGGCTATATGCACGCCACCTAAGCGATCGAAGCGCATGCACTTCAAGCAGCAAGTTCAAGCCAAGGTCAAGCGGTCGTATCTACCCACCTGTAAATTCGTCGACTATAGATACAAGGGTGCCACTGCAACGCACTCAACTATGCACCAAGAACGCGCGGCCTGTTGAAGCCTCACGCGAAGCATCTAATTCGCGCCTGTTGGCGGCGTTTATGCGGGAGTGGTAACACACCCGACCAGATTCGATGCAGACGCGCTTTACCGCCGCCTCCTACGTGCCCAAGCATGATTTGGCCACTGGACAGAGCGAAGGAATCGGCGGCGTTGGTTGTCCGAGTCAGCACGCAGCGTGAGCAACGATGGATCGGTGTTGGCAATGCCATGATCGCACTCGCTGTGATCCGATTGGTCGACACCGATTGCAGTTGGTTGTGATTGGCCGCCGTCCCTTGTGCAGGGTACGCTCGTGCAGCCAGGTAGCTCGGTCATGCCAGCTCGAAATGTTTTGGCGTCGAATCAGGCGCCGCAAGATGCAGCTGCCACGTCATGCACCGTGCCGCCGCTGGACACACACGGCATTTGGTGCATGTCTACGTCGATGCCAAGTTGCGTGCGATTAACGTGCGCCACGCGCCGTGTTACGCGTTATCCGGATGTCTCGTGGACTTGCTCCGAAGCAGGTTCAGTTGAGAATTGGAACCAAAGCGCCCACGTCGCAGCGGCCGAGAGCAACAGCAACAACGACGACGACCACGCGACGCCTCCTCAGTAGCATGCTGGCGCCAGGTACATGGCCTCCACGCTCCTTGGACCGCGCAGCTCAATGCACCTCGTGTAGATTCGCCAGTCGCCTCCCTCGTGCGCGTACAACCACTGTGCCGGCGCGACCGGCACTCGACGACCGAGCTCGTCAAGAAGGCGCAGCAGTTCTCGCCCGTGCTTGCGCGCGGCTTCAGCACCGGCAACGTTGCCATTGTCGACAAGCGCAGCTGGCTCGAAGTCTGCGACCGCAAGCACCGGTACGGCGCCAACCTCCGCGCGTACTACAAGGAATGGAAGCACCGCGATGGCCCGAAGCCCGACTTTTGGGAGTGGCTCAGCGACGAGTCGGTCGAGGTCGAAGGCGTCCCGCGCGCCAAGCTCGAGAAGGAGACCGTGCTCTACTATGACAAGACGGAGCGTCAAAAGTACGCACTCGACATTCGGTATGGACTGCTGCATGCGTCCCGCACCCAAGCGTTGATTGACACAGGCGAGGAGGGCTGGATTTTCGTCCTTCGGGACGGCGTCCTCTATGGCTCTGCCAAGGTCACGAAGCAGACGCCACGCGTCCACCACACGAGCTTTGTGGGTGGCGAGTGCGTCCAGACCGCCGGCATCCTCGTCATTGCCCAGGGTGTGCTCACAACCATTTACCCGCACAGCGGCCACTACCGCCCGTCGGAAAGCGAAGTGCTCCTGCTGCTGCGATTCCTGCATGAGAAAGGCGTCCGCCTCGACGACGTCCGCGTCGACGTCCAGCGGTTCCAGAAGGTGTCGCGGGAGCGCGCGTCGGTCGCCAAGGTCAGCAAGATGGCGAATGCGCACTTTTGGCCTGCGCTCGACGTGCTCCAGTTTCTCGCGGCGAAGGAAAAGGCGTGGGCCGGCACGCTCTTTGATGACATTGAAATCGCGGCCAAGAACCGACCGGGCGCCGTGTGAGCCGCGCGGTCGACGACTATTTACACGCCACGAATCGATGACCTACTACCTATCTAATACTTTAGCTATACCTCGTTTGAAAGGACTTTATGTGAGTGATCTCGGTGCGATACGAGGCGTCGACTGTCGAGAAGCGTTGCCGCAAGGCCTGTAGGAGGTTCAAAATGTGGTCGAGTGCAAGTACAACGCACTGTGCTCGACCCCGTGGGTCGGGCAAGCGTGCGCCGACGACGACACCCTTGCTGGCGAACGAGGCTCGAACGCAAAATGCCTCGACCAGAGTGGTGACAGAAGATGCGAGCTTTCTCTCACGAGCCACGGCATAGGACTGCGCATCGATGCGTGAACAGGCAATCTTGAACCGTCCCGCCGGTTCATGGAGCGATCCCAGTTACATATGTGTGTGCAATGTGCATGTTGTGGCTCGTCATTGTCGTTACGTAGGTACCAAGGGCGTGCTACACAACCTTGCTACTTGTAGGATCAACAGGCTCGTGGACCGTCGGGGTCACGTCGTCGCACACGCGCTGTGAGAGATGTGGACCGATGCGAGCTACTTTATATCGCAGAGATTGCGTCGACCAACGCATCCATAACCCCAAGCAGCGAACCACCACTTTGGTCCGATCGAGTTTGTGGGTTTCCCGCCACGGCCGTGGACGTCGTTCTGACATGCGCGATTCGTACCACGAAGCGTAGGAACCCGTCACAAGAGCGCACAAGAACCACGTGGCGGCTCGCTGCTTCGTGTACGGTCGTCAAGAAACTGCATTGTGATCATGTAAATTGGCGCTAGCAGTCTCAACTACATTGCAACGTTATCCCTTGGTTTTAGCTGCGGAGGCCCTTCTTGACAGCACTGGCCCAGTCATTTCGCACAAACCACGCAATAAGGACCAAGAGCGGAAACAGCAGGACGTCCAACGCCCAGTTGGTGCGCGGCATCATGCCCGACGAGGCAGCGCCAAGAAGACGCACCAAGACGTCACCGCCGTACATGCTGTACGCGCCGTGCTGGAGATCCCGCAAGATCGACGCGGCCACGGCCTCCGGTGTATGCAGCGTGTCGTTGGCTTCAATGGCCTTGCACTCGGCGGGCTTGGTAAGCATTTCCGCAGCATACCCGGGCGTGTTCATCTGACCAGGGTACGCGATGTGCACCGAGACGCCGGAGCCCGCGAGCTCGTTATGGAGACACTCGGCGAGGCCGCGGACCGCGAACTTGCTCGGCGAGTAGGCGGCGTACCCCACGTAGGTGGCTAGCGCCGCGCCCGACGTGATGAAGACAATCGAGCCGCGCTGGCGCGCCCGCATCCCTGGCAAAACCGCATCGACGGTGTTGAGCGTCCCAAAGTAGTTGAGGTCCATCGCCGCCTTGTGCTCGTCGAGCGAGATTTCGTCGATTTTGGCCGTCACGGCCTTGCCCGCGACGGGTAACAGAATCTCGATCGGGCCAAACACGGTCTCAGCCTGGACGACCGCCGACTGCACCGACGCCGCGTCCCGCGTGTCGGACGATTGGTACGCGATGCGGCCGCGGCCCGGCGTTGCGCTCTTTTCTGCCTCGGCGACGACGGCCCGGAGCTTGTCGACGCTGCGCGCCACGATCGTGACGTTGGCGCCGGCGTCGACGAGCTGGAGCGCGAGTGCGCGGCCGAGGCCTTGGCTGCCGCCCGTGATCAAGACATGCTTGCCGGCGTACGACGGGTGGAGCTTGGCCGATGGCAGAAGCGCGAGCACCAGCGCTGCCAGCACGTAGAGCGCGAACGGCGCCGCGAAGACGAGGAAGAGGACCAGGAAGATGGTCGTGTCGGACATGGTGCAATTTCGGGCATGCGTTGTTATTTGGTTCTCGTATACCATACAAAAACGTAATGGGCCGACGTCCAGTCGTGGCACTCGGTGCGCTCTGCACGGGGTTGTCACGGCGGCTGGACACGAGCGCATCTTCGGAGCACTATAATCAAGAGGACATTCAAGGTTCCGGCGGAAGGGGCTGGTAGGCTGGTAGGAGTGCATTGCGGACTGCTTCCGTGTTTACATCGTCGGACTCATTGGCGCGCGCGGCGGCAAGGGCGCGTCGATTTTTCTCAAGGCCCGCCGCTTTGGCCGCTGCATCTTCGGGCGGATGTGTCAAGCTGACACTTGGACAGCGAGGCACAAAGTAGAGGACAGAAGCAACGAGGAAGAGGAGGAGCCAAACGGGCAAGCGGAAAGCGAGCCTGTGGTGACAATAGCCAATGAAGAGGGCTGGACAAAACCAGCCAAGCCCAAGAGCGACAAAGGTGTGTCATCTTCGTGTCGGCTGACGAGCTTCTGGAGGTGCTCTCTTGACAGGATGTACGGTGGGTCGCGTCGTTTCGGTTCAACGACCCTTCTGCGTTGCACAAAGCTTGCCTTTTTCTGCACTTGGCTGGGACATCGCTCCAGTGTTTAGCAACCAGTAGTACGAGAGATGCAGCTTGGTCATGACTCTTTGCCAAACTTTCTGCTATGCTCTTGGCCAAATAGTATGACAGAAAGCGCAGCGGCTTTCGTGGATCATTGCGGACAGCCCAGACCCAGACGCGTTGGATCGGCCGCATAATGGCAACGACGATCGCCTTCTAGACGAGCCCTACTAATGTCATTTAGAGCTTGGGCTCGGGGTCAAGAAGCGACAAGAGACGGCCCCGATATGGATGGATGGATTGGTGCGCGTTCGAATGGATCGGTTCAATTTGGCGCCAACCGTATCCGGTCCTCTTTGTGGGGCCGTCGAAGCGCGCGGTTTTGAAACCGGTCATCCCGTTTGAATTTTGACCAATCACAGCCGCCGATTCTGCCCAGCACCATATTTTCAATTTTGAATCCAAGGGCCGAGGAAGCGACGACCAAGATGGAGGTACACGACCTATCGATGGGCGCGCGACCGCGGAAGCGCTGCCGAGGAAGAGCCCATACTCATGCACATCTTCCTCCATGATGCGTAGAAGAAGCCCAAGGGAAAGGCAAAGGCGAAGAAGGCCGACTCGTCCGAGGACGACTACTCGGGCGCGTCGTCGGGGGACGAAGCTCCGGCCCGGGGCGGCCTCACGGTCGAGCAGATCTACCAGAAGAAGACACAGCTCGAGCACATCCTCTTGCGTCCGGACACGTATGGTACGTCCATCAGATGTAGGCACGGCAATGGCTCATGCAGGCTTGCAGTCGGGTCCATCGAGCCCGTGACGCAGAACATGTGGGTCTTTGACTCGGAAGAGAAGAAAATGGTCAACAAGAAGATCACGATCTGCCCGGGTCTCTACAAGATCTTTGACGAGATCATCGTGAACGCGTGCGACAACAAGCAGCGCGACAAGTCGATGGACGCGTTGAAGGTCACGTTCAACCAGGAGACGGGCGCGATCAGCGTCTGGAACAACGGCAAGGGGATCCCCGTCGTCATGCACAAGGAGCACAACGTCTACGTCCCGGAGCTCATCTTTGGCCACTTGCTCACGGGCAGCAACTTTGACGACAACAAGAAGAAGACGACGGGCGGCCGGAACGGGTACGGCGCCAAGCTCGCCAATATCTTCTCGACCGAGTTTGTGGTCGAGACAGCCAGCAAAGAGGACGGGAAGCGCTACCGCCAAGTGTTTCAGAACAACATGAGCATCAAGGGCGCGCCGACGATCACGTCGTGGTCCAAGAAGGACTTTACGTGCATTACGTTCACGCCCGACTTTGCGCGCTTCCAAATGACGGGCCTCGACGACGACATCATCTCACTCTTCAAGAAGCGCGTGTACGACATTGCGGGCGTCACGGACAAGAGCTTGAGCGTGCATTTGAACGAGGAGAAGATCGACGTCAAGACGTTCCCGCAGTATATTGGCATGTACGATCCGGTCGAAGTCGTCTTTGACAAAGCCGACGAGCGCTGGCAAGTGGGCGTCGGTGTCAGCGACGACGGTTTCCAGCAAGTGAGTTTTGTCAACGGCATTTGTACGACCAAGGGCGGCCAACACGTCAACTACATCGCCGACCAAATCGCTACGAAGCTCAGTGCCACGATCAAGAAGAAAAACAAGGGCGAGGCCGTCAAGCCTGCGCTCATCAAGAACAACATGTGCATCTACGTCAGCGCGCTCATCGACAACCCGGCATTCGACTCGCAGGTACATACGATTTCATACTCGACGACGAGATAGCCATCTCTTGGTAGACCAAAGAGACGCTGACAACGCGCGCGAATGCTTTTGGGTCGACATTTACGCTCAGCGACAAGTTTCTCAAGCAAGGTACGCATTGCCGTGTCCTATGAACACCACTTGATGGACCCTTGTCATGTAGTCGAGAAGACGTCGCTTGTCGAGCGCATTCTGCGTTTGCCAAGTACAAGCAGACGGCAGAGCTCCAGCGCGCGGCCGGCGGCAGCAAGAAGAAGCGCCTCACAGGCATCACGAAGCTCGACGATGCCAACTTTGCCGGCGGCGCCAAGGGCCCTTTGTGCACTTTGATCTTGACAGAAGGGGACTCGGCCAAGGCGCTCGCGATGAGTGGTCTCTCCGTGGTCGGCCGCGACTACTACGGCGTCTTCCCGCTCCGCGGTAAACTGCTTAACGTTCGCGAAGCCGCGCACTCGGTCATCAAGAAGAACGAGGAGGTCTCAAGCATCATCAAAATCTTGGGCCTCGACTACGACAAGCAGTACGAGTCGACCAAGAACCTCCGCTACGGCCGCCTCATGATCATGGCTGATCAAGATCACGATGGCAGCCACATTAAGGGGCTTGTGATCAACTTTATCCACAACTACTGGCCATCGCTTATGGGCATTGAAGACTTTGTGCAAGAGTTCATTACGCCCATCATCAAGGCGACCAAGGTACCTACACTTCTACGCATTGTCCATCGCTGAACAAGCGCATGTAGGGCAACCGCGTTGAGGCCTTTTACACGATGCCAGAGTACGAAAACTGGCGCGAGCGCACCAACAATGGTCGTGGCTGGGACATCAAGTACTATAAGGGTCTCGGAACGAGCACGGCCAAGGAGGCCAAGGAGTACTTCTCGGACCTGAACAAGCACCGGATTGCGTTCAAGTACGACGGCCCGGCGGACGACGATGCAATTGAAATGGCGTTCTCCAAGAAGCGCATTGAGGACCGCAAGGAGTGGTTGCGAGCCTTTGTGCCGGGGACGCACATCGACTACGACGTGCAAAACATGGGCTACGCCGAGTACGGTTGATATGCTGTATCGCGTCCTTCCTGACACCATTTTGTTTGACCTAGCTTCGTCAACAAGGAACTCATCCTGTTCTCGATGGCCGACAACATCCGGTCGATTCCGTCGGTGGTCGACGGCTTCAAGCCCTCGCAGCGCAAGATCCTCTTTTCGTGCTTTAAGCGCAACCTCAAGGTGCAATTTGTGTCCCTTACCAAGAGTACAAATGCAGAGGTTCCGAGTAGAAAGAAATCAAGGTCGCGCAGTTGGCCGGGTACGTCTCGGAGCATTCGGCGTACCACCACGGCGAAGCGAGCTTGCACGGCACGATCATCAATATGGCCCAAGACTTTGTCGGGAGCAACAACCTCCACTTGCTCTCGCCGAACGGTCAGTTTGGTACGCGCCTGAAGGGCGGCAAGGACGCAGCCAGTGCTCGTTACGTCTTTACTAAGTTGGAGACGCTCACGCGCTTGGTTTTCCACCCGCTCGACGACAGCGTGCTCAACTACTTGGAAGAAGAAGGCCTCTCGATCGAGCCCGAGTGGTACATGCCGATTATCCCCATGGCGCTCGTCAACGGCAGTGACGGTATCGGGACGGGCTGGTCGTGCAGCATCCCCAACTACAACCCCGCCGACATCATTGCCAACATCCGTCGCCGCCTACAAGCCGAGCCGATGGAGCCGATGCAGCCGTGGTACCGCGGTTTCACGGGGCCCATCGTTCAGAAGGGCACGAGTGACAACTTTTTGGTCCAAGGTCGCTACGAGGTCGTGAACGAGTCGACGCTCGTCATTAGCGAGCTGCCCGTCAAGACGTGGACGCAGTCCTACAAGAAGAATCTAGAGAAGCAGCTTGAGGCCAGCAAGATCAAGGACTTTAAGGAGAACCACACCGACACGACGGTGCTCTTTACAATCACGATGGAGCCCGCCGCTCTGGCTGCGCTTCAGCAAGACCCGAACGGCATTCTTAAGGAGTTCAAGCTCGAGACGTCAATCGCCACATCAAACATGCACATGTTTGACGCGGCGGGCCAAATTAAGCACTACAAGTCGCCGCTCGAGATCATCGAGGAGTTTTACATGCTCCGCATCGACTTTTACGGTCGCCGCAAGGTCGCAATCCTCAAGAAGCTCGACGTCGAGATCATGGCCCTCTCCAACAAAGTCCGCTTCATCACGGCCGTCATTGATGGCAGCCTCATCGTCAACAACCGCAAGAAGAAGGAGCTTCTCGAGGAGCTCCGTCACTTGAAGTACGACCCGATGCCTAAGAAGAAGGCCATTAAGGCAGCGGGAAACCCCGACCAAGACGACGACGAGGAGGAAGATGACGCTGGTCAAGGGGATGTCTCGGCGGGGTACGATTCCGATTGTGGTGCTTTCGATTATGACGCATGTGTGTATGTAGCGACTATGATTACTTGCTCTCAATGGCGCTTTGGAGCTTGACCGCGGAGCGTGTTGAGAACCTGCGCAACGACCTCTACTCCAAGGAAGCCGAACGCAACACGATCTTTGCGACGCCACTCGAGTCCATGTGGCTTGCGGATCTAGACGCGCTCGAAGCTGGCCTTGCGGGTCACGAGACGGCTCGCCTCGCTCAAGAAGCGGCTGCGCTCAAGCAAGCCAAGAAGGGCGGGGCCACGGTCAAGCGCGCACCGGCAAAGAAGGCGAAGCGCAAGGCCGACGATTCGGACGCCGACGATTCGGGGTCGGACTTTGAAGTGAAGGTGGCCAAGGCAAAGGCGCCACCAAAAAAGAAGGCGGCCACTGCCGCCGGCGACAAGCCCGTCGCCAAGGCGGACAAGCCGGTGAAACCCAAGGCCGAGCCCAAGCCCAAGGCGCCGCCCAAGACCAAAGCGGAACCAAAAGCCAAAGCGGAGTCGAAAGCCAAAGCCATGACGCAGACCACACTTGCCGGCTTTGGCGTGACAGACTCCAAGCCGGTGAAGGAGGAAAAACCGGTCAAGGCCAAGGCAGTCAAGCCGGCGGCGCCCAAGGCCAAGTTGCTGGACAAGAAGCGGAAGAAGGAAGAGTCCAGCGACGATGACGGTGAAGTGCTTTCGCTCTTTGAGCGTCTGCAGCGGCGAAAGGATGCCGAAGCTGCGAAGGCTGCTGCGCCGGCATCAACGACGGCTACGGCGGCGAGTGACGACGACAGCGACGACGATGTAGCCATCGTTGCCAAGCCTGCGGCAACAAAGCCGAAAGCTGCTGCCAAGCCCCGAGGTTCTTTAATTCGTGTCGTATCATCCCATACTCACTTTGACATGATGTAGCTCCTGCGGCCAAGAAGGCAGCCGCGCCTAAGGCCAAGGCAGCCAAACCGGCGGCTAAAAAGTCAAAGAGTGTGCTCGACGACTCGAGCGACGAAGACGGTGACAGCGAAGATGATGTCGAGATGACACCCGTTGCCCCCCGCGCGCGACCGGGCCGCGCCGCGGTCAAGCCCGTCGTCTACAACGTGTCGTCGGCCGAGGACAATGACAACGACGACGATGACGCCGCGAGCGACTTTGACATGGCCGGCGATGACTCGGACTAACTGCATACCTCCATGTGATGCATTTGCTACCTACCTGTCTTGTTGTACTTTGTCGTGGCCGTAGGTAGTCGTACGCATAGATTCATTAGTCGATTTAGATAGTGTATCGTCTAGTAGACGCGCTTGTACTTTTCTTTCCGCTCGGCGCGCTTGACCTGCATCGTGGAGCGCGTCTTGACCTTGCCCGAGTAGTTTTCGCTCTTCTCCTTTTCTTTTTCATTGCGTTGGCGGGCTCGGCGCGACTGGTTGCGGCCCTTGGCCTTGCCACCGGCGACGGCCTTGGGCGTAAAGTACTCGTCGTTCTCGGTCGCAAACGCGCCGACGGCCTGCGACAGCGCCGACTCGATGACCGGTGCGTTCTTCTTTTGTTCCTTGGCCAAAGCGGCTTGGCGCAAATGCATCTCTTCCTGTGCCTTCTCATGCTTGCGCTGCGCGAGGAGGTCCCGCGCCGACGATTTGAGGACGACGTCGCCGTTGGCGTCCGTCTGCAGCTGGAGGTCGAGCGACGTGAACGCGGACAGAATCGTCTTGCGCTCCGAGATGACGCTGTCGCCCGGCGAGCTCGCGGGCGCCAGCGCCCCGGACGCGGCCAAGAACGCGCTCAAGCTGGACATCGACATGCTGCTCACAAGTGCAAACTCAAAATGCGTTCTTCCACTTGTTAGAACGGACGCTGATTGGTGGACAGGTCGAGTCAATGGCCAATCAAAACAGCGGATGCGGGTGCCATTGACTAACCGGACCGATTTGATGCCCGACAGCGACGGCGACGACACCTATGCAGCATATCCGAGCTCCGTAGTCGAGGACATGCCTGGACCCAACTAATGCGAGGGCGCATGTATAGATGCCCCTTCATGGAAGGCACAACCAGGTCGCGTGGAAGGGCCCACGCAAGATTGAGACAGATTCGATAATGTACTAGTCGATGAATCGACTACCGACAAGGTTTAGTCGGTTTTGGTGTCGAAAAGCAGCAGCAGCATGGATCGCGAAGTGACGCCGCAAAAGACGCGCCGAGGCAACGCTGGCGGCCGGGCCAAGGCCAAAGGCGGCGGCCGTGGCTCGGCGCCAACCCCGCGCCCCGCGCCGATGCCAACGCCAACGATCTTGCGGGCCGCACCGCCCCCGGCCGTCGCGACGCTCTTCAACCCAGACCAGCCACGCCAGCAAGTGCATCCGCAAGGCCACCAGAAGCTGTATGAGCCCAACTCGTCGCCGTTCTCGCCGCCAGGACCGCTCTCGCAGCCGGCGCAACGTCCTGGTGTCAGGGCGAAAGCCGACCCCGTGCCACAAATCCATACGGCCAAGACGGTGCTCGCCGCCGAGCAGCAAAACGCGCCAGTCAGCAGCCGCGGCTGGAAGCTAGTCAACGCGCAGCTTCAGGTACACGCATATGCGCCTCCATCGTCGATCTTACGACGACGAACATAGTTTTGTGCAGACCTAGCACAACCTGCGAGCTGGGCCGAGCTCACGCAGTACCAGGTCGTGGGCTGCATTGGGCTGGAGGGCGTCGGCAAGTCGACACTTCTCTCGATGCTGGCAAACCAAAGCCCGTCGACGACGAACGCGTGGTTTCCGATCCAGACCCTGGGTCGTTCCTTCGGTTGTACCTCGCGCAGCACACTCATGTATGGCAGTAGACTGCAAACTTAACGGCAAACACCAAACCAGTGGCATCGACATGTGCATCACGGACGACAATGTGGTGCTCCTCGACTGCCAGCCCTTCTTGAGCAGCTCCGTACGGACGACAAAGTTTCCATCACAAATGGCGACCATCCCTTGGTAGATGCTCCACGAGATGATTCAGAAGCACGAATCGCCCAAGTTCAACGCACTCCCGCTCGAGTACAGCCGTCGTCGCACCCGATATACATACTTGTCTAACCGCCATGTAGCCAGCAGCTCGAAGTCGCTGCACTTCAACTGCTCGTCTTCCTCTTCTCCGTCTGTCACCACGTCCTCGTCGTCTCGGACACGCCGAGGGACCACGGTGCATTATCTTCCGTTTGGACGCAACTGGAACTGTGTCTCTTTTTCTAGACCTCGCAGAGCTCTTGCAATGCGGCGAAGTCCTCAAGCAGCGCGTGCCGAGTATTTCAGGCGAGCTCACCGAGCACTGCGCACAGGCCATTTTCGTTCAGACCAAGACACCACTTCGATATGCCGACTCGGCGCTGGCATGGCTGCAGACAACGCACGGTGCATCTCTCTTTGCGTCCAGCACACCGTCCTTACCCGTCTTTGCCCTCCCTCGTCTCGACGTACGCATCGCCATCGATACCAACATCAAACCGCCGACTCATGTGGCTACCTGTAGGCACCAAGCTTTCCCGGTACGACTACTAGATCTGATAGCTCCTTGGACGTCCGTGGATGACCACGGTGGATGTAGCGGCGTGGGATGCCTTCGCAACGTTCATGCAGCACCTCCCCAAGACGTCACTGACGCAGAAGAAAGGCCACACGCTTCTCTCGTTGAAAGAGTGGGTGCAAAACGCGGCGCGCATTTACGAGAGTTTGCGCAAGTCGAGCTCGATGGGCGACTACAGCCGTTTGCTTCAAAAAGCATCGTCGTCGGCCTCAGGCAAGTGAACTGCAGTGGCAACGGCGCTCGGGCTTCATGCGACTGATGTCGCCCTTGGATGCGCGCAGCTTTTCATGGATCAGCTGCGCGAGCTCGGTCTTGAGCCGGTGGATCTCGCGGACGTGCACCACCGCCTCTAGGCACTCGGTAATAGCACGACACAACGTTATGAAGGTGTTTTGAACGCACCATACGGGACGGCGTGCTTGACCCGCCGCCGAAGCGCCGATGTTTCTTGCGTCATGGCGTCGCGCAGCTGTGCGAGCTTGGCGGCGCAGGCTTTGTGCCACGCGGCATTGATCGCCTTGGCCATCCTTGCTAGCGCCCGCGTGAGTTCAAGTCGTGTGGGGGGAGGTACCGAATGCGTGTGGCGGCACGGATGGTGCGTACTCGGCGCGAAAGGTCGAGAGGATTGAGAGCACTTTGGTGGGTACCCACTGCTTTTCCTCGGTGGCCACGTGAATCGGGGGCGATTCGGGGGATCGCGGGTAGACCTCGCTGAGCTCGTGGACGAGCCGTCCCCACGCAAGGATGTCGTCTTTCTGGGGGGCGCCGCTGCTGGGGGCCACCCCCGGGGGGCCAAAGCTGTCGGGGGCGACAAACGAAGCGTTCTCGAGCGACGTGTAAAACTATTCGCATGTTGATGATGGATGCGTCGAGGCATCGTGTACCTTGAAGTGACCAAACTCTTTGGTATCGATGAGAAGGGCCACGAGGCGCTGGTTGTCGCACACGAGCTGGCCCATCGCCGCGGTCGACGGCGCCTGCACTTGGGCCTCGCGCACCTGCAGTCGGAGCGCAGCGACACTCGTGTCGAGGCGCTCACAGTGCGCTTGCAAGTCCATGTACAGCGTCTCGTAATGGAGCGCAGTTTCGTCTTTGGCGCGCAGCTCCGCGTCGCGCACTTGAAGTTCGCGCTTCTACGCTCGCATCAAACATGCATCACGCGTACACACTGCACCAGCTCGAGCACGAATGTCTCCATTTCACGCTCGGACCACGCTTCGCGTCGTGTCGGCGGCTCAGCCTTGCGACGTGTGAGTCAACCTAGAATGCTACTAGTACGTATGTGCCTACCACCACGGTTTTCAGAGCAGTCGCTTTGGCGTGGCATCCCGCGAGCTCTTGATTCGCGGCGTCCAGACGCTCTGCGAGTTGCGCTTCTCGGGCCTGGCTTGCCTGCAAGAGAAGACGCACGTGGTGGAGTTCGTCACGGAGCGCCGTGGCGTGGAGATGATTTTGTTTGAGCAAACGCATCTCTGCACCAAGCCGGTAGTACTTTTCCTGGACGTCCGAGAGCTCCGAAAGCGTCTGCAGGTGCTCACTCGTCGCGTCGAGGTCTCGCACGCGCGTCACGTCCAAATCGTCGAGACGCAGTGAGCGCTGCATGTCGCGATGATTTGCTTTCACTGTGCAATCGTTTTAAAACTGTCGGTGTACGAGTAGGCCTTCGGGGTCGCACGTACGTTGGTGTTGAACTGCATGTTGTTCATGACACATTGCCAAGTGGTTCAATGACTCACACATTGTGTATTGGTGCTCGAATCACTCTGATGACGGACTCTGCAGTATCGCTACGATACGGTCGGCGGCAATCTGCCCCGAGCTCCAGCAGTTGGTAAAGTTGAAGCCACCGGTGACACCATCCACGTTCAGACACTCGCCGGCGAAGAAGAGACCTGGCATCGTTTTCGCCTCGAGGTCTTTTGTCAGCTGCCGTAGCTCGACGCCGCCGGCCGTCACAAACTCGTCCTTGAACGTCGTCTTGCCGGTTGTCACCATCGTGCACGCCGCGACGTTGGACGCAATCGTCGCCGTCATCTCCTTCGAGACGTTGGCCCACGTCACATCGGCCTCGAGCGCCAAGCGGGCCCAGAGCCGCTGTGCCAATAGCGGTTTGTTGGTGTCATCCACAAACGGACATGTAGACGCGACCTTGCGCGTTGGATGCCGCGTCCGCTGGTCGGCCAAGAAGAGACGCGCTTCGTGCGGCGAGAAGCGCCCGCCGGTCCAGTCGACGCAGAACGGTAGCTTGTAGTCGGCTGCGTGCATCGCCAGCGCTGCAAAGGCGCTCTGGCGCAAGATCGCGGGCCCGCTCAAGCCAAAGTGAGTGATGAGAGTCGGGCCGTAGACAGGCGGTAGCTTCTTGAGAGTCGGGAGCGAGATCATGGTTTCATCAACTGAAATGCCTGCGAGATCGCGGATGCGTGGATCGTTGGTCTTGAAGGTAAAGAGGGATGGGACGGGCGGCGCAACCGCGAGCTGCAATGGCGGCGCCTGGAGGAGGTCCCAGAACGGCACCGAGGACCCCGTCGCAATGACAACGCAGCGGGCGTGGAGGTCGAGGATGGTGTCGTCGGCCTTGGCCCGGGCTGCGATCGCAAAGGTTGCGTCATCACAATTATGATTGCGTGAAAGCGAGATGACTTTGGTGCGCCGGTGGATCTCAACGCCGGCGGCCGCATCCAACAAGACGTTGACGATCGTCGCGCTCGAGTCGGTGGTCGGGAAGACTCGCCCGTCGGCCTCGGTCTTGAGCGCGACACCGTGCTTCTCGAACCATTGATGCGACTCTTCAATGCCAAAGCGACTGAGGTTGCCAAGGAGATGCTTCCCGCCCCGCGGGTACTGCGCGGCGACCTCGCGCAGGTGGGCAAACTTGTGCCGGGCGTGCGTGACGTTGCAGCGGCCACCGCCCGAGAGACGCACCTTCTTGAGCAGCTCCTTCTGCGCTTCCAAGAGAACGACGCGCGCCGATGGCAGCTGCTTGGTGATCGCTTGCGCGCAAAAGACGCCGGCGGGACCGCCACCGACAACGACCACGTCGACGACCTTGACCATCGAAATTGCACTCTGCCACCATGCGGCGATGCCATTGGCTAGAAAGAACCAATCACATGGCCTCCTTTGACCGGGACACCAACACGGCCAGATCCTTGTTGTCTTGTTTGCCGATGTTTCAACTTCGTGTACAGTAGTAGCCACGTCCCAACTCAATACAGTAAATGGCAGCTCAATTGTCCCCACCTCGTTCCATGTTGAGCGCTGCCTCGTGCCACGCAGACTGTCCCTTTATTATCCCGTTGAGCGTCTCGTCGCGAAGCGGGCTGTTGCCTCGAGGGCAGCCACAACAGCCGCATTGACGACTGGTATCGCAGGCTGGTCGACAACGCAGTCTATTCTGCGCTCGCGCCTTCAGACACACAGACAGGCGCCATAGTCATCGCCGCCCGGGTGTCGCCGTCTCGATCCTCCCGGATGTCAAAAAGTCTTGAAAATGACAATATTCTCCATCAAGTCGAGCAGCACAGTGCGGTGACATCGACCATGGATGGTGGTGGCATGTATTGACGTCATGTTGGTTTAAGTTTCGTCCGAGACAGCGCTAGCAAGTGCGTCCAAGCAAGGGAAAGCAGACGTGAAGCCCAAGAACCTCGCATAATAAATACTATGTATTTGGTATCGAGGGTATCAAATGTCAGAGACTCGATGTTGTCGGCAGATTTTGCAATCCAAAGTCTTCGTCAATTCCTATCATCGGCCTCGACGATGCTACGCTCGACGTGGTAGACAGCCTGCCCCGCTTCTGCCATGACCTCATGCATGCTGCGTAGCAAGGCGATCTCGACGCGTGTGCTGGCGCGCGCGCCGACGTCCTACCTCCGAAGGTATATCTTCCGCGATCGGCGACGATGCCCATGCGAGTGCGTAGCTCCATGGCGGCTGCGGCGCTCTTGACGGCGGGTACCGCCATGACGGCGCTTAGCGAAGAGGCGCCGGCCGAAGCGCCCAAGAAGAAGTCCAAGACGCGCTGGCACACGCGCCAGAAGTACGAGGACGGCGACAAGCAAGCGCAGCTCATGAACGAGAGCTTGACGCGCTACAAGCAGGACCTCGCGGCCTTTGACAGCATCGAGACGCGCTTTGACGTTTTCGCCAAGGCCGTCAACAAGGACAAGAAGGACGGCTGGCAAAAGGTCATGACCTTTACCGGTACACATCCCTCATTGACTGCTCTTGGCCCAGCAGCGACGAGCCCATGATGACCTGTAGACTTCGTGCACTCGTTGGTGCTGCCACGCTTCCGCACGGCCGAGCCGGTCTCTTGAAATAGCCACTCTGCGTCTCATGCATCGCTCTCTCTATAGCCGTCGACGGCCTCGTACACATGCGAGTTTACGGGCGATGTGAACGGACTCATTTCGTACGAGGAGTGCCATCTCCTCGTGCATTTGCTCCAGAGTATGTCGATGTCCATGCCATGCATCCATATATCGCCTTTGCGCTAGTCCCCGTTGAACACTTTGATGTGGCCTTTCACATGTTTGACCTCGATGGCAACGGTACGCCATGGAATTGGCTGGTCCATATCTTGATTTGCTCGCATCTTGCGTAGGGACGGTCGACAAGGCCGAGTTTCTCGAAGTGCTCTCGAGTGTCCTCAACAACATCAAGGACACGCGCACGGATCCGTCCAAGCCCACGGAAGTCCACGGTAGTCGACACTCTATATGTCCAAGGAGGCTCATCGACGGACTCGTGCTCTAGTCGAAGCGTCGTTTCGGCTGCTGCAGCACTTTTTCGGCAAGCATGGCAAGAAGAAGATCACGGCCAAAGAGTTCATTGCGGTCATTACGTCGCTCAAGGAACACCTCTTGCGCGCCGAGTTTGACTTGTATGCGGCCGAGCGCAACGGCGTCAAGTCGATCTCGGTCCACGACTTTGCCGTCACGCTCATCTCGTGCCTGGACCCAAAGCACCTCCCGAGCCTCCTCCCGCGCCTCCAGCTCTTGGCCGCGAGCGATGTAGTCTATCAACTTGATACTTTTACCATCCGGTTGATACATGTGTAGGAGCGCGTGAGCTGGCACGAGTTCGTGCTCTTTCACAGCGTGATCCAGAACCACCTCGAAGGCATCAAGCTCGCGTTTGAGCTGCGTCCGGAAGATGAAGTCAACGAAGGTAGCGTCGTGGATATGACGGCGGCGCGTCATGGCACACAAACATGCGGTAGAGGACTTCATCAAGGCCGCGTACATTGTGAGCGGCGTGCGCTTGCCCGAGCACATCATGGCCATGGTCTTCCGCATCTTTGACGCCAACGGCAATGGCACGCTCGACGAAGACGAGCTCCTCAAGGTATGTACAGCATCGTCGCCACGTCCTCATCCACATGTGCGCATGCTAGATCCTCGCGACGCGCAACCAAGCGGCGCTGCACAAGACGGCGCCGCTCTCGCGCCCGGCCAAGTTTTGGGCCTGCCTCCACGACGCCTAAGCAGCCTCTCGATGCTAGCCTTGCTATTACGAACCAGTGTGTGGTCAGCGCGTGATAGTGGCAGAGCTAATCCCTACGTTCGCCAGCGTACACTTGCTTGGAGGGCTCGGAGTGGTTGCATGCATGCAGCGCCATGAGTGCGCACGCGGTGTCTTCATCGGTGTTGTCTGGCCAGACCAAGGAGCCAGACCAAGGAGCTTATTGGCCCTTGCTTATTGCCAGTCGCCTGTGGTAATATGCTATGGCACGTCGATCTTCCCGCAGTGGTGTTTATCCGGATGATACCACCTGGTTTGGATCTGCAGGTAGCATTTCCGCAAAGATATCATCGGTCATCATGCAACGCGGCTTCTTTGAGGAGCTGCGGAAGCTGCGCGCGCTGGACCTTAGCAACCACTGCGTTACGGTCGACGTCGTCAAGAGCCTCGTGCGAGCGCTGCAGCATCAGACGCTACTCTGCCGGCCGCGGCGCGCCGACGCCATCGATGTCGGGCTCTTCCTGCGCCAGTTTGTGGTACACTCTAATGCGTCTTCTGTTCCACCGCATGCAACGTTCGATGCGTGTAGCCGGTCCTCCTCCGCCTCCTCTCGACGCGAAGGCAAGTGCAGACTGTAGTGCTGACGTGGGTTGTGAGCCTCAACCACATCTTTGGCAAGCAACACCTGCGCGACGTCTCGACGGCCCTCGTCGCTGGCATGCTCGCACAGCCGCGTCCGATCCGCCGGTCGTTCGTCATGAAGACGCTCATCCACTCAACGCGCTTTGACTGCAGCGTCTTTGCCATCGCGATCGAGGCCACGTCGTCGGCCACGAGTGTAGAATGTACGTGACGCGCCCTCCATTTCGCGAGGATCCCACGACTTGCTGTAGTGCGCGCCGAGTGCCATAGCTACGTCACACAGATCCTCGAGCACTGGCCTCTTGAGGACAAGGCGCTTGCGATCGAGACGGACGATCAAGACCGCCACGCGCTCGACACGGCGCTGCTGCAGCGCCTCCTTCGGGCACTGTCGTGCTAGCCATTTGGATAGTCGTCGCGGCCAACAATCCATTTAACTTATCGAGATGGCGGGCGTTGCAGGATCGCAATGACGTCCAAGATCGTCGCCACGAACGCGTCCGAGTTGAAGAGGAGGCCGCTCACATGGCCCGCCGTGACGTGGCGAAACGTGGCGGCAGGCCAGCGCTCTCGGAGGAGTTGCCACTGGTCGTCGTTGCGGCCAATGTACTGGTCTTCGGTGGCTTGCGAAAACACGACGGCATCTTCCCGGCGCGGTGCGGGAAAGTTCTCAATGTTGGTCAGCGCCAAGAAGGCGCTCAATCGTTGCTTGACGTGGGCGACTTCGTCCTACATGCAAAAGATTCCATCCGACTTGTACGAGCTAGTAGCAGCGTAGTACCGAGTAGGCAGTCGCGTAGTCGGAGACGTGGCCCGAGAGCAAGTGGTCGATCATCGCGAGCTCTTTCTGCTGCGAGAGCGACTGCCAATTGCAAGAGAGCGCGAGGAGGCCGCGCGTAAAGGCCGGGATCGCGGATGGTGGTGCGACCCATGACGCGGCGCCCACGTCGCCAGGGTACAAGGCTGCGGTCATGGCTGCGTGCAGGCCGCCCATGCTGCCGCCTACCATGTACATATAGTTTCGCGTACGTAGAATCCATGCAAGAGGAATAGGTTCACTACCGGCAACAACGAGCTGCTCAAAGTGGAACTGCGATTGAAAATGCTTCAAGAGCGACTTGGCTTCCTCGATCGTCGTCAGGCCCAGGATCGGGAGGTCGCTTACACTAGCAGCTCCACAACGTCAACACGAGAGATGGAGAGAGAGAGTATCGTACTGCCGCAATTTGGAGCCTTTTTGATTCGACGGCCGGCGCCGGCCGTAAAAAGCGCCTTCCAAAACGAGCGTCGCGACGCCGGCGCGGGCAAGCGGCTCGGCGACGCTGAGCCGTCGATGCGTGCAGCCGTGCTCCCCCGTGCCTGGCAGTAGCACCACAAGCGCTCGCTTGCTGCCGTCCATACGTAGCGGATTATCGCTACTTGCAGCCATTTCGGGCGGCAGGATCAGTTCAAAGTACGCCGTGTGGCAGATGGGCGGCAGCAAGATGGTGTGGTCCCGCAGCGTCGTGCGAAACGAGCCTTGCAGAATCAATGGCGCGTTGCGCCGTAGGCGTCGCATCGGCGTCAGCTGCAGGTCGACGATCGGTGCGACGGCAAACTTCTCGTCGGTCGCCAGCCGCTGCGAGAGCAGGGAGGGCACGTGGAGGTCGCCCCAGCCGTCGCTGAAGAAGCCCTGCGGGAAGAGCAGCGGGTGGTGCGTAAGCTTGGCAGTAACGTGGTCGAGTACGCGGTGGTGCGTCGTTGTCACCTTATCGAGCACCCGCGCCGGTCGGCGCAGCGAGCTCAGGAGCTGCCATGGGTGCCACATTGCCGCGTTTTGAAAATGGCGGCGACATCGTCACGCAGACTATTTTGGGACGCGAAGATAGTGTAAGAATGCGTGACGCGGTGCTCTGGACGAGCGAATACTAGGCACCATGTCGAGAAGGTGCCTCTCAACGATCAACATGACGCACTCGATATGTGTGTGCGATGAAAGGCTTGCTTGGTGCTGGCATGGATGATGTTTGATGGAGCTTCCTCCGCGGGCCGTGACGATCCTTAAATAGTGTGCAGCCGTATTAACACTATTGCCACCACCGTCATCAAGACCGCATTGTTGGCAATCATCATGGCCAAGCAGCGGCGCCGGAAGCGAGGCCGGGCCCCCGGGACGAGCCCGACGCCGACAGAATGCCCCGTCGGTGACGGCGCTCCCTGCGCGGCTGGAAGCTCATCGGTGGAGGGCTCGACGACGACCAACGCCGGCTTTCTGGAGCGCTGTGCGCAAGGCGACATGCGTCTCTTGCCTCTCGGTGCTGCCTCTGCCTCGCTCGAGGCGCTGCGCGACCGCGATGGCAACAATGGCCTCCTTCTCGCGGCTTTCCACGGACACCTCTCGCTTCTCCAAGGTCTGCACGCCAGCGGCTTCAACTTGCACGTCATCAACGACGGCGGCGACAACGCACTGCACCTTGCGGCGTTCCAAGGCCACCACGACGTCGTGGCCTGGCTGGAGCAGCACGGCGTCGAGATCTCGGTCGACGACGCCGTCGTGGAAGGCGATCTCGACGGGTGGGGCCGCGCCGCGACATCCTCCATGTACTTGGACCTTGTCCGCGCGGGTGACGTCGCGAGCCTCGACGCACTCGTCACCAACGTCGGCGCCCATAGTTTTCCGTGGGCCGCCCGCGGCGACCATCACATGAGTGCTCTCGGCCTCGCCGCCGAAGCCAACCAGCCCGCGATGCTTTCGTACTTGGCGACTACCGGCGGGCTGCGCCTCGACGACCATGTCAACAACCGCCGCGACACGTGTCTGCATATCGCAGCCATGCATGGCCACCTCGATCTCCTTCGCTGTGTAGCGCCACAGGTGGATATGGAAGCGAGGAACGCGCAGCGATGGACGCCCATGGACACGGCGTGTCTGTACGGCCAGGTACTCGACGCCTTCAGACAGCACGGCGACGACTCTTCTCCACCGTGTAGGCGTCGATCGTCGACTACTTCTTGGCTCATACCGGCGTCGTCGTATCGGTGGCACACCTCGCACTCGCACTCGAAGGCGGCGCCGCGTCGACACGCATGCTGGACGATCTTCTCCAGCGGGCACCTCAGCTCGTGCAGGCCCGGCATGGCTCGGCGCAAGAGACGCTGCTGCACATTGCAGTGTCATTACGTCAGCGCGAAGCCTGCAACCTGTTGCTGCAAAAAGGCGCCGACGTCGGCGCTGTCGACGGCAGCGGCTGGACGCCGTGGCATGTGGTCCTACACACGCAGTGGGCAGCGGGTGTCGCCCTCTTGCTGCCGCCGAGCCGGTCGACCGCAGCAACGTGGCTCCCGTTTGCCGTACAGCACGCGTCCACGGCGATGCTACTGGAGATGTACGACCGCCTCGCGTCGCCCCAAGCGCTCTACCAAGCGGCCGTCGACAGTCGGCGCAACGATGTGGTCATCGCGATCGACGCTCGCCACGAAGCACAGGCCAATGCGATGCTGTCGCAGCTCGTCGCATGTACGGTGACGCGCTCGACCGCGCCACTGCCGAGTGCGATCCCGACGCCTGTCGCCAGCGAATCGACCGACCAACCGACGTCCGAGACGACAGAAGACGACGACGACGACGACGATAGGAACCTTTCGCCAGCACTCAAAGCATCACCCCTGCAGGTGCATGAGATGCTGGCCATTGGTCTGGCGCGAGGCCACCACGACGAGTGGGGCGATGTGCTGGTTCAGATGCTCTCGCCGCGCGAAGCAGCTGCGGTCCGGCGCTATCACCAGCAACTACTGCGCCTTCGCAGCCGCCCGGCGTCGCTTCTACGGTACCTCGGGTCCGTCGACGGTGCGACGGACAATGCCGACACGGCACTGCTCTTCGAGTCGCCTGCAAGTATGACGCAATCCGCGACGGACGGTCGCACGTTTGCCGGGGTTGTCGACGCTGTCGTCTTCTTGCACGAACACGGCCAAGCCCACGGCGCCATCACATCGCACTGCATCTTTCTCGAGGCGGGTGCTTCCTCCAAGCTGTACGTTGCGCCGGTCGGTGCGCTTCCAGCACCATCGCGCCCACCGCCCGAGCTCCATGAGAACGCCGACATGGACGCCTTCGCCGCTGATGTCTTCAGCCTCGGCCAGGCACTCGCGTTGCTCGCGCCGACACCCCTGAGCGCTGAGTGTGTCGACCTCCTCGATGCCATGACGGCGCTCGATCCAGATGCTCGCCCCCGGATCGACGAGGTCCGGCGCCACCCGTGGTTTTGGTCGATCGACGACAAGCTCGCTTACCTCGAACGGGTCGCCAACCAAGTTTCGCTGACGGCGTTCCCGCCATGTGTCTACCGGTGGCAGACGCGGTTGCCACCTGCGGTCGCCAGTACCCTCGCGAGCCACCGAGTGTACAGTGACACGCTGCCCGACCTCGTGCGCTGGGTGCGCAACATGAAGCAACACAGCCGCGAGCACGCGCCGGGTGTGTGGACCGCGCTCGGTCAAGGCCGCGCCTACGACGCTGCGACCCACCGTGGCCAGATGCGCTGCCTCGGTGATTTCGTCACTCGGGCATTTCCAGATCTGATCTGTCGACTCTGGCGCACGCTGGGCGAGGTCGCGTAAGAACGAACACTCTTATTTACGCTGCGACTTGTGTTTTTGGGCGTACGCCTGGACCTCGTCCGTGCACCACCACGTCCAGAACTCGCCAAACGAGATTTTCTGGTTGGCCGACGTGTCGAGCTAGATAAAAACTCGAGTTGCATATGCACGAGGGGTGGTTGTACGTACCTGGGCAAAAGCCTCCTTGACTTCGTCCGGCGACAGCGCGGGGAACGTTCCGAGCTCGACCGAGAGCGCAGCGAACTCGGCCGTATCAATTTCACCCGAGTGGTCCCGATCAAAGGTCGCAAACGCCTTGAGCAGCGCGTCGCGTTCGTGGTTTTCCGTCTACGTCACGGGTTCGATCCTCGCCGTCGACCGAGTTTTCTTTTTTTTACCGTGCGCTCGACGAGCTGTTGTGCATACGCATTGACATCGCGCACGTGGCGCAGCTTCTCGAGTTTCTTGAGGAGCTCGCTGGCCGCCGACGCATCCCCAAGCTCTTCAAAACACCGACACGACGCGGTCCACGCCGCCTCGGCGCGGCTAAAGTCCTACAACAAACACGTTGAAATACAAGGGCAACCTCGACTCGAGTTACGGTGGCGTGAAAATAGATGGTGCCCCGTTCGCGGAGCACATTGCCATGCCCTCGCTTGCACTCGTCTGACCGCACCGTGCGGATTTCCTACGCCACGTCACTTTCGCACATCGTTTGAAACTTTTCAAAGCATCACGTTGTAGGCGTCGTCGGCCGTCGAGAGCAGTTCGTCGACTTCGGCCATGGCGGCCACTCGCTTCGCAGCTACACGAGGTATCGCACGCGTGGAATTGAAATGTCGACGCGTACGGTCGGCGGCAAAGGCAGAGAGAAGTCGCTTCACAGATGCCAACGCCACAACGCAGTCTACCAGTTGCGTGAACCTAGGATGGCGTCGTCGGTCATATCGTACTGGCCTCGTGTAGCCGGGCATCGTCGATGGCAATGTCACGGTAGTGGGGACTGATCCGAACGAGCTTTTGGAGCAACTAACCGATTGCGTGATCTCGAGGACGTCCCAAAATCATGATGACGACGCGTACCTGGCTTTTCTCAATCGCAATGTGCAGCGACCGACTCGCCTCTTCGAGTTGCTGGCGCTCGAGGGTGCTGCTCATGTCGATGCCGCTTCACGCTCCGCTGATGTCGTATCTGCGCCGTTACAAAACATCGAAATTTGACGACGAACAACCTGAGAGTGTGCAGAGACAATATACCAACATGTCTAGTGTACGCGGTTGCATTTATAAACGAACAACGCCCTGACACCTCACAACCAGATAACATTGCCACCAGCAGGTCGAAAATCTGACCGAGCAGGCAACACCCAACCACTCGGATTCCAATACCAGCGCACGAGTGGACGACTCGAATTGATGTCGATAACATCATCGTCTCCTAAGCTTTAGCTCTGTGACCGACAGTCCATAGTATGTATAAAGTACCAACTCCATGGGTCCTTGTCGTAGCACGGAACACATGTTGTCGATGGTGGGGCTAGGGTGGGGCTAGGGTGACCGCCACATTTCCGCGTTCATGGACTCACATACTGAGCGGGGGTACAATATTATGTATGTACCCTAATACAGACTGCGCCGCCTTGTTAAAGTACAAGCCTTACATCTATCGCTGCCATAGAATGTGATACCGTTTTCCGTGGTGTGCCGTCCTATTGCGACGCTGCCAGCCGTTCGGCCCGCGCCTGGTGTGCCCACAAACGTGCTTGGGCCATTGAGATTCGCGGCGGTACACCGACAAACGCCCAAACCATATCGACGACGGGCTCGGGCAATGGCAGTTGCGGCAGCGCTTCGTACGGCGGTGGCACAAACTCGGTCGACAAGAGCATTTTGCGCGCGTCTGGTTGCACAAGGTACACGCGAAGGAGTCGCACGGCGCCGTGGGACGCAGCATGCTTTTGAAGCTCAAAGGACGAGCGACGGTAGTCGACACAGGTCGGGATCGTCACGAGTCGACCGACGTGCAGCGTCACAAAACCGGTTTCTTGGTGCCCGGACCAATGGCACTCGTGCCATGGCACCTACGCGAGGCTAATTAACCCCCTCTTCCTGTTCCTAGACGGTATACCTCTTGGGCCGGGTTTAACGGGTTGGGCACCCATGTCCGCTTCGTAAAGGACTGCCGAAAGTGGAGTTTTGGAAGCGCCGTGACGTGGTCGGCCGAGTAGACCACAAGACCGGTCGCAACGACTCCGTCGCTGGTGCACCCCGAGCCGTTGGTTTGCCACGAGAGACCGTGATGCGTCGGCGATGTCGACGACACGAGCAGCGCTTGCGCTTGTACGACCACCTGCAGCGTCGCCGTGGTCTCCAGCGCGGCACTTTGCAGGATGAAAAAGTCACGTGGTAGCGTCGGCGGTAACACCGGTGTCGGCGCCGACACTGGAATGCGAATCTGCGGACTGTGGTCCATGGCGTTGGCTGTCACGGAGAGTTGCCAGAGCGGCCGCAGCTCTTGAATAAGCTGCCGGAGCGCTGCGAGAAGGCGTGTGTGCTGGCTCGGAATGTTGTTGAAGTACGCGCGGTACGTGATACGGCCGGCGTCGAATTGGATCGTTGTCGGGAGCCACTGGAAGCGCGATGACCTTGCATTCGCGATGTACACGGGGCTGCATACGCGGTCATAGTGCGGGTCTCGGTCAAATCGCGTATGACCGTGCACAATACACTGCAAGTTGGGGTCAATGATCTCGCGGACGGCATTGCCCGAGCTTGTTGGCTCAAGCGGTCGTAGCAACCGAGCGAGCGTCGGTGCGAGGTCGGTCGTCGTATGGTACACGCCAAACGTCGTATTGAGCACGTGCCCAGCAGCGAGGCTCGCGTCGCGACGCAGCTGCACTTCGAAGCGAAGGAGGCGCTGAGCGTCGACCGAGACTCGACGTTGGACGGCACGAACGTCGGAAGTACTGAGACGGTGTGGCCAGGACGGCGCGTCCAAGAGAGAGCAAAGTGCGTGCATGTAGACAAGCTCGTGGGCGGCGTACGCAACCGCCTTGGGCGGCCCGAGCACCGTCCTACTGTTGTTGGCAGTAGGCTGCCAAAGAAGAGCGACGTTGGCACGAGATGCGTCGCATCGAGAACCGACTCGGCGAGGTACGCGACGATATCACGCTGATGGCGCGCGGGGCTCGCCAGCGCCAACGCTAACAGCGACTGTCCATTCTACGACATTGGATGAGACATCGGAGCCACGAGTCGGTGGCAGACATGGCGGTAGCGGGCGGTGTCGTTTGTGAGAGGTGCCAAGACGCGAACGCTCTCGAGAGCACCCGAGACGATCGCACAGTGCAGGGCGCTTCGTCCTCGCTAGTACAAGCCAATAGGAGACATATCCCCACCCAACGCACGATTACGGTGTCGAGGAGGTTGGGGTTGCAGCCCGCGGCCACGAGAGACGACACCATGCGCGCATCGTCGACCACCATGTGAAGATAGTCCCACTACGATCGATGCCATGCATGTCTGTCGTAGATGTGAGTATAGGGATCACCTTGCCCAAGGTGGTGAGCGGGGCGAGCACTGCGACGGCATCCGTTGCGCCCTGCCGAATCGCTGTCAAAAGAGGTTCCACCGACGCCTAGCACGTCCAAGCATGAGCCACGCAGAAGACGCATATCAGCGTGTCGTACGGGGCGAGCGCCCCGGTCGAGAAGGCGTTGTAACATCGCGCGATCGCCGTAGCTGGCTTTGCACACGAGCGCATCGTGTCCATCCTAGCGGAGACAAATGTGTGCATGTACAAGAAAGAGTCGTAAGAAACGTACGCGACCGGTCAAGTCCATGATGGCAGCCATGTGTTTGGCGCCGTCGAGCCGCCGATGCGACAAGAATTCGCAGAGAACCGCACGGCTCGATATGAGACCGGCATCAATATAGAGTTGAGCGATCGAAGCGCCATGGGTGCTATGAGTCACGGTCGTCGCGAAACCCTATCCCCACTTCATAGAAAAAAGGACAACATTGACCACAACTACCGCCGCGACCGTGTCTGGAGTCGGGTGCTGCGCCAGGAGCAAGCGGAGGAGGTCGAAATTCGGGGCCTCGCTGAGTGCAATGGCACAGAGCGGCGTGCACTTGGCCTACAGAACGTCCTCTCGGCAAATATCAACACCGGTCGCGTACAATATCCAGCTTATGGTGTCGACGCGCACGCCAACCGCCAGCAGCGCCGACGCGATCTCCATGTGCCCGTAGTGGGCCGCCAGCCACAGCGGCGAGCGGCGGTTCTAGCAAACGATTCAAACTTTTTCAAACAATGTTGCAAACAAGAGAAGGGACGCACGCTGTCCATGGCCCGTGGGTTCGCGTCGTGGCGGAGAAGGGCGGCGACGCAGTAGAGATGGCCGTGCGTGACGGCGAGCCCCACTGGCGTATGCCCACGCTAAGGAGCCTCATCGATCCATGAGAAACCAAGAGTATCTCCAACGGCAATGCGTCTACACACAGTGTTCTGTCGGCTGCTGTCGGCCACGCGCGGCGCGAGAAAGTCGACGACGTGGACGTGGCCGGCGGCAGCAGCCAGGTGGAGCGCACTGCTACCGTCCTATGCACACGGATCGAGTAAACGATTCGTTGGTTGCTTGCCGTACGTCGTCCATGGCCACATCGACATCGACATCGTCCAGTAGCATGGCTACGGTTGCTAACGAGCCGTCGGCCGCGCCAGCAAGGAAGGCCTTGGTTGCCTGCTCGAGGGATGAGGAACAGACCCGGGCTGGCATCGCTGTTACCGCGTCGTCTACGTCGTGCATTGGTTCCTGCCGCTCGGTTGTCGGGAAATCGCACTTCGAATACGCATTTCATCGGCACGCTCTTCGATCCATCCAACGTCGCGCCTCCCACTCTAGAATAGGTAAAACAGATGCTCAAAATGCAAGTTTTTCTCTTGTCAATCGAGTCATTTTGGGTTTGAGCGGCGCGATAAAGCTCGGCGACGGTGCCAGAAGCCTCGAGGCGAGAGGTTCGCCACTACCACAACGCTCATGCTCCAATGGCCCATTGCTCATAGCACATTGATCTCTACCGCAGCACCTGCAAATGCGGCACTCCCACCTTTTCACGCAAGGCATCGACCATGTCGCTGCCACACCAATGTAATGTAGTTTGGTCTGGCGTCGGATCTGGTGAGGTCGCCATAACCAGATAGTGGCAACTCGCCTTGTGGCGCTCACTGGATGCGACGCTGGCCGGACGCAATATATGCATCTCGACACCAAGATCGCCTGGCGCCAACGCCATCTCGCGTCGGATTGGCTACATCGTAGCCAATGAGACCGTTGCGTTTCAATGGAAGAGAAAAAACAGTAAAACGTTGTATACAAACGAGAAGCCAAATACGTGTATTTTATTGGCTCTAAACTCGGCCTTTGGGAGTTGCCAGGCCACCCAGACAAGCCAAGACGACACGGGATGGCAGCGAAGGAGTCCAGCCTCGTGGCGCCGGAGCGAGCGCTCGACGTCGAGGAAGAGTGGAGCCAGGAGCGCCTGCCGCTGCATGTCAAGTCCGCCATGCCACGCAATATGGCGAAGGCTCATGCGTCCTGCTAGGAACGTCGTCGGGACCATTGACGTCCAAGTCCCGCTCGACCTGACGACGATTGCGCTCAATGCGCGCAACACCGAGTACAATCCGCGGGTAGCGTCTTCATACGTCATGGCAATGCAGCTCAGCGCATGCGCGTAGAGGTTCGCCGCAGTCATCATGCGGTTACGAGACCCAAAGACGACCGCGCTCATCTTTGCGTCCGGCAAAGTACTCCTCTTGCACGCCCGTGACGGCAACGCTTAGCATCCGCGATGGCGTAGATTGTGATCACGGGCGCCACCACAGAGAAGAACTGCCGCATTGCCGCGCGCAAGTACTGCAAAGTGCTACAGGTACACCGCATGGAAATGCGTGCGAGGTCGATCATATTGCTGCATTAGAAACTCAACTTCCCGGCCAAGTTTGAGATGTTCAAGATCTGCAACATGATGGGCACCAGCGACGTGCGCTTCCCGATCCGCCTCGAAGGCTTGCTCAACGACCACTCGCGCTTCTGCACTGTACGACGTACTGCACTCGGACCGTTCGTCTCACGACGTTGGCGCCCTTTTAGTACGAGCCCGAGCTCTTCCCAGGCCTCATCTTCAAGCTCGTCGAGCCCAAGTTGACGTTTCTAATATTCGTGTCGGGCAAGCTCGTCATTTGCGGCGCCAAGGTACGATGACCTCGTGGCCCGTCCTTGCTTGAACCGCTCCGTAGGAGACGAGCGACATGCGGTTAGCACTGGAGAAGATGCATCCGCTGCTACTCGAGTACCGGAAAATGGCGCCGGCGCCGTCGCTAGAGAGCCTTGATTTCGAGGAAGACGCAGATATCGACCAACACAAAATATAAGTACGTGTGCACACCACTACAATATTGTCCATTGTCGATGCGGCAATATATATTTCTCCTGGCGACGAACCCGGAGCAAGTCCGGAGCGACAACGGTCCAGGAACGGTTTCGTAAGTCGTGCCCAATACAATAAAGAATCAATGTTGACTCGTTCTTTGTATAAGCGTCGACGCATTGTCATTTAATGTCGTCATCGTAACGCCTGCTCGACGGGCGAGAACTCGATCGTTATCACGTACGAAGCAAGGGTATGGCACGACCGCGCCACGGGAGCAGCACGGCCGCCAAGCCCGACGACGACCGCGCCCGCCATACGAGCCTGCCGCTGCTCGGCCTCCCATCCTTCCTCAAGCCCATGGAAGACGCCAAGCGAGCATGCCCACGTCGATCGATGGCCTCTCATCGACGTCTTCTCTTGTAGTGCTTGACGCCAGCCAAGGTGTCTCCGCTCGCAGCCAGCGACGAGACGCCGCTCGACTCGTGCAGCGGCCTCAAAGACCAGTTCCTGCGCCTCAAGCAAAAGTTCCACAAGGCGACGCCCGAGACTACGACGTCCGAGTCGCATGCCAAGACCGCCGACGCCGCCAAGGGCCTGCGCCGCTTGAGCTTGGACAACAGCGTCTGGATCGACCCGCGCGCGCTCTTGGACCCGTACTGCAATAAAGAGATCGACATGAAGCCGTCCGAGCTCATGCGCGAGCTCGAGACGCTCAACGGCGCGGCCCAGGTACGGCTGCAAATTCCAAGTGTCTCCCCATATAGCATCGTCATCATCACCATCATCATGGTAAGTAGAAGATGTTTGTGCACGACCCGTGGTCCAACGGCGCCGAGCGCTGGGTCCTCGACGACGCGTGCTTGCGCGGGTACATGACGTGCTGGACGATCGAAACCGGCGGCGAGCTCGTTGTGCTCATCGCGCGCACCATCAAAGCGTGCGTGGTCTCCTCTCTAGCACGACATCGTCTTGAGGGCTGATTTGCGTAGGTTGAACGCCAACATCAACCCCGACATTGCGCTGCAGTGGATCGGACGACAGCTCTGGGGCCTCACCATCACACTACCGCTTGCTCGGAACCGAGAGCTTACGATGCAGCATGTGCGACGCCTCGATCCAGCAACTACTGAACGTACGCGTAGATCACCGTCGCATCCAGCATCGATGTGGCGCTGGCCAAGATGGTCAAGGTTGCATCATCGCCCGAGCCCAACAATGCCAACCTCCAGTATGTTGGCTTTGGAGATGCGCATGAGCAATACACACAGGGGTAGGTCGGGCGTCCCGCCCATCTCGCCGCGCAAGGCGCCGGCAGAAGCCCCCGAAACCCCGTCGATCGAAGTGTCGAATGGTCCTAGCCACATGCGAAGTCTCTCCAACGACACGACAACACCAACGCGAGCAGTGGGGCACAGCCGAAGTCTCTCGAGCGATGCGACGAGCCAGCACCTCCGGAGCCTCTCGGGGGACCTTCGCGCCGAAGTCCACGACATTAATCGGCTCCTCGCACCGCCTCGGTCGCCCACGTCGAGCTCGTCGAGCTCATCGACGACAAAAACGTGGCACGCCCTCACGACGCCAGGCCCTGCACTTTTGGACGACGACCCCTTTGCACGCTGCGTACACGCCGCATTACAATGAACCCAACGCACTCATGGCGCCCGTAGGCACCCGAGAAAACGGGGTGGCTAAAAAAACGCAGCAGTGGCTTGAACTCGTGGCAGCTGCGCTGGTTTGAACTCAAGGGCAATCGGCTCTACTACTTCAAGCACGAGAAGGTGCGATGTGCTCGAATGCAACACATTTGAAGCGAGAGAGGCACGTAGGATGGACTCCCCAAAGGTGCGATCGTGCTCGACAAGGTCTACTGCATCCGTGGTGCGGCGGGGGATCCGTCCCCAAGCCTCACGATCTCTCCGTCTGGCGCCAACTCGATTTGCATGTTCAAGTTCAGCGATCGACTCGTGCACCACGTCTTTAGGTACGTGTCGACGCGTTGCGAAATCGCGAGAGAATTGGGATTAGTCGCCGCTCGTGTACGCTCCGCGTGCCTGACGACGACGAGATCGAGCTCAATGCTTGGATTAACGCCATTTGCCGCGCGTCGTTCCAGTGCTACCTGAGTGTCCCGACCGCCGACGCCAACGGTGGGTCAATTTACTGAGTTTGTATCGATCTCTCAATCTATCCATAGTCGACGAGAACGAGTTGTACAAGTACAGTAGCTTCCAGTACCTGCGCGAGACGGACCCGCTTCTATGGGAAATCAACCCACTCGACCAAAACGCCATCAAGAAAAAGGCCTCAGTTGCGCGCACAAAGGCCGAGTACACGTACATCATGTCCAAGTACGCGCACGTCCTTCGCCACATTCTCTTGCCGCGGTGCGCCACTTGATACGCTGATACATTGACATATATATACATACGACGATGCAATAGACCGCGCCCGATCAGCATTGAGCAGACCCTGCGCGACATCATTCCCGAGCTCTTTCTCATCAACAACATTTTGTACGGCGGTGAAACTGAGAGCATCGACGACATCTTCCACGTCCTCGAAGGCTACGTCAAGCGGTTTGCGTCCACCCACGAGGCGTGCGTTACCGCGGTCAGCGCCGTCCTTCAAGCGTGCGCGCGTACGATTGCCGGTGGCGACTCGTTTCTTGTGATCCGGACGCTTCTCGGCAGCAGCGCCGGCGACACGCTCATCCGTCCCGCCGACTCGCATGGCGCACCGATCGTGATTGACATTTCGAGCGCAACGCCGTCTCTCTTTACGATCACGCTCTCGAGTGTCTTTGTGTTTCATTTGCTCGACGACGTCGAAAAGATGACGGAAGACGACGCGATCGAGCCGCTTCTGCGTGTGCAAACGCTCCACGTCCAAGAAATGGACCTTCTTCTTGGCAAGTCAACGCGGCACCTCAAGATACGACAGCTCGCGGCCGACGACGAGCGAATAGGAGGCGACCTCACAAGCAGTCGCAGCACCACGTACGACTTTGGCGCGCTGCTCGACGGTCTCGCGTAGGTAGGAGGAAATCATCAAGTTATAAGAAGCGATGCCGTCGTTTTCGTCCAGAGTTGAGCAAAGGCTCATCTCTATTTACTAGCCTACCAAGCATCATGGTTGCATTGTGGCAAGAAAACGATATATGAGTGACGTGGCAACCCTGGGCGCAGAGTAGGGCACTTCGCCAGTACCGAGAAAGATCTTGTGCAGTATCTTGGGATGGATAAATGATGCACAAGGAAGCGAGAGAGAGCATCGCCATTATCCTGCAGACGAGGTCTATGACGAGCAAGGTGTGCGCACTATCAACGTGCGTGCGTCCATTCCCATTCCCGGTGGTTGCCGAAGAGATACGAGTACCGCGAGGGTCCTCGTTGAAACACTCACTGATACCACTGATACTGATGTAAGATGTGTTGAATGCAGCGGTCCAACATTGCTCTTCGTGTACTCTTTCTGCTTCGCTGCGTTTCTGCGAAAGTCAACGCGAGATAGAGTACGCTCGTGTGTGAAGCAATCATTTTAAGCAATCCACGGCGAGTCCATGGCCCCTTTTGATACCGACACCATCGCACCAGGTCCCGCCGTTTGGCGCACCACGAGCGTGCCGACAGCGTACCGAAACGCCCGGGCTTTCTTGGGCTGCGATATCTTCCTGCTGCCAAGTACTTGGCGCTTGGCGGTCACGGCCACCGAGATTGGCGCATCCATCTGGGACAAGAGGTTCACGCGCGTGACTTCAACGAGGTTGTTGAGGCGGTCGTAGCCCAGGACGTAGCAGTCGCCGCCGCGCTGGTCCATCGTGCCATGACGTCGGTACTCGGGGTACGCTTCAAACAGCCGGTACATCGACCCTCCGTGCATCACATCTACCCTCATGTCGACAACAAATTCTCATTTTCATCGAGATTACTGTACCTCGGACGTTGGCGCCGAGACGATAGAACCAAAGAAGACTCTTGTGCTTGAAATCGTTGTACGCAAACGCACCCTCGTGCACGTCCGAGCCATCCTAATAAAAAGAAGACGACTCAAAACCAGCCCAAATGTGACGCAAACGCGACGCAAATGTAGTCCGTACATTGGCCTGGAAACGGTACCAGCGCGCCGCGTCGCGGCCGCTCGACACTTGCCGAACATTGCGCACCGCGCGCTTGGCAGCGCGCGCGGCGATGCCGGGCACACCGAGCAGCACGGGCAGCGTGCACAGCGAGAGCGAGAACGCCAAAAACGCCACCAGCGCCTCGACATACTCGTCGCCCGGCGGCACCGGCGTCATCACGATCGAGAAGAGCGCAATGTACACCGAGAGCATCGGGTACCATGCGAGCTGGAGGTGCGTGAAGAGCCCGCCGTACGCGTACGCTGCGATCGCCAGTAAGGTCGGGTTGGCGGGCTTGAGCCAATGGCTTTTCCGACACCGCCGCAAGACCGGATTGAGGAGCACGAGCGTGCTGTACGAGAGCCATACGCTGCGGCTAAAGTAGATCGAGCCAAGGGCAAAGTAGTAGGCGCTCTCAAACTGCTCGACGCGCGCGCCCGCTTGGCCGGATAACTCGGGACTCATCCAGAAATCGAGCACAAACAAAAAGCAAATCTTGGGGTGCGAGAGCACGATGCTGGTCGCGTCGCCCATGAGTACTTCGTAGCGTACAACGCTCTTGCGTTCGCTCATGGCATACGACATGAGCGCCTTCCGGAGGTGGAGCACGTGCGTAAAATACTCGGCGTAGCACACATAGCCAATGTAGCCGCTCAAAAAGGCGGCAAAAGAGCTTGAGGAGCCGCCAGCTCGTCGTATAGTCGGATGGTACGTACAGCGAGTAGACGGTAAAGCTCGTACCGCTGGTCGACGCATTCGGAAACAGGTCGTTGCCGGGGACAGTCCAGAGCACCGACAAGGCGTGCGGCGTCGACACCATCGTGTGCTTCCACACGCGCGCGTACGACGTTGATGCGGACGCGTTGACGCCGCAAAGCACGTGGGCGATCTCAGGCACGTGCGACCACGGAAAGTAGATCGCGCCCGCGACGCTGGTGATAATACCGTGCGCGCAATCATCTTCCTTGGAAGAGCCGTTGAGCGGAAACACGTGCCGCGCAATGTCCGTGGCCGTCGTGTCGTCGTAGATGTACGAGGCGCCATTTGGCAAGGTCGCCGACGAGAAGAGGTCGCGAAAGTAGTGCATGTACTCGGTTTGGTTGATGGCCTCGACCGCGTCGACCGTGAGGAGCGGGTGGGTGGCCCCGCGGAAGGGGTGGCCTCGCTCAGGTACGGCTTGAACGGCATGAGGACCAAGTTGAGGCCAAAGAGCGCCGAGACGAGCACCGACTTGCGGTTCATGCGCACGCGCGAAGCATCGATGGTCGGCTGGATGTCTTCGGGCGAGGGTGCGAAGGAGCTCACGGGGATCGCGTCGAGTGATGGGTCTACGCGCATGTGGTCTTCGCGGTGGCAATTGGGCAATGCATCGTTTCTGCCGTGACGAGTATTTATAACTGAAAATAAGATGGAGGGCGCAATAGGAACGACGCTCGGTCGTGCAATACTTTATCTGGTGCAGTATAGGCTATTTTGGGGGAATATGAGCTATTTGGGGGGAATTGGCATAAATCAGCGCCCTTTTGACCGATGGTTTGCAAAATCAACCCCCAAGCGGGACAAAAAGAGACCGAGCTTAAAAGTATGTTACCGGTACAGCAGCGAGTGACGACAGCGCATCGGCCGACCGCAGCGCAGCGGAGGTTGGGTTTGACTTTTGTGCACGTCGTGCCTTGGCGAGGAGCGAGCCCGAGTCTCAACACTAATAGGGATTTCATTGATTGTACTAGTAGCACAGTACTAGTAGACCGGAACTTTAGGTGGAGGCGAGGAGGCCCGCGTCGAGACCAGTTTCCGCTTGCACCGCAGGTACGTACGTAATAGTGGAATTCGAACAGAAATCAGCCCCCTCATTAGTTCCAAATGGGGGCTGATTTGCAAACCATCGGTCAAAAGGAGGCTGATTTTGCAAATTGCTCCTATTTCCGTGACCATGCATGCTCGTCATCCGAGTTTTCGGAGGCCAAACGTTGCTTGTACTACACACCTACCTACAAGCCTTGTAGGTCGCCCACATTGACATCCCCCTTACCTCGTCATGTGTTCAAGCAAGCTGGAGGCCATCGAGACCGTGAGTCGAGTCGAAGTGGTCGATTGTAGTGTGAATAGTGTGAAACCTCTGGAAGTGGCAGCTCATCATGGAGAGAGACATGGCGGGGCAGGAACGAGCGCGGTTGGAAGACCATATTGTAGCTGTTAACAATCCGTCATGCGACTGCTGCAGATGCTCGACTTGTACATGGCAATGAAGAGTACCGCAGCCAGCGACTCAGAGAATCCTCAAAGCGTGAGAGCGCGTGGGTTGAATTGCGCATATTGTAGCGTTAAAGAATACGTTAAAGACACAGTCGGACGTTAAAGAATACGATTGGCGCAACGAGAGTGGTCAAAACGCCAAGAGCAAATTGCACTTGACCGGAAGTCATGCAACAAGCTCTGAGCTTCTACCGCGCCATCTACCGCGTACGTCATCGCACTCTGTCACCGCATCTGAAGGTTGCGTGTGCGTAGACTGCGGGGCTCATGCCGTCCAAGGACCGGACGCGCTTTGTGCGTCGGCGGCTGCGCGCCGAGTATGAAAAGTACCGCCACGAGACCAGCCCCGAGCGCGTTGCGTACGCTTCTCAGCTTGCTCTTCTATTTAAGTTGCGTGTTACTAGGTTCTTGCTCCAGGTCGCCGACACGCAGGTACACGCGTGTATGTGCATACCCCACGCGTCTCATCGACGAGTAGCTCGACACACTCCGCGTTCAAGTCGACCACTACAACCAAGTCTTTTCCGACCCCAGCTACCACCAAGTCTAGTGCATGGATACTGAAATCAAGTAAAAAACCAACGCCTGTGCCGCCTGCTAGCCTCCGAGTTGCCAATGGAGCTTAGGCGAATACATACTAGTAGTCGTGGGCACGCGAGCTCTTGGCTGCGAAAGTGGTGATGCACGCAGGCCGGTGTGCTGAATTCAGACTCCACGCAGGCCAGAACATGCTAAATTCAATGCAGAGTGTCGCCGGCGCAGAAACAATCGCGACGCTGCCCAAGCATCCCACACGTTAACGCTGTCAATGAGTCTCGTTTGGCAAGTCCTGCGTGCGTTGAGCTAAAACGACGGGTAAGTGTCCAGAAGCTGATAGGAGCAACAACGGCCGATCAGATATACATTATGCACGCACGGTCTTCCCAAATACTGTCTTAGTACATGCTGAGGCACGGACGCTCACGCTGCAAACGCGCAAATAGATTAAAGGTACTGCAACGACCATAAGGCTTGATGCGCCAAGTGAGTGTAGGTAGCAGTAGCATTAGCCACGGGCGCACGGGGCAGGATCGTACCCAGCGTTGAATTTTATCCAATCATGTGCTGCGGTGCACAACCCGACGCTCATTTTGGCCAATCAGACGCAATGTCAACAACCGAGCGATGCATTTTTATTCTGACATGCAATAAAATTTCCGCCATTTTTGCCTCTTCACCGCAAGCAAGATGACGGGCGTCCGCCTCCAGCTGCTCAAGGTCGTCGACGGTCTCCTTAGCCACCTCGAGCTCAACGAGGACGCCATCGAGTACCTCCGCGACAAGTACGACCCGCTCACGGTCTTTGCCTTCCTCGGCCCGCAGGTACGACGAGGCCACGACGCACACAACGACGACGACGCGCGTAGGGCAGCGGCAAGTCGGCGTTTGTGCAAGAACTCATCCGCGCCGGGCAGCCCGAGGGCCACGCTGCCGAGGCTATGGAGCCAACGCCCGAGGACACGTGCGTATGATTCTCTATGCATCCCATCGTGACGCGTGAGAACGTAGTGGCGTGTGGATGTACATTGAAGAGACTGCGTACGAGCACGCCAAGCACGTGGCGTACTTGGACGTCTACGGCTACGGCGTCAACAAGGTACGATGCCATCTCACTCTCCGAGCTTGGGCTTAGGATATGTCTTTGGCAGCACATTGATGCACAGCTCTTTGGCCTCACCGCGCTCCTCAGCAGGTTCGTCGACGTGCGCCACATGGAGCATGCGTGATGCAACGCTGTCTAGCACGGTGTTTCATGTATCGCTCGGCGCGATCAACGAAAGCGTCTTTGGACAGCTCGGGTTCCTCGAAGGCGCGGTCGACGTCCTTGGCGAGAGCGCGGCCGGGCACCTTCCGCCCTTGCAGTGGGTCGTGCGCGACCTGCCAACGAAAGAGCTCAAGGCCATTGTCGGATCGGCCATCGCCGTCGATCCATCGGCCGACATAGATCAGCTCTACTTGAACGCCGTGCTGGACGCCAAATCGAGCCCGTTTCGGCATTTGCTGCCGTGGCAGATTCTCACCAACTACTTTCCGAAGCGATCGTGCACGGTGCTACCTGCCGCGACCAGTCCTGCCTACGAGAAAAAGGCATCGCGCCTCGGCAAGACACTCGTCGAGAAGAGCCACGTTGCGAGCCTCCACGGCGTGCCGCTCACCGGTTCGATCCTCGCCAGCGTCGTCGAGCTGCTCGTGGACCAGCACAAGAGCATTCTGGACGTACGACCGGCTCGCTTCTGCCATTCGTATGTGAGAACGCAATATGGCGCGTAGGTGCTCCACGGCGCGTGGGACACGATTCTGCAAGCTGCGGTCCTCGACGTCCTCGAGCTCGCCATCGGCATGTACAAGGCCCATGTGGACGCCCAGCTGCCGTTGGCCAACACAGACGCCGCGTCGGCACATATTGCGGTACCGTGTTCTGGATGCTGCAGGGTCGGTGCAAACGAAGTTGCTAGCTTCCGTGCGACGCCAGTGTCCTTGACGCATTGCATGGCGACGCGTGCATTCGCGCAGCACCGCTCCTCGCACGGGCTGCGAGCATGGGCGACGAGAGCATGGCGCTCGCAGCAGACATGTTCAAGACGCTCTCGAACGACCACATTGCCATGTGGCACGCCCGCAACGACGCGCTCTCCAAGTCGCTCTGCCTCAACTTGCTCATCTCGCTCCACACGGACGTCGAGGCATCGATCGCGGCCAAACTGCATCGCGACGAGAACGACCCGCTGCTCTTTTCGGATTTCAAAAGCCTTTTTCGCTTTTACAACCTGCAGGTCCAGCACATGATTGCGCAGTATGCGACCGACGCCAAGGGCCCGCAAAAGGTACTATTTTCCGCCATTGTCCTCTTATTTCGACTCTTTTTTGGACGCATTTTCACCGAATATATGTGGACACTGAAATGCCATGTAGATGCCGCAGCTGGCAGCGTTCTACTCGACGCTGCTCCCAAAGTTCATCTTGTACCTCACGGACCTTGGTGCGCATCGCATCGAGTCGGAAACGATTGCGTCGACGGTATGATAGCAGCATCCAATCCTTTCTCTTACGTCGCCTTGGCATGATGTGTAGCTCATGCTGGACCGAAGCAAGGGCGCATTGCAACAAGCCGTGGACGCCAAGGTCACGGCGATGGAGGTACTTCCATCGATCCGTCAATCTTCATGCGATGCAACCCACTTGTCTAGTCGATCAAGGCCACGCAGGCCCACGTGCAAGCCGGCCTCGTCGTCAACGCTCGCTTAGAAAAGGTATTCCGTCCATCCGCGTTGCCTGCATCACCTCATACACGTGTAGCGTCTCCGGGACGTGCTGGACGATGCGTTGGAAGGCGTCTCGCTCCTCTACGACGCCGCCAAGCTCCAAGGCGAGACCCTCGAGCGCGAAGCGTTTGTCAATGTACATATTCGCCTCTTTTATTCGTCGGATCGCAATGGCTGAGCTCATGACGGTATTTTGTAGGTGGAGCGCACGGCCGAGCGTGTGCTCGAAGTGACGCAGAAAACGCAGTCGGTCGACGACGAACTCCTCGAAGGCTACCTCATCAAGCAGGGCGGCGGCGGCGTCTTTGGCCGGAAGAACTGGAAGCAGCGCTACTTTGTGCTGCACCGATCGCTCCTCTCGTACGCCAAGACCAAGGACGACTATGAGCGCGGCAAGATCCTCAAGGAGCTCTCGATTCTTGGCTGCGACGTGCGCGAGTCCCAGGACGCGGGCGAAGGCTTTGAGATTTGGCCGCCGCTCGGCGGCCAAGGCACGGTCTACGACTACAAGCAAGGCATGTTTGCCTCCGAGTCGACCAACGCGCGGCGCAAGGTCGATGCGGACTCGGACCGCAAGTTTTATTTACGCGCGTCGTCGGTCGAGGTCAAGGAGCTCTGGGTCGGCCGCCTCCGCCAAGCCGCCCAGCAACCGCTCCTGCATTAATGACGTGATCGATTCCATCGTGGCTTGTACATAGTATGTACGTGTAACAACTACAACATTGCATGTGTGGCATCATCTATCGTCTCCTTGGGTGTTCGGCCTCCATTTCGTTCGCTGGCTTGTCTCGGCCGAGATGGCATGCGATGCGATCAACAAGTGCACGCATCGCGCGTCGGATGTCTGCAAGACGGATCCGACGGCCATCCAAGACATAGGAGTCTCTAGAGATCGACGTGGTTGACAGTGGAGGATTACTTGGCAGCCTTGGCCTCCTGCTTCTTCTTGAGCATCGCGAGGTATCCGCCAATCGCATTTTGAACCTTGTCGGTTTGGCAAAAGTCGATAAAGTTGGAGCGGTCTTCGTCGAGGCGGGTGCGCAGGCGGTTGGCCGTCTCGTCGCGCATCATGGCCTTGGTGAGCTTGCGCGCGCTCGCTACACAGAAGCCACATGAGACGGTCAGGACGTGGAGCGAATCGGAGCGTACATGGAATCGAGAGCCACTCGGCGAGGAGCTTCTCGGCCGTCGGGTGCACCTGCTCGACGGGCACCGCTTCGTCGACCAAGTTGATCTCTTTGGCGCGGAGCGCGTTTACTTGGAGACCGAGGCCCAGCATCTTTTCCGTCTCGCGGTGGCCGATCGTGTTGAGCATCACGTCCCGCATCCAGAACGGCGCGACGATGCCCAGCTTGGTCTCGTTCAAGCCGATGAGCGGCCCGCCGAGCGCCATGACGCGCGAGTCGCAGCACATGGCGAGCATGCAGCCGCCCGCGGGGCTCTGGCCTTCGATGGCCGCGACCGTCGCGAGCGGCGTCGTGTACAAGCGGAGGCACGTGTTCTGGAACGCGCGCCAGAATTGGCCAAGACGCTTGGTCTACATGCATCGCTGAGATGCGTGGCCTAAATGGGTGCATGCTCTACCTGCGGCTGGTACATCTCCATAATGTCAAGGCCACCCGAAAAGATCTTGGGGTTCGTCGACGACAGAATCATGCCCCTAGTACATGGCCATCAGGAGCCATTCAATGGCGCACGCCTACTTGACGGTTTTGTCCTTCTCGAGCGCCTGGATCGCTTCGTCGATGGCGAGAAGCAGCTAGTTCGCCAGTATGAGCCATGCTGCGCGACGATCGCTCGCCGCTGTACCTCCATGCTGAGCGAGTTGACGGGCGGGCGGTTGAGGCGCAGGATAGCGAAGCCATCCTTCTTCTCGACCGTGACGAGGCTGGGCGGCGCCGAAGACATGGCGCGGGCGCCGCGGAGGCGGAGGCGAAGGGCAGAGCGGAGCATCGTGACCAACGAGGGGCTAGTTGGACTCTGTTGACAAAACAAGAAGATCCGTCGAAATCCCAGGTTCAAGTTCCGGATACCACTCTATCATCCGGTATTCGTATGCATTATCCGTAAATCGTACTCCCGACCTCGGTCGATGAGCCGGCTCGTCGCGTCATCAGGCCGAACAAGTCGGCCTGCGGTCTTCCCACAGCATTGCAAGTGGCAGTGATTGCCGGGTACGAGCAGCGACGATCCTCCGGCGCAGCCAGGAGGGGACTCGTTTCCCGCATAAATCATCCATCGCCCACATATATCACGTCTGTTTCTTGTCTTTTCACGTGATAAACTTTTCTTCACGTGAAAATTCAGAAAGAGAGTATCGGTTGCGATGGCGGCGGAGCGGGCCGAGTTTGCGCTGGCCAAGGAGCGCCAGGCGCAGCAGGTGCTCGCGCGCAGCCACGTGCGGCAGCTCCGCAAGGCCAACAGCCCGCAGATCCACACGCTCTTCCAGATGCACAAAGAGAAGGCGCCGCTCTTGGCGATTAGCCAGCACCTGCGCATGGCCCCGTGCCTCGTCGCGCGGGTCTTCCTCGAGTTTAGCAACAAGGTACCGAAAGCCAACATCTACAAGGCGCTGCTGGCGACGCTAGACGACGAGACCGCCGAGCATGGCCTGTCCGGTCGCCTCCGCGCCGAGCTCCGGGCCTGTGTGGTGGCCGACGTGCACTGCTCGCCGCTCTGCGACCGCATCCGCCGCAGCGAAGGCGACGAGTACGAGCACATGATGATCTTGCGTTTGCACCAGCTCGGTATTCCGTTCGAGAACGAGCACATGCTACGGGAGCGCGGCTTGGCCAAGACGCCGGACGCGCTGTTGCTCGCACCGATCCAAGTGCGCACGCGCGACGGCCGCTGGCACCTCGTGCAGTGGATCGACTCCAAGGCCATGGCCCATGAAAGCGCCACGGAGAACGAAGCCCAGCACATTGCGCAGGCCCACGCGTACGTGAACCGGTTTGGGCCCGGCATGCTCCTCTACTGGATGGGCGTCGAGGCTGACGTCGCGACCATTCCAGACGTGCTCATGGTCGACCACATCCCGAGCGAGATCCGCATGCCAGGAATCACCGCTTCGGCGCCGTTGACGCTCTCGGACGGAACGTCCTTTTCGACGCAAGACGGTCATATTCGCCGCGAGTTCAACGCCGACGGCGTGCCCTGCTCGTATGTGCGCTTTGACGACACGTAAAAGAGCCTCCTGGATGATAATACAGTAGCACTATATATGTCAACGGGGCGGCTGCTGGCGAGCCCACATGCAGTGGGCCTTGCGCAAGGTACAGATGGAAAATGGATCCAAGGACGCCATCGCCAGCCTTGTCATCCGGATAACATGTGTCATTCTCCGGATAAGCCATGTTGAAGTGGGCACCGCAGGTCAGTTTGGCCGTAGTAGGCAGTTGCATTATGTCGCCATGGACCCTTGTATGCAATCAGCGACAAGGGGCCGTCGCTCTGCCTACTGTTGCTAAAAAACAAGAGGGCAGCAAGTGAAATGCTGCGGGAAGTGCTGCTATCGCTACGAACCCGCACGGCTCTGCAGGATGTTCGCTGCCGAACAGGACAGGCCGGCCGGCCGTACGTACAGTGCCCCGTACGAAGTGCCGTACAACATTTTATCAATACTCAAGAAGTGATGGGTCGAACACTGAGTACGTACGTAGCAAATGCTTTGTACGGTGGCGCCACGTTCAAGTGAGGCACTTGCGATTTTCCAGCGCGATGGCGGAAACGACGCCGCTGGTCCGCGGACCCCAATCGAGTCTTACCGCGCAACGCCATTCACGCAGCCTCGTCGCGGTGGCAGGCTTCGTCCTCACGATTCTCTTTGTGGCCGTCGGCTTGGCCATGCAGAAGATTCCTGCGTCGCCCCGTACGTTGCGCTTCGTACAGTGTTCGTATGCTTACAGTATCCTCCTGTAGCAATCCGCTCCATGGCTGCCGACGCGGTGACGTCGCTGCCGCGCTTTGGGCCTGTCGAAGAAGTGCAGGTACTATGTATCCCGCAGTCCATGGCTCAGACACATGTTGACAGTACGCGGGCTTGGTGCCTGTCAACGCCGGCGGCGGCAACATCTTTTACTGGTTCTTCGAGGCGCGCACGGTGTCAACCACAACGCCGCTCATCGTGTGGCTCAACGGCGGCCCTGGTGCGTCATCCATGACCGGCCTCCTCACCGAGATGGGCCCGTATCGTATGCAGGCCGATGGGTCGCTCACGTCGCATCCGCACAGCTGGACCAACGTCGCGCACATGCTCTTCTTTGACCAGCCCGTGGGCACGGGCTACACGAGCGCGACGTCCGAGGCCGGCTACGTCAACTCGCAAGAAGAAATGGCGGCGCAGCTCTACTTGGCGCTGCAGGCGTTCTTTATCTTGCATCCCGAGTACGCGGCCAGCCCGATGATCATTGCCGGCGAGTCGTATGCTGGCAAGTACGTGCCGCACATTGCGCACTACATTCACACGATCAACCGCAACGACTCCACGATCCCCAACGTGCGCTTGAACCTTTGGGGCGTCGCGATCGGTAACGGGGAAATGAAGCCGCTACTTCAAACCCAGAGCGTGGCCGACTACGCGCTGGCGCTCGGCTTCATCGACCACGAGCAGTACACAACGCACGTCGCATCGCTCGACAAGTGTGCGCAGCTGCACCACGCAGGCCGGCCGGTCGAGGCCTTTGGCGTGTGCCAAGACACCGAAGACGAGGTCTTGTGCTTACTAGTATAGTACTAGGTCTAGGGGTCTCATTTTTTGCTTGTGTAGATTTACCGGCAAGCGGGGAGTCCGTTTGTGTACGATATTCGCCAAGAAGGCAATGCATTCACGGCACTCACGACGACCTTGTCGAGCTACTTTAACACCGACGACGTCCGCGCCGCCTTGCATGTGCCGTTAGGAACGCCGTGGACGTCGATCGATGGCTCGTCGTACGGGGCCAGCCCGAACGCCCCGCCAATCGCGCGGCACTTGCTCCATGACGAGATGCAGGACGTCCCGGACGACGTGCTGGAGACGCTTTTGAATGCGTACCATGTGCTCTTCTACGCAGGCAACATGGACGGATCGTCCTGCAATCACTTGGGCGTTGCCCGCGTTCTCGACGCGCTGCACTGGGATGGCGCGGCGTCGTACCATAAGGCACAGCGGACGCCGTGGGTCGTCAACGGCAAGGTCGCAGGTCTCGTCAAGTCCAGTGGCCGCATGAGCTATGTTGTCTTGACCAACTCGGGCCACCTCGTGCCGACCGACCAGCCAGAACATGCGCTCAACATGATCACACGCTTTGTGCAGCAAACGCCATTTGCCTAGTCGACTGGAGATGACGGTACATGGTCGAAGTAATGGGATTTGGACGAATATGGCGTTGGCTTCTTTGAGGGTTCCATGCTCCTTGCTGGCACCGGCTTCTGGCAGCGCGCACGCGCTTTCCATTTCAATCTCAACACCACCAAGACAGTTGGTGGCCAGCGACAACTTTGTCGAAGTACAGTAGCTGGTCGCCGATTGTCTTGGTGTATTTCCACGCAATGTCTGGTGCTAAGCGTGTCAATATGCTCTTTAGCATGCAGACAGCGTGTCCACATGGCGCAGCGACCAGCGACACGTCATCTGGCTCGTGCGCAGAACGCGCCGTTGGCGGTTGAGTGGCACGGAATGTATGTCGTATCGAATGCTGGTCTTTCGGTTGCCAACCACACAGAAAGGCCACAACCCACGATGCCTCTCTTTGAACAGACGCTTCCGATCGACGCCGCCGCCGTCGCCGCCATCGTCGCGACGCACTATGGCCTCTCGCTCGGCGCGCGCATTAAGGCCTCGCAGAACCACACGTTCCACGCGGTCGACGAGGCAACCGGCGCCAAGTACGCAGTGCGCGTGACGCCCGACCCGACCGGCCGCCACGTCCAGCGCATCCGCGACGAGCTCACGTTCGTCTCGTACGTCGCCGCCGCCGGCCTCGACCACGTCTGCGCGCCAGTGTCGCCCCAGGCGCCTTCGCCGTCGCACCCGCTCTCGGTCGAAGTCGACGGCCTCGTGCTTGCGGTCTTTCATTGGGCGAAAGGATCACCGGTGGACTTCATGGCGTGGCAATGGATGCTGGACGCGTCGGTCGTCAAGGCGTGGGGCGCCTTCTTTGGCCACCTCCATGTCTTGAGCCAGCGCTTTGGCCACGAGCACCCGGACGTCGCGCGGCGGATTCAGCGCTACGACGCGATCCACGACGGCGTCCTCGCCGGCGCGCCGCTGGACGCCCTCGATGTCGGCCTCGAAGCGGACCCGTTGGCCTTTGGCGTCATCCACGGCGACCTCAACTGCTCCAATTTCTTCCTTACAAACGCCAAGACGCTCTCGGTGTTTGATTGGGACCAGACCATGCGCGGCTGGTACTTGTACGACCTCGCGCAAGCGCTCTTTGGGCCCATCATGCTCGCGGGTGCCGGTGTCCCGATCGCTGGCACGCCCGTGCCCGAGGCCAACCCAGCGCAGTACCAAGCGTGGATGCTCGAAGGCTACGCCAGCGTCCGCGGCCCGCTCTCGGCGACCGACCTCGCGCACCTGGAGCGCATGGTCGCCCTCAAGAGTACGTTTTATGAACGTTTTTGTCGCCGAGCGCTGGCCGAAGGCGACGTCCCGCCCGACATGGCGCCCTTCATTACATACATTGTTCGGTGGTTTGACAAAATGGCGGCGACCAACGAGGCGACCAACCAAGTGCCTACGCAATAACACCTTAATGTTCCTCTGCTTTCTGGATGGTATACTCACGTCGTCTTCATTCAGGCAAAGGGTGCTCTCATAGAAATGTATTTGGATCGTACTCGAGTGCCCGTGCTTTCTGCTGGATCGAGCAGTTTGCTCTTGAAGACCAGGCTGTACGCGACCATTCATGACGCGAGCACTTGCCTTTACTGGCACCACGCGAGTCATGCTTCGTCCGATAGCAAGCTCCCGTGCAAGTCATGAGTCGGCTAGGACGTCTGCAAGCTCTTCCAAGCCGTATTCGCCAACGTGATTGCGAACCCGTGGGATCCACTCATGGATGCATCAACAACGAAACGAGGTCTCTGTCCATGCTGTTCATTAAGCTGTGCGCTCTCCCTTCACAATTTACCCAACTTGAGCCCTTCACGGTCGCAAAACGATTCTTCAAGAAGTGCGACTTTCGTCCCCCTGCTCCATAACGCTATGTGCGTCTGCTACGCAATCAACCAACCCGCATGTCTAAAGGCTAGCTGATACGTTTGGCAGCCGCAGTGAGACATTATTTGTCGCCACTTGGTTGACACCCAGATCGCCGCGAGCGTCAAGTCAATCAACGAAGAGATCAAGATAACTGCTGCTTGTCCGAGAGCTCTTCGACCAACATCAGAAACGAGGGAATATTTCACGATTAAAACAAGGGTTTCGGTAGCAACGACGACGTTGTTGGTGCCGACACGGGGGCGCCGCAAAGACTCGGCTTGCGCAGTCGGAGGCGGCTCTTGACGTGGTGTTGCCGGAAGCCATGCAGGACGCGGCGATAGAGCGTGTTGCGCTGGATCGCGCCATCGTCGAGGCTTCTTCCAAACCGGAGGGTTCGGTCGACGCGCTTGTCCATTTCTTGCGTGAGCGGGTCGACTTCGTCGTCCGTCTCGTCGACCGACTCCATGCGCCGGAGCCACTCGCGCCGGGCCGCGCGCCGATGGCAGCCCGTGAGGCACCGAAAGATGCTTCGCGCGACGAAAACAAAATCAGGAACGCCGAGAGCACGATTGCGACAAGAATCCCCGCCTTCATCGTCGTGATCACGTCCCAAACGAGCAGCATTTCGTTCTACACAACATCGTAACTCGACTGTGAATGCCGAAAGGATGGAAAATAATGTCTATACCCGCAACGACAGGTTCTCCTGGTACACGCCTTCGAGCAGCGTCATGTACTTTTCATTCGACGACGTCAAAAACTCGAGCTCCGAGTCGACAATGACGCGCTAGAAAGTATCAACTATCTATCAACACAATCAAGAGGACGTACGAGTTCGTGCACGGCTTTGGTGAGATTGGTCATTTGCTCGCTGAGGAGAGCGAGCTTGACCTACGCAGTGGCTTACACGACAAGAAATTCGACACCGTCATACCTGCGCATCCACGGCTGCGGGCTTGAGCGTCTCGGACACGGTGCGTTCGAGGCTGCTTTGGTTGGCTTCAAGGGCTTGGACTAGTCAGTATCAGAAACCATCGCCCAAGAGGCCGTAACATACTCTTCTTGGACATGCGGATGTAAAAGTTGTCAAGGCCCTTTTGTTCATCGCCTGCGACGCCATTGCTGCTCGGGGCGGATGAGCCGTTGGTCGTCTTGCCATGGTCGTGCGCCTTGGTGTGGTTGCCGCTTTCGTCGAGAACAGTGGTTGCGAGCGGGCTAGGGTGGTCGGGTGCGTTCTTACTCGACTGGGCATGGCTAGCGCTTGTTGCATTGGTTGCCGACGCGTTTACTGGCAGCTGGTGCGCCATCGTCGGCTTCTCGGTCGGCGGCAGTGATATCGGCAACGGCTCGCAGACCTCCAGCTCCCACGGCAGGACGACGGCGTCGGGCACGGGGCACATACTGTCCGAGGTCGTTGTTGACGTTGTTGTAGATGGGACGGCTTGCTCGACAGCCGGCGGCTCGATCGCAGGCGGCGCGATCGGCTCTTCGTGGATGCTGCGCTCGAGCTGCGAGATGACCTGCGTGAACGTGCGTCCGTAGACCTTGATTTGGCTCATCGTGCAGTAGTACTCGGCGCCGTAATGCGAGTTGAGGCGAAGCTTGAGGTACCGAACATGGTGCTTTTCCTGGAAATTGAAGAGCTGCTCGCCGTTCTTGTGCAATGCGTTAAAGTGGCCGAGGACGACCCACGTATCGGTCGGGTAGTTGATACTGCCGAGCACCTAGCACATGGCGAGCAAGTTAGCATCGAACGAGATGCGATAGAGAACGTAGTGTACGAGGAACTCCTTGGTCATGGACGAGAATTTTTCATAGTTCGCGATCGCGATGGCTTCGGCGTGGATGTCTTCCGAGAGCGAGATCACGATCCACTTCTTGTCGGCCGAGCACGGAATGAGCATGTACCGGTCCTTATCGGGCACGAGGAGGTTCACCGAGCCCTTCGTGCCAGGCGCATGGTCGAGGACCGTCGCACCCGAGCTTTCGATGCGTAGTTCTGCCGCTGGCCGCCATCGCTGTCTTGGACCTCGATCGAGTTGGAGCTCGGGTTGTACAGACCGCGGTCGACCTCAATGTCGATCTCGGCAATGTTTTCGGCAATGTCCGAGGACCGCGCCGCCATGGCGTCGTCGGGCTCGGCGCGCTCGTGGTGCACCTGCGGCGAGGGCGTGGCGGCCCCACTGCTGCTGCTGCTACTGCTACTCTCGACCTCGCCGGGCGCGACGATGCCATGGGCGAGGACCATGAGGAGGCTGGCCGCCAGCACCAGGACGAGGCGACCGCGCATGCTTGCTGCTTGCCGACGGTCCTATTTTTGTATCGCAGCATGATTTCCGCTGGATTTTGACCAATCAAACACGTGGAATGTGAACGCGGTGTCGCAGGTAGAGAAGAGACGCATGGGGCGCTGCTGCTGGACGACGACGATGACGATGACGACGATGACGATGACAACGATGGCGCAGGCATGAGCGCCAAGCAGCGTCGAGCGATGCTACCGTGCATGTTGCTTGCATGGCTGGCGACGAAGCTTCCGTGTCTGCTCTGCGTACCGTACCGGGCCAACTTGTTGAAGTTGTCGTGGCCGCGGGGATGGGCCTGGTTTCGTCGACGCCGCCGAGGCGAGAGGCAGCGCCGCCATAGCTCACAGTAAGTACACTGCACATTGCGCTGGCCTCGTTCACGGACACACACTACCATCGCCGTCTTGAGCGTGTCAAGACCTCCAACCCAACCAAATATCAACTGGATTCCCGAACCAGACCAAGCGCTGACCAGACGTGGCAAGTTGCCTGACGCAGCCAACGTTCTTGCGAGGACCCGCGTCTGGTGCTGATTTAGCGTTGTACACGTGGATGTGTGTCAGAAATAGAGTTTATGAACGGGTTCGGCAAGACGCCAGGTCGCAGCGGCGCGTTGTGGCAGGAGCAACCGACTTGCGCGGACCCCAAGACTCTGTTTCCGATTAATCCTTGCGCGTCTTGAGCACCTTGGTGGTGACACCGTCCTTGGTCCTACGCCGTGATCAGCTAAAGCGTTTTGAGATGACCAATTGTACAAGATGTGGACGACGCCGCCCCAGCCAGAGAGCGCGTCTCGGTTGCACGCCGACAAGAGGCACTGCGAGATGGTTTCAAAGAGATCCTCGGGCTCCTATAAAGCCCATCAGTCCCATGACGCATCGCAACAAAGGCGAGGCGTGTACCAAGTCGGGGCGATATAGGGATTCGCACATGCCGTGCAAAGCTTCTTCCATCGTCCCTGCGACGACGTAGTCCTTCGTGAAGAGCTCACAGCCCAAGCAGTCCATGCTCGAAAGGAAGGGCTTGTTCTCGGGCGTCAAACCGGCGACGATGGGTTCGACAAACCACGGGCCAAACCTGATGATAGCGCTGCAGTCGCCATGGCACGCTGATATGTACGTACCGCTTTTCGTACATCATGTTGGAGATCATGGCACTGAGCGTCTTGGCCTTGATTTCGCGCTCCTCTTGCATCTTGTACATGTTGAGCTTAAAGCGGAGGAGCTGCGAGACGCTTTGCACGTCCGTGGCCAAGCCAGAGAGACCGAGGAACGTCTTGTCGTTGAGGCGGAAGACCTTCTGGAAGTCGGTCGAGATCGTCTGGCCCTGCACGCCCATGCGCGTATCGCTAGCCATGGCAGGATAAGATTGCAGCACGAGGATGGCCGTCGTCGTACCAGGCAATCGCGACGCAGTCCTTGCCAGCCATCGCGATGATGGCGGCCCCGTTGTAGGCCATGATGCTCTACATAGGCCATGAGCCTCGGATCATTGCCACCGCATCTTGACGACGCAGGCGTCGCGTACCATGTTGCTCCGTCTGCGGCTCAGGGGCTTTGATTTCTGCGGCTTAGTTTCTCTGGACGAGAACCTCTATCAATGGATACCCCGTCGATCTTTCGACAGGAAGACGATGGCAATAAATGATTCCATTAAAGTATCAATCCCAACGCATACAATAGCCCAAAACAGTTATGTAGTTTCAGAGGTATGTTCACGATATAGTGTACGAACGATAATGGTGTTGTACATGTCGCACACTATTCCACAGTTGATCGTGGCACCCACCAGGTTTTTTTCAAAACCCATATATATATGTCGTGAAAACTGGCCAACGGTGGCGTGTTAAATCGATTGAAAACAGTGTTCCCTTTGGAAATATCCTTTTTCTGGGTCCACAGGCATCCCAATTCGGCCTAGTTTGACCTACCGGATTAGAAACCGGAGTGTGTTCCGAGGAGCAGCGCTTTTTTCGTAACAGCAAATACGCAACCGCCGCCCGACGTCGATGGTAGGGCACCCGCGCACAAGCCACGGCTGCATCCATCTCACCTAGCGCACTAGGCGCAGCGCATCAAAGGCTCACCCTAGCGTCTGCACACGACGCGAGCGTCCGTACCGCCGTCGATGGCGCATATGAAGCCTTGCGTCGTGACCCGACCAATGCCAAGCACAGCACCCAACCAAGAAACGACGCTCCCCTCGGAAGCCGGAGAGACCCATTCACGTAGTACGATGCTCCCACCTCTCTATTCCAGCTCTTACAATACGTGTATTAGTGGTGCTTGAGACGGAAGAGGTCCATTCGGACTACATGTACGGGCTCGGCGCCGAACTGAACG